TTCATATTTTTTTTTTAATTTATTTTTTTTTTTTTTTTTTTTTTTTTTTTTTATTTTTATTATTTTTTTTTTTCCCTCTCTTTGTATTTCTATTTCTTGCCTTGGGAATTTTAAAAGCGATCATATATATATTACACACAGACCTTAGACAAAAAAAAAAAAAGTTTGTCATCAATATTAGGCTAATAGTTCCACTTTGAAGCAAGTTAAAATTAAACCTAGAAGGGAAGCAAAAGGACCCATACTCATAAAGGTTAGAGAGTAAAGAGACAAAAGCAAAGACAAAGAGATCTTACAAGACTCGATTTCAACTACACACACACACACACATACACGGGTTCCCCTGGGATTTTGAATTAAATTGGATTGGTTCGATTTCGCATAACACATATCTTAATAATCATCCTCATTTCTATTACTGCTATATATTTATATTTTTTCAGAGCATATATTCCGTTAGTTATATAACATTCCCCATACATCCCCATTCCCCAATTTACACACCGCATCTACTTTATTAAGAGAAACAAAAATCCCGCCTTCCGCCCCCCCAATATTCAAACTTGCTAATAGAAAGTTTTTCCATACTAGAGAAAAAAAATGTTTTCGGAGGATCAGCTTAAGCAAAAACAGAATCAAACAGAGTCGTCAGCGTTGCAGCTGCCACCAACATCATCTCTTGCTTCACAAAACCAACAATCAAATCCTTTACCAGCAGCACACTCGCAATCTTTACCAGCAGCACACTCGCAATCTTTACCAACAGTACACTCGCAATCATCAAAGTCTTTACCGATAGCACACACTAGTGGCACGGTATCCACCAGCCATCAAGTTGATGCTGTGACGAACCAGATGTCTTTATCACACTCTGTTGTAGGTGGTTCTCATGCACAACAGTGTCGCCACCATCACCACCATAGTCACCATAGTCACCATCACCACCACAGCAATAATAATTTCCACCCCTCGCCACCAATGTTACAGCCCGCGGCAACTTCACAATTTAGAAAAGTTTGTTTTAACCCTATTTCAAGCGAAAGCGACAATAGCATTCCCACCAGCTCAGCCTCGGGGCTCGACAATAGCATTCCCACCAACTCGGCCTCGAGGCTTGACAATAGCATTCCCACCAACTCAGCCTCGAGGCTCGACAATAGCATTCCCACCAACTCAGCCTCAAGGCTCGACCACAGCTCTAACTCAGTTTTTATAACACCATCTTCCACCCCTAGTAATGCATTCACAACAAATATTTCGCCAACATCTCACTACAATAACCAGCCAATCATTATACCACCGTCGTCGGGCAGTCAGAAACGCCTATCCTCCTCATCTAATGACTCTAGTAAACGTTTGAGGTTAGACAGTGGCCACCATTTAAAAACAAGCACAATAAGCGAAAAGGAAAATGACATGTCCACAACAGCAACTGCAACGGCAACAGCAACCCCATCACCATCAGCAACTCCTGCTAATACTTCAACCACAATAAGCAACACTCACGAACAATTCCCTAGTGTAAACGTAACTGCCGCTGTTGCCGCCAATACCACTGCCACAGCAACTTCCACTGTCGCCGCCACCTCTGCTGCTGCAGCTGCTGCAGCAGGTGTAAGTTATCCCGCACAGACCATATCCAAGACACCCAAATTTATACGCAAATTTAGATCAAGATCGTTACCAATACTTAATCTCAACACGCACAATTCAGCATTCTTTCCACATATGAGAAAGAAACAAAATCTATATCATGCAAACGCCAACACAGCACCCTCAGTGAAAAAGGAGGATTCAACTGTTGCATGTACATCCTCGTCATCGTCATCGTCATCGTCATCATCGGGCCCAGGCTCAGGATCAGGCTCAGGCTCAGGAAGTGGAGGTGGAGTTGGAGGTGGACTTAGCTCTAATGCCGGCCTCTCCACAATTCCCCCACTCCCACCAATCAACCTCCAATCACTCAAGGAGATTGACCTTCACGAAATACTTAAAAACCCACAATTGAGACATGACATTCTCTTTGACCCGCAATTACAATTTAGACCAAATCTAGATGGAGAACGTGGTAAGCGGAAAAAAACAATTATCGATAAGTATTGGTTAGAGATTCAAAAGGAATGTCAGCAATTTTTCAACCAGGAGGATTTCAGTAGTGCAACAACGCGTGAGAAGATCAAGATCCATAGATTACCTATATTATTCACTACGCTAAGAGACATTTTGTTATCCCTCCTACCAACCAAAGACCGTCAACAAGTTAATGAGATTATGGATATTGAATTACTAGTGCAACAATTAAAACATGGATCATTTGATTTTGTTGAAATGAGCAAATGGTTGGGAGACGTTTTCAAACTGCATTGTGCACCAATGCGTGATTCATGGGTTGTTGAAATGAATCAGAAATTCATTGATGCAGCAACGTGTAATAGCGTATCGTATTTAGTTGGCGGATTGCGCATGATTTTCCAAATTTTGGAAGCCATGAAGTTGGATGTGGCAAATCATCAAATTCGGATTTTGAGACCTGTTTTGATTGAAACTGCAGTGGAGTTTGAGCGTGATTATTTTCAAACATTGATCAAACATCAAAAAGTGAACATTAATGATTCATTGAATTGGTTTTATAAGAAATTTATCAAAAAGAGAAGTGAATGTTTAACAGAGTCAATGGAAGTTGATGAAACCACATTAAAACCAATTATAATTAGTTCAATAATTGATTTGTTAAGTTGTAGGCAAATGGCAACTGAATTTCCATCGACTTTAACTTTTGATCACACAAGACTTGTCTTGCTCCGAGCAGATGTACGTCAGTTAGTTTGTGTTCAGTTGTGTGTCGTTTTGTATAAGCAATTGGTTGTGAACTCCAAGTCATCAGCTAGTCTTCTTAAACCACAAAATATTGCCAAAGTGCAACTGGAAATTTTGGCCATTGTAACTGATGATAATGGTAACATCAAATGGACAAAGAATATCAATGCTATATCATTACAATTGGTTAAGAATTTGTCACCTGCCATATCCACATCCACATCTGCTCCCACCAGTGTTCCTCAATCACTCGTTGATTTTAGCCATAGTTGGTTGATGAAGCACATCCAACCAAATTCACAAGTTTACGGCTTGATGGAGGTTAAGATATTCAAGGAATTGATTGCTGAAATTTCAATCATGTTTGAAGCAGATGATTATGAAAGAGAATCGACCATTGTCAGCAACACCAGCAACACTTCCACTGCCAATGCTTCCACCATGATCCCAGTGACAATGGACAAGTCTACGTCATCTACTTCTAACTCTACTACCACCGCTGCAAGTACTAATGCTGCTAGTACAAGCATGACCACTACTTCCACACTGAGTGCGCCAACAGAAATGAAAAATATTGCACAGAGAATTTCAACATTGGTTAAGTTTCACTGGCATGTGTTTGGCGTGTATTATCTTGATTTCATAAAATCACAGTTCACCAAGTTGCAATTGAAACAGCAACGAGAACAAGAAGAACGACAAAGAAGATTACAGATGGAGACCGAGACTGGTACTATTGTTTATAGTACCGGGAAAGGAGCGACTTCAGCAAGTGGCAGTAGCGGAGGAGGAGGAGGAGGAGGAGGAGGAGGAGGAGGAGGAGTAGGTGTCACTGCAGCCAAGCACAATCGACAACAAGGAAACGGTGAAAGTGCGAGTGGACTGAGTACGGGAGAAAACGGAGGCATTGAAAGTGCCTCTGCTCCATTAAGCATGTTGTCATGATATAAAACAGAAAGAAAGAGAGAGATATATATACATATAGTTTTTTTTTTTTTTTTTTTTTTTTTTTTGACAAGCATGGAATTTCAAAGCATTTAGAATATGAAGGATGATGACGATGATGACGATGATGATGATGATAATAATAATAATAATGATGATGATGATAAATGGTATTGTCATCTATTTAGTTTATATTTTACTTTTTTTATATTTTCTTTATAGGTTAAGTTTATTGTGTTTTGTTAGGGACTAAACCTAGATTTAGTTGTAACGTGAGTCATGGTAGGAGCGACACAGAGATGTGTATCACCAACCCCCAACACTTTTCACACTTGCCGCGCGCCGCTAATGTGATTTCCCCAGTAAGTTTGTAGAGATGGTGATGCAGTAGCACGAGCGGGAAAGCGTCCGTGGCCAAAAAAGATCACCTTTTCAGGTTCGTGCTGGTGAAAGAAGTTGTGGGAATGACAACATTGCTTGAAAGATATTAGAGATGACAACATTGCTTGAAAGATATTAGAGATGACAACATTGCTTTTTAGTATATTGTAGTCGTAGTCGTTGTAAAGTACAGGTGATGAATTTTCAGTGTAACAAAATAAATTTCAAAAGATTACGAGTGGGATAAAATCCTCGGGACAAAAACAGTTTAGAAATTAAAACATCACTTTCAATCTGAGCCAGTTGTATCTTGATTTGAGAATTTTGCCTTGTTTATTGAGGTTGTGATTTGCTCTCTCTTTGGCACATATCAGCTTGCACCTCCTTTAAAAGACAGGTGTGTTTTTTTAGAGGGGAGAATACTCAGAACTTTATTATTAACAAGAAAATGTTATACAAACTCCTCCAACTAGCTGTTTCCCCATTCACGATAACGTACCAATTGGTACATTTTTTGGTCTACAACACTACTTATTTACCATTAATCTACCTTCTTTCCATATGCATACTTATTCCATTCAAGATCCCTTTGATACCGCTTCAATACATTTTTGAACTAAACGAACATTCGGGGACACCGATATTAGGGCAAAAGAGTCAGGACCCGTTGCGCCATGATGCAGAGTGGATGATTAGTCAGTTTGAAATGTTTTCAGTTACCACTTTCCATTTCTTGATGTGTTCGATATATATTGGACTTGCGGTGGGGCTTGCAGCTGGGGTCAATTTGAGTGTGATCTCTTGGTTTTTGACATTAAAAGTGAGTACTGATGAGATCCTTGTTGAGGACAAATTGTCTCAGTTTTCATCGCCACCTCCAGTTAAAGTTGGTAATAGTACAGCTAATGGTGATAATGTCAAGGTGAAGCAAGAAACAAAGCCCGTTTTCGACGACGAGTGGGCGGAAATGGAACGAAGGGAGAAGTTTGCATATTTGGAGCACCTCAAAAGAAGTGAGCATGAACTGACAATGAAACGACAGAAATTGATTGAGGAAAGAGTGAAGGAGAAGATGAAGGTGAAGGAAGAGATGAAGCAACAGGATTTGAGCAAGAACAAAATTGCAGCTAAACCTCGGCTGAGTCTGATAAAGTCTGGATTTGGGCCTGGGCCTCAAGAGCGGGAATTAATGAATGATGTAGATGATGATGAAGTGTTTGTTTACCCAACACCCAAGAGTGATTTTGAAATGAACCCTTTGACTTCTACGCAAACGGCAATGTTACGTAATAGATTGAAACGGGATAGACGAGGATTGCAAAAACTGAAAAAGCCAAATGTAAGTTTTGATTTGAAGCCAAAAGAAGGAGAAACGGATAAAGATTATGGTAGTGGTAATGGGAATAATAGTGGTGGTGGAAGTAGTTATCGAATTCAAGAAATAGTTGAGCTACCGGAAACAGAAACTACGAGTGCTACCGAGTCAAGTAGTGATATCAAGAGCAGTAATACTGGTGCGCCAAGTACAACAAGTAATATGTCATTGGGCACTGGGATAGTGTCGTTAGGAAGTGAGACAAGTGTCGGGTTAAGTGACATTAGTGAGGAAGGGGGCACTACCACTGGTGATAGTGAAACTTTTGAAAGCTAGGAACACTATCGAGCGACACTATCGAGCGACACTATCGAGCGAAGCGAGATAGTGGAGCAGTACTAACTAGACACTATCGAGCGACACTATCAAGCAGAGCGAGATAGTGGGCAACTAGTCAGTGTGTAACAAGGTAATGAGCTGTAAAGTGTTTGAAAGTGTTGCTTCACTATCGAGCAAAGCGAGATAGTGAGCTCGATAGTGGAGCTCGATAGTGGATCTTGATAGTGGGCAGCTACAAAGTGTTTCAAAGCGTTGCTTCACTATCGAGCAAAGCGGGATAGTAAGCTCGATAGTGGAGCTCGATAGTGGAGCTTGATAGTGGGCAGCTACAAAGTGTTTTGAAGTGTTGCTCGATAGTGTAGTAGATAGTGGGCAGTTACAAAGTGCTTCAAAGTGTTGCTCCACTATCTCGCTCCGCTTGATAATGGAGCTCGATAGTGGGCAGCTACAAAGTGTTTCAAAGTATTGCTCCACTATCTCGCTCCGCTCGATAGTGAGCTCGATAGTAACACTTTGCAGCTCATTAGCTTGTTACACACTGACTAATTGCCCACTATCTCGCTCTGCTTGATAGTGTCGATAGTGTCGATAAAATCGATACTGTCGGTGGCAGCTAGTATGCGACACTATCTCGCTTCGCTCGATAGTGTCGCTCGATAGTGTCGCTCGATAGTGTCGATAGTGTCGCGACTCTATTTTATGTCATTTTTTATTTTGTGTCATTATGTCAAATTTCAACTCATTAAAGAATAAACGTGTAAAAAAATAACTATACAACTCTGATACTTAAACTTTGAATAAAAGGAGTCTGAAGCTTGGAGGTATCCTCTCCCCTGCCCCTTGGGACTTTTGAGAGATGCTAGGTAACAAATTACTAACATGACTTCAATCTAGATTGAGTTTTCCCGCTAGGCTCTTTGCTTCCCCCATTGCAAAGTGATTCACTTTTGTTTCAAAAATTTTTCAATATTTTTGCGCTTATTGGTAAATATATGATGAAGAGAAAAAGCCGAAAAAACAATGGAATAGAAAAAGATTCAAGATTGTATTCGGTTCGGTAAGGTCACCAAATTTGATATTGGTTTTGGAATTTTCCCAATTGACCTTCAAAGTTGGGATCTAGTGTATTATTTTTAGATGCTTTGCTAAATTTTGCTGATTTTTGCTGATTTTTGCTGAATTATCCTTATACATGAATAGGCAGGAAATACCAGGCAGGATAAGGTCCGAGATGTCAAGAGTAGTAACTACCAAATCCAAGATTGTGGAATCTTCCACTAATGGAGAATATACAAAGATTATCACATTTCAAAATGAGAATGGAGAAGAAACTGTGGTTAATTTCCCGCCAACTCTAGATGAAGAAGAAGAGCAAAACCAAAAGGAGATGAATTACAAATTGGAGAAGGAGAAGGAAAAGGAGAAGGAAAAGGAGATACTGGAGATACTGGAGATACTGGAGACTCTGGAGACTCTGGAGAAGCTAGAGAAACTGGAGAAGCTGGAGAAGCTGGAGCAGCCACGACTGAAATTGCCGTTATGTCAACGAGATATCTTCAACTCACAATCAAGAAACCTGCACTTCCGCTCACCACAGATATTCCGAAATCATGTACAGAATATCATTCATCCCTATTTGAAAAATAACTCACGAGAACCTAATGTAGGTGTGAAAAGGCTGGATTCGAACTTGGAAAGCGCAAAACCTGCAAATTTTTCATCATCATCATCATCAACAACAACAACAACAACATCAACATCAACAACAACAACAACAACAACGCTATCACCACCATCAGGCCTGGATAAGAACCACAAAACATCATTTTCATCTCCGTCATTAAGTCTAATACTAAATTCCACCACGCCCGAGAATCACACCAATACCACTACTTCTTCGAGCCAGCTACATGCACCTCCCTCCTCTTCCACCACCACCACCACCACCACACCCTCCTCCACCTCCTCTTCTTTTTCCTCCGTTTCTTCTTTTTCCAACATAGCCACAGGCATTTCACAATCGTCAACAATAATGGAATCGACCCAACCGTATTTTACTGCAAATAATAACAGATATAGCACAAATTCAATAAGCACAACAAAACCCGATTCAGTAACACCAAGAATAGCTCAATTGGGACAGAGATTGATAAAGTACTTGAATTACCTTGGTGTTATAAGTTACGATTTTGAAAATTCTAGTCCTTCGCAATCGAGACTGTCTACACCTGCTTCTAACGATGAAACTACCAAGAAACGGCTGAATATTGTGAATGATTTAATTTCAAAGAGGCGCACCTTACCAGAAAAAGAGTATAATTGTAAACTTGAATTTGAATTATGTTGTCATTGTCCAATTGCAGAAAATGGGAAAGAGAATGTTGGGGAAAAGGAGGAAAAGGAGAAATTGAACGGGAATACAGAAACGGCAGCGGGTGATAACGAACAATTCAAAGTTGTATTAAAGCTAAGGTACAAAATCAAGAAAAATATTAATCAGCGTGTGTTGCCGCTAAATTTGTACATTACAAATGACGAGCTTGTGAGATATTTAATACAATGCATTGTTTTTGGGAATAAAAATGGAGAGAGTAATGTCACTAGAAAGAGTGGTCTGCTGTCGAGACTGGAACTGGAGCTGGGAACAACTAATAGTGGTGCAAAAAACCCATATTCCATCCAGGACAAAATCAAAATCTTATTGGATTTGAAAGAAGTCAAATGTTTCATCAATGGGTATGAATTGGAATTATAAGGCTAGAAGTATGGCGCTTTCCCTCATACCATCTTCCTTTGTTCCTTTGTTTCTTTGTTTCCTTCCATTTTTTATTTTTTTCCAATTCATTTCAATTCAATAGACCCGCCATTTGGTTCAAACAAAGTCGCATGATCTACCCAATGCTTTATCAAATCCTCATCGTTAATCTTTATTGACTGAACATAAATATTCTCCAAAGGATAAGTTCTTTATCACAATTTGGAAAATCGCACCGTTTTCCAATTTTAGCTTCAAACTTTGAAAAAACGGCGATGTAATGAGGTATGTTGTGGTGCCATTTACTGCCACTTATTCCAATCATGTTGAAAATCACCCAAGCTTGTAAAGCGCCGCCATAGGGGTTTCCTGGTAAACCTTTTACGCCAGAGTGAAAATTGTTTCTCATTATGTACCTCACCAACTCAACACTTCTCCATTGCTGGTTAATGCAATTAAGCAAAAATGGTACAATGATACTTGGCTCGTTTCCAACATTAACAATTTCTTTCCCGTAAAATGCATATAAATTATTATTCGCTGAATGAATGTGGGTTTCACCGCCCATTAGTTGAATTAGTTTAGCAATATCGAAAACAGGCAAAAATCCATACTCTACAGGCTTGTTTTTATACACATTGCTACCCCAATAACAACCACCACATGACATGAAATCATAGTTTGTAAAGTTGAATTTTAAATCATAGTTACGTGGCTGAATGAAGTTCTTATAAGTATACCCTTTGGCCTTAGCTTTTGAATTCCATATATTTTGCCAATTGGCTGAACGGTTCAAGTATTTATTGTAATCGTTAGTCAACCTTAACCCTTGGGCAACTTGACTCAATGGAAGATCGTTGTATGCGTATTTCACGGTGCGGCTGATTGATCGTGTGTAGTTTCTTGTAAGGTATCCGTATTCTAACCAATCAGGCAATGTACCGCGACCTTGTTTCGTGGAGACATCAGAAGCAAATGGATCATACATATATGGAGGTTGAATTTGAGCATTTTTTTTTGCATTGCTGCATAGGCATCGTGCCAATTTATCCCTGGTATTTGCTTGACATAAGCATCAGCCAATACGATATCTGAATTGGATCTACCTTGAGTTTTGATTAGCTGCCCGTTCATCTAGAGTCCAGCCTTCATTCAAGTAAATATTGATTAATGCTTGCACTATTTAAGAACCTCTTGTTGGTTTAATGATGTTGTACAACGGATTGAGGCCCTTATATGTGTCCCATGTAGTGAAAAAATCATCATTATAGATCTGTTTGAAGTCCAACCAGGATTAGAGTTTTCTCCTGTTCAATTTGATGGAATCAAATCAGCTCCGTATAAATTTATATAAAATTGAGTGGATTTTAATGACTAATGAGTTTGAACATGCTTGAGTAGTAGAAATGAATGAAACTACAACATGATTAATTATTTCGGGTCCTCAACCAAAAATCAAACACCGACCCCCAAATGAATCATTTTGATTTGTAGACCTTAGAAAAGAGGGTTTTTGTTTATCATCACAGTAGTGACGCCTTATTTATTGAAACTCGTTAATGATTGAGCCGGTTGTGAGAAGTTGCCACAAAAGTGCATAGTCCATGGATCTAGTTGGCCCCAACCTTCCTTTCTAGTTGTGGATCCAGTATACCCCAGTCTTGTTACTTCAATAGGCCCATTCACAAAAAATGCCGAGTCCACCATGGTCTTTGTTGTGCAGTTAAATGGTAGGAAGCATTAATCAACACTTGTGGGTTCCCCTGTCTTTTCTAATCATAGTTATATTTCAAAATACCAAAACCTCTCCCCTGCCGAGAATTCTACATCAACATCGCTTGAATAGATTGCGCAATATCTCGTCTCAGTCTAACAAATGTCTTTAGCTCAGATGAATTGAACTGATCTTTAAATGGCAATTGCATAACAACACCCTATTGCGTTGCACCACACCAGTACCACTTTTGTACATCATTGATATACCAGATATTATGCCACCAGGAGCATAACCCGAGTATGAGCTGCCAAACTCCTCATCTAGGCAATTCACGCCAATTTTGACCAATTTTAGAGGGTCTCGTCTCTCTAGGAAAGACACTACCTCCACCTTCTATTCCGTAAAATAGAACAACATGATCTATTGCGTTGAATGTGGGATGTGCAGGCGCTACAGAAATTATTGGTATAATGGAGAGTACCAAAACCCGTGTGTTGGTCAACACAATACTTAGTAGCTTGTTAAAACACTATCGAGCGAAGCGAGATAGTGTTGATTCTACAACTACCTATGTTCAAAAAGACTCCTCTTTTTGAACATAGGTACACACTGACTGTGTTCATTCTTTTGAGAATTGAGGTGGGAAATGGTATCCACATGGAAACCAATATTTTACATTTCATTTTGGAACGAGCCACATTGTTTAGATCCAGGTTCAAAAAAATTTAAGAGATTTTTGCAACCATTGTCATATTAACTAAAAGTCATGATATTTATTTTGTTAAGAAGTTTTAAATATTGAGTTTTGTGTAATTGGCCATTTGGCCAATTATCCTGGCGTTAAGGGGGTTTTGCTTATAAAAAGAGCCCCTTAAGAACAAATCCGTATGTATATCACCTGCGGGAATGTTTTTTATACTTGATCTCTTCCCAATACAATATTACATATCTCTATTATATATCAACTGAACATGATGCGACTATTACATATCTCTATTATATATCAACTGAACATGCTACGACGGTGTGGTGTTCAGCGGCAGAGATTACAGACATAATAAATTGGTTCAAAAGCATAAAATCACTGATTGGGTTTATCGCAGTTTACGTCACCATTATAATCATGATAATACCTCGTGTATTAGTATATTTAATATTGAAGTACACTTTGCTGTAGAATAATTAGGAGTCAAAAATTCTGTACCATTTTGAAATCATTTGCATAATTTAGAAAATCAAGGGCAATATACAACTAGTGTTGGTGGAAGGTACAAAGAGATGCTCTACTATCGAGCAAAGCGAGATAGTGTCGGTGGAAGGTACAAAGTGATGCTCCACTATCTCGCTTCGCTTGATAGTGTCGGTGGAAGGTACAAAGTGATGCTCCACTATCTCGCTTCGCTTGATAGTGTCGGTGGAAGGTACAAAGTGATGCTCTACTATCTCGCTTCGCTTGATAGTGTCGCCCGATAGGAACGGTAACTCCTTAAGTGATAAATGAGATATATGTTCGAAGCAAGCAAATAGGATGTAAAGTGTCAATGGTCTTCTTCCTTCCCGTCCATGCCTTTCTTCTGCCTTTCCCTTCCTCTTACTGGTGTCTCTTAACCTCCTTTTTTTAGGTCAATAAAAGCCCTCTTTATTCGTAAACTTTCTGCATATAATCGGTAGCGCCTCATAACCTGAAAATAGTGTTGGTTGTAATGTTGGACTAACAAGTCTAACTATTTATAATTGGCATTTGATAGAGAGACTACTACTTGTTTCCTCAAGTTATAAATAGCTTACGAGCAGTAATAGAAAGGGGCGATGTTTATACATATGATATTTCATCTAAATTTGGCTAGAGGTCCACAGAGTACGCTTTATTTGCTTTAACGGGTGAAAAGTTTTAGGGTTCAGGGACTGGCCCGTATTAGCCAAGTAGGGACGGGGGAATAATGATAAGACCTTTTTGACTTGGACACGCTGTCTAGTGTAGGCTTAACTTCTATAACTATGTGTCACATTGTATCATCGGAGTAAGTTAAGCCGGTAAGAGAGAAGGAGAAGAATTTGGTGAAATCATAGCTTGTTCTTTGCTATGGAAATGTACAAAGATTAGTTATTGTTAATAGTTTCTAATTTTTATAAGCCATCCAATCCATTTAACAAAGATCTATGAGTTGCCTTTTTCAGCTATTTTCAATTTAGCAAATGTAAATATACGTACCACTTGCAATAAATACATGAAAACGTCACGTGAGCAACTACATACACGCCACGATGTATACTAATAATAAATTTTTAAGCCAAAACAGCTCGATTAATATTGAGCTGTGGGTCGTTGTATTTTAGTTTAACTCTTGAATTTTATTGGAAGGATTATTTCAAAGAAAGAAAAGCTATTAACAATGAGCCCAGCTTGCAAAAAAAATAAGAGCTACTTATTCTTGAGCTCTTATTATTGAGCTCTTATTTTTGAGCTACTTATTATTGAGCTCTTATTATTGAGCTCTTATTCTTGAGCTACTTATTCTTGAGCTCTTATTCTCGAGCTACTTATTCTTGAGCTACTTATTGTTGAGGGATTTTCCAGTATAAAAAGGTTGCTCACTATACTTTCTTAATCTGTAGTACAAATTCATAATAGATAATCTTATAATAGTCGTGGTTTCATAGCCGGTTTCGTCGCCAATTTCATGACAGCTCTGGAAAAAAAAATGTCTATTTTTTTCTTGTTTTTCAATAGTATATTCCTATTGTAATCACAGGATAGAACCTGATTAGGTATCTGTAACATTAATTGAGGCGGTCTATAATGGATAGTATAAGTCACTAAAAGGTTATAATGTTAAAGGTTATAACACTGAAGGCTGTGTTATAAGTCAATCAATGTAAGATCTCACTGAGGAGTAACTGTTTTCTTTTTTTTTACTGTGACTTGGTTACGGAAATTATCTGGTAAGGTTTTTACTTGTCTTTAAGCAGGGTTGAGCGGAGACGAGCAAAGGCGTTGCTCACCTCACAGATAGATACACGTGTCTGAAATGAAGAGGCTATACAAAAACCAATAACTTGTACAAAAGTAGACAATATAGACAGAAAACCCAAAAACCCAAAAACCCAAAAAAAAAAAGACACAACTGATGATACAAATAGCAGGCATAACTGATAAACCTAACAGCAGGCATCTGATAGAACAGGCATCTGATAGAACAGGCATCTGATAGAACAGGAAATGAAAAATTTCAAGCCATTACGTCATATCAAAAAGAGGAAACCTAAATAAAGCACCACCACTCCTCCTCCTCCTCTTCTTGTTCTTCTTCTTATCTTGTTTTTGTTGTGCTTATTTTTTGCTATTCACATCTCTCTTGTATAGCTTAGCTGTGCTTTTATGGATGAGCATTTTGGGTATTAGTAATCTATTACATAATTGTTGTCCTTTTTTTTTTTTTTTTTTTTTTCGTATATAAAAAATAAATTGCATTCTTTAAACAGCAGCTCTTCACTTAAGAAAAAGTTTACTAGGGGAAATTTTTATCAGTGATTTTTTTTTTTTTTTCAAACCCGTAAGAAGAGATATACAAGGAATAGTAACACTGGTAGTACCACCGGTTTGCTTGTCTTTCATTTATACGCTGCTTTATTGAGAGATCAAGGTTATATCGGGCCTAAGTTTCCAAATGGGCGACTCAACTAAGACTGGGACACTCTCAAAATTGGGTAAATTGTTTGGAAAGTCATCATCTAATTTACCTACTGCAAAGCATCAGCTGGTGCTGCAAGTACAGGAGGATCGTCAAGCACAGCGACAGCTGCAGCAACTGCAACCACCACCACCACAGCAACAACAGCAACCACAACAAGTGCAAGATCAACGAGAATTAGGAGAGCACCCACACCGGCAATCAAGATCATCACTGCTGGCAACTCTGTCTAATAAACATACAACCATTAATGCCAACGTCAACGTCAATGCCAACACCAACACCAACACCGCCAGCAACAGTGTCGCCAACACCAACACCAACACCGCCAGCAACAGTGTCGCCAACACCAACACCGCCAGCAACAGTGTCGCCAACACCAACACCAGCGCCAGCACCGCCATTCCCACTGCTGCCCCTAAGCTATTACAACCTAATGCCGTTCAAGAGAATCCAATATCCAGTGAGGAAGATTTTATACTATCGCAAGTTGAAAACGACAAGGTATCGCCTCTAAGACAAATCAAGCAACCCCAGCCACAACTTCATACACAATCACAGTTGCAACAAAACTCACATTGCGCGCCCATATTGTCCAAATCAAACAACTTATCTCCAGCAGGCTCGCATTCTCCAATCAATGGCAATCTTTCAACTACAACGTCACCTATTCTGGTGATTTCACTCGAACAAAAATTGAAAGGTCAAAATTCAACCTCAAAGTTGCCATCGTCTGGTATGGCTAAAACGCCCGCAAATGAGAAAACGCCACAAATGAGTGGTGCTGCTTCACTGTTGGTATCAGCGGGGGTACCACCGTCACATTCAACACCAACGACAACGCCAACTTCGGGTAGACCATCACCTTCCGTATCCAGATCTTCTTCAAGAAAAGCCACTACCCAACAAGCAAAAAGTGGCCTTTTTTCATCAAAGTCTAAAAATGGATCTAACACATCATTAGTAAGTGGTGGAATGTTATCTCAACAACAACAACAAGCGCAACAACAGCTGATGCTGCTGCTGCTGTTGTCTCTTCAACCACCACCAAATTTACCCCGATTTGTGATGCTAGAAAATGGCAACCATGAGCATCACCTACGATCAGCAAAACGTCATGAAAAGTTGTCGAATATGTTGAAGGACTTGCTAGGAGCCAAGAAACTTCGAGACGAAGCAAAAAGTGCGGTGCCGGACTTATTACAGGGAGCTATGCAACAAAGCACATCGCAATTACAACAAATGCAACAAAGCACATCTCAATTACAGCCTAACATGAGTGGGAGACCCCCTACTTTATTTGCAGGATTGGTCACTCAAGTGAAAAATCATACTAGTCCCTACCACCAACCAGGAACCGCTGATGTTGTTGTACCGAATAAGGATCCCAATGCACTGGCAGGACCTGATAGTCGTTCATTTGTGGAAAAGTATGGTAGATGTCAAGAAGTAATTGGACGAGGATCATTTGGAGTTGTTCGTATATCACATAAAAAGATTGATGCACTACCACCTCCAATAGCAGAAACAACAGCAGCAGCAGCATCATCATCATCAACAGCAGCAGCAGCATCAACAACAACATCATCATCATCAGCAACAGCAACAACATCACCAATAACAAACATACCATCATCATCATCATCAAGTAACACGTTAGTCAATTCAAATCCTACGGAGAAACTATATGCCGTGAAAGAATTTAAGAGGAGACCATCGGAGAATGAAAAGAAGTACAATAGAAGATTGACTTCTGAGTTTTGCATTTCTTCTTCATTAAAACATATCAATATTATAGATACACTTGATTTGTTAAAGGATGCCAAAGGTGATTATTGCGAAGTTATGGAATTTTGTTCCGGTGGTGATTTATATACATTGATTATTGCGCTGGGGAAATTGGAGTATGCGGAAGCTGATTGTTTTTTCAAGCAGTTGATTCGTGGAGTTAACTACATGCACAATATGGGAGTTGCACATCGAGACTTGAAGCCGGAAAATCTTCTCTTGACACAAAATGGGGTTTTGAAGATAACTGATTTTGGTAATTCGGAATGCTTCAGAATGGCATGGGAAACGGAAGTTCAATTTAGTGAAGGGATATGTGGTTCTTCTCCATATATTGCGCCCGAAGAATTTAGTCAAGAGTCATTTGATCCTAGATGTGTGGATATTTGGTCATGTGGAGTCATTTATATGGCAATGAGGACAGGCCGCCAATTATGGAAGCAGGCTGATGCATCTAAGGATGAGTTTTACGAAGAATATCTTATCAAGAGGAAAGATGCCACTGGGTATGAACCTATTGAGAACTTGAAAAGAGCTCGTTGTAGAAATGTTATATATTCTATATTGGATCCTAAACCGGAGAGAAGAATCACGGGGAAACAAATATTGAATAGTGAATGGGGTAGGGAGATTAAAGTATGTGAAGCTGGTGAAGCTCACCCTACGTCATAGAGCTAAATCAGAGAATTCGATAAACTCATATGAATATATTTCTCTAGCAACACCTTTGACACTATCGAGCGACACTATCGAGCGACACTATCGAGCGACACTATCGAGCGACACTATCGAGCAAAGCGAGATAGTGGAGCAACACTTTGTAGCTTGTTACAACACTATCGACCGACACTATCGAGTAGAGCGAGATAGTGGAGCACACTGAATAGCTGCCCATTATCTTCCTCTGCTCCATAGTGGATAGTGTCGCTAGTGCCACTGCTAGATAGTGGAGCAACACTTTGTAGCTTGTTACGACACTATCTAGCAGAGCTCGATAGTGTCATTTGTAAGTGTTGCTCCCCTATCTTGCTCTGCTCAATAGTGTTGCTCGATAGTGGAACAACACCTTGTAGCTTGTTACGACACTATCTCGCTCTGCTCGATAGTGTTGCTCGATAGTGTTGCTCGATAGTGTTATTCGATAGTGGAGCAACACTTTGTAGCTTGTTACAACACTATCTCGCTCTGCTCGATAGTGTTGCTCGATAGTGTTGCTCGATAGTTATTTGTGATAATTTATTATTAGACGAAAAACTTAATACGGCACTAGTCAATACGCTTTTCGCGCGAAAGAAAAAAGGAATTCAGCATCCCTTCCCCCCATTGTCCCGGCGCAGAAGGGAGCACGGGTCGATACAAAAATTGCATTCATCGCAAAAGCTAACGCGTGTTTGAGTGTGAAAAACATCAGCAAGAGAGACAAAACAAACAATAAATAAAATTATTTGTTTCTTTTTCACTTTATTCTTTTCCATTGTCAGATCTGTTCATAAGAATAAAATTGATATAGATTTCAGATCTGAGTTGTTACAAGGCTCGTTTAAAGCGGCAACAAGATAAATTAAAAAGAAAAAGTTTCACATAGTAAGAAAAAGAGACGTTGCGATTTGGTGACTTGCTTTCATTACTTTTTGTTTGGTTTGGTTTGTTTTAGTATCATTGAAATCAATTGCATCTCAGAAAAAAAAAAATGGTTGAATTGTCTGATTATCAACGACAGGAGAAGGTAGGTGAAGGTACATATGGAGTTGTTTACAAAGCGCTAGACACGAAACATAATAACCGAGTAGTGGCCTTGAAAAAAATCCGTCTTGAAAGCGAAGACGAAGGGGTTCCTTCGACAGCAATTCGAGAGATTTCCCTTTTAAAAGAAATGGAAAATGACAACATTGTGAGATTATACGATATAATTCACTCTGATTCTCATAAGCTATACTTGGTTTTTGAGTTTTTGGACTTGGATTTAAAGAAATATATGGAACTGATTCCTCCACAGCTGAATGCTGGTCTCGAGCCCGAAATGGTTAAGAAGTTCATGTGTCAGTTAGTTAAGGGGATCAAGCATTGTCATTCTCGTAGAGTATTGCATCGAGATTTAAAACCTCAAAACTTACTAATTGACAAAGAAGGAAATTTAAAGTTGGCGGATTTTGGATTAGCTAGAGCTTTTGGAGTTCCTTTGAGAGCATATACTCATGAAGTTGTAACTTTGTGGTACAGAGCGCCAGAGATTCTATTGGGTGGGAAACAATACTCAACTGGGGTAGATATGTGGTCAGTTGGCTGTATATTTGCCGAGATGTGTAACAGGAAACCATTGTTTCCAGGTGATTCTGAGATTGATGAGATTTTTAGAATCTTTAGAATTTTGGGTACACCTAATGAACAAACTTGGCCTGAAGTGCAATATTTACCCGATTTTAAACCTGGGTTCCCGCAATGGAAAAAGAAAGATTTGAGTGAGTATGTACCTAGTTTGGATCCAAAGGGGATTGAATTGTTGGAACAAATGTTGCAATATGATCCAAGTAAGAGGATAAGTGCAAAAAGAGCATTGATTCATCCATATTTTACAGAAAGTGACGAGACAAATGATAATAATAACAATGGTCAAGGTAATGATAATGGTGATAGGCATGGGAATGGGAATGGGAATGGGAATGGGACTGATGGGAATTTTTCTATGAATATGGGCTAATTTAGAAAGAATTGAAGAGACATATATATATATATATATATATATATTTATTTATGCAGTGGTGGTGGCTGGGGTATTTAAATTCTGAATAGATTTATAGCTTTGATTTTATATATGCAAAAATGAGCAATACCGCTAGTAAATAAAGCCATGGTTTAGTTCTGCATTGAAACTGCAGTTGATTGGGAGTTAGCAGTAATGCAGTACTCGTACTCTTGATACTGTTTTTCAGATTGGTGAGTAATAGTAGTGTACTCTCATCTTCATCACAAAGTGTTGGTGATTGTGATGTAGCTTGTCCCTCATGAATAATAAGCATTTCTTTAGCAATAAATTCCACTCGCTTGTTTACATTTAAATGGTGACTACTCACAAGTTGTAAATTGCCAATTTGTTCTTTATTCTTCAACTCTAACTTCCTTAACATCCTTTCAAGGTTATTGAATGCAGTGTGTATCTCCAAATGCAATAGTTCTAATTCTATAAATGCCTGCTTTATAAAATAAATTGGTTCAATACTCTTATATTGATCTGACTTGTAATCAATGTATGTTGATTCAAATTCATCATCTCGTATAGGAGATGAAGATGATGTAGATGATGGTTTCTGTTTATTATCCATCAATGAAGCTGTCTCGTCATATTCATCCTCCTCATCCTCCTCCTCCTCCTCCTCCATCTCGTTACCACTCTCCTTCTGTTCCGCAAAACCCAGTCCATTGCAAATGTTTGTTGGTACAAACGGGTTTGAAAGTATCCATGCATCATCGAGCATGAGTCGGCGCCTTGGTCTCTTTAAACAGGATACATGCTTTTTATTATGGCCACCACTATTATTATCATCTATAACTCCAACCATCAGTAAGGATATATCTTGACCGATGGGATCCATACCGAATACATCTACCAACGGCGGCTCTTCCATTATGATACAACCCTGTTCTGTTTCTTCTTCTACAATAAGTGAGGTTACTATGTCATTGCCATTATTTTCAATTGTATTTGTCCTTGTCATACAAAATAATGGGATAAAGCAGTGATATTTGAGGTCTTGACAACCCTGATTTGCTAACCCCTAGTTGATATTCAATTTTTGAACTTTTGACTTTGAGCCTTTTTTCTTAGATAAAAACAAAAGCGAAAGAAAAAAATAACCGCCTTAATCAGTTAACTTTGGTACGTTTACCAGCCCAGTACCAGCCAGTACCGCCACTATCCACTATTCACTACCAATAACTACAATTTTTACTAACTACTATCACCACTTGCTGTTCCTAACTACTAACATCCACTAGCTGTTCCAACTTGAAAAATTTGTTATGAATGCTTTTTTTTTTTAAGTTTGTGCAAGATGCAAAATGATCAATAATAAACAACGATGGCATCAATTTGCAACCATAAAAAAAAACACGTGGTAGCGCTCGACCGACACTATCGACCGACACTATCAAACAACACTCAGTAGCTTGTTACAACACTATCGACCGACACTATCGACCGACACTCAGTAGCTTGTTACAACACTATCGACCGACACTATCGACCGACACTCAGTAGCTTGTTACAACACTATCGACCGACACTATCTCGCTCTACTCGATAGTGTTATTAGTCAGCGCCCATCCACTATCGAGCAGCACTTAGCCACTCCGACACTATCTCGCTTTGCTCGATAGTGTCATTAGACACTTTTATAGCAAAAAAACGTTTCTAGTAAGACACTCGAGCAGAGCGAGATAGTGTCATTAGTCAGTATACTCAGTAGCTTGTTACAACACTATCGAGCAGAGTGTGGTAGTGGATAGTGTCAGTGTCATTACTCAGTGCTGCTCCACTATCTCGCTATGCTCGATAGTGTCGTTAGTGTCGTTGACAATGTCGCAAAATCTTTTCTGAACAAAAATGACGGAAAGAAAAAAGGGAAAACAAGATACTTTTACCATCTTAGTCAGCAAGAGTTTATATCATCTTTAGGGATAGTCGATAAAAGTATGGTGTATGGTTCACAAAGAGGCTCGTCATCGTCTCGAAATGTAGAGGGCGGATACGGTGTACGCGGAGGACACGACGTCTATGACTCGTACTCCAATAATGACAACTATTATCAGAATGGCTCTTCATATCGAGGTGGTGGTGGAGGAGGAGGGTATAGGAGAGGTCGAGGACATTTGCTGTATAATGGTAGAGGCGGTGGAGAAAGAGGCGGCGGAGAAAGAGGCGGACATGACAACTATTATGGGAGTGGATATAGAAAACCCTACCAGACTCGAGGCGGTGCTTATCACAGTAGTAGACACGGAAGTTACAGTTATGAAGGAAGAAGTCGAGAGGGATCCTACTCAAAATACGACAAGGTAGACGATACATATGCTGAAAAACAGGACGTGGGCGTAGGGGACCACGAAAAGAGCGGGGGACACGTATCACCGTTATCATCATCGTCATCGTCGTTATCAACATCATCGCATCAAAATAAAAGCCATATACAGTCTCACAGAGGCGGCTACCGCATGGGTGGTGGTGGTGGAACTTATAATGCGGGACATGATCCAAGGAACAGAAGTCATCATCTGGGGGAATTTTATAGGTTGGGAGGAGTAGTTGGGAAAAATTCAAAACATTATAAAGAGTTTTTACATGATACTAAATTGAAAGAATTTGCTAATCCTTGGATCAATATCATGGGGATAACCGATGAAGCCACACAAAAGACCCTTGAAGAACGATATATAGAGTTGAGTCAAGTTGAAGATAAGATATTGGAATTGCAAAAGTCGAAATTGAGATTGGAGATGAATATGTCAAGTTTGGAAAAACAAGCAGCAAGAGAAATGTTAAATGTACAACTAACGACGGAAAAACTAGAAGAGTTTGTATATATATAGGGAAATCACCTCTACTGTGAATGTTGAGTAAATTGTAGTAGTAATCAATAGTGTGCTCCACTATCGACGGGCACTATCGACCGGCACTATCGAGCAGAGCGAGATAGTGTCATACACACACACAATAGTGTCGGTGGTAACTAGTGTCATACACACACAAAATAGTGTCGGTGGTAACTAGTGTCATACACACACGCGATAGTGTCGGTGGTAACTGGTAACTAGTGTGCTCCACTATCTCGCTCTGCTCGATAGTGTCGCTCGATAGTGTCGCTCGATAGTGTCGAGTGAAAAAAATAAATTAATAGTCCCAGTTGGGAAAAACAGTTGATGATACTTGTAATAACGACAAAAAAATTCAAACACCACCACCACCACCTTCACTGCCATTGCCATTGCCACCGATATGAGTCAAATTGATCAGTTATTACTGTCATTCTCTGAAAACAAAGTTGTGTATTATGCATTATTATTTGCTTTACTCTTTGGAGTAGTAAAAGTCACAATCTTGACACTCAAATTTGTATCTTTAATTGCTGATATTTTCATATTACCTGCTGTGGATTTCACCAAGTACGGAGCCAATCAAGGCAACTGGGCGGTTGTTACGGGAGCCTCTGACGGAATTGGGAAAGAATTTGCTTTGCAATTGGCCAAACGTGGCTTGAGTATTGTTTTGGTATCGAGAACTCAATCTAAATTAGAAGCTATTGCAAATGAAATTTCTTCAAAGTATAAAGTCAACACCAAGATTGTTGCATTTGATGCTTCTACTGATGACGAGGAAAATTATTCAGCTTTGAAAAAAAGCATCTTTGATATACCCGTTACTGTGTTGATCAATAATGTTGGACAATCACATTCTATTCCCGTTCCGTTCTTGGAAACTGAAACTAAGGAATTAAAGGATATTATCACCATCAACAATACTGCTACATTAAGGATCACTCAAATTGTTGCACCTGTGATTAAGTCCAGTGTTGAGAAATCCCACAAGAAAGTCAAAGGTTTAATTTTGACCATGGGTTCATTTGGTGGGTTGTTGCCAACGCCATACTTGGCCACTTATTCGGGTTCAAAAGCATTTTTACAAGCTTGGTCAAATGCTTTGGCGGGCGAATTGAGTTCGTTTGGTATAGACGTTGATTTGGTGATTTCTTATTTGGTGACATCTAGCATGTCTAAGATCAAACGGCCATCATTGACTATCCCTACTGCTAAGCAGTTTGTTGCATCGACATTGCGAACAGTTGGTCGCAGAAACGGTGCGCAAGAAAGATATGCTACGAATACACCATACTGGTCACACGCATTGATGCACTTTGCTATTGAGAATACTGTTGGTGTTTATTCGAAATTTGCAAATAGAATGAATTTGAATATGCACAAAAGTATCAGGCAAAGAGCATTAAGGAAACAAGCGAGATTAGCTGCAGCAAAACAGGACTGAACCGACACTGTCGACCGCCACTATCGACACTATCGAGCGAAGCGAGATAGTGGCGTACTGACCGCGACCGACACTATCGACAATATCGACACTATCGAGCGAAGCGAGATAGTGGCGTACTGACCGCAACCGACGCTATCGACCGACGCTGTCGACCCACACTATCAACCGACGCTATCAACCGACGCTATCGAGAGCTAGAAAAAACAGAACCAACTTGGAGGTAGAGTTGTACTAAAAGGGTCAGCTTGTTTGGAGAAAAGACTCCCCTTGTCTTCAACATGATCCAACTACTGCCCCTAACGCTATCGAGCAGAGCGAAATAGTGTTGTAACAAGCTAGTCAGTTTCTTGGCTAGCTAGTCAGTTTCTTAGCTAGCTAGTCAGTTTCTTAGCTAGCTAGTCAGTTTCTTAGCTAGCTAGTCAGTTTCTTAGCTAGCTAGTCAGTTTCTTAGCTAGCTAGTCAGTTTTTTGGCTAGCTAGTCAGTTTCTTAACTAGCTAGTCAGTGTGGCTCCACTATCTCGCTCTGCTCGATAGTGTCGAAAGTGTTGCTACTAAGTGCTGCTCCACTATCTCGCTCCGCTCGATAGTGGCGATAATAGTTTACTTTGTGAAAAACCTCTTTTTTTCTGCTGATCACGTGACCCTTTTTTTTAACGAGAATATTCTAGAATGCTCTCTCTCTCTCTCTCTTTAAGTTTGCTGCTTCTTCTTCTTCTTCTTTTGAGAGAAAAGAGAAGCTCATACATTTTTTCAAATGTTAGCAGCTGGTAGCGCCAAATCAAAGGAGAAAAAAAAAGTTTACATACAGTTTAAGTAACAAGAGTAATATATAGTAAGGTTAAATTATATTGCTATCGGATAGGAAGAAGTTCTTTTTTAACAAGATTGACAGATATAATTGTAAGACAAGGTTGAAAAAGGAAACGGACAAAGTATGGTGAAAGATAAGAAGCTTTATGATTTACTTGGAGTTGAGCCCAATGCGAGCGAAGCAGAGATCAAAAAAGGTTATAGAAAACAAGCGTTGAAATTTCATCCTGATAAACCAACAGGTAATACGGAAAAATTCAAGGAAATATCTGAGGCGTTTGATATATTGTCCAATGCCGACAAGAGAGAAGTCTATGACAATTACGGTTTAGAGGCCGCAAGGGGAAATGTTCCAGCGGAAGATCCTGGACATCCCTTTGGAGCAGGTGGTGGTGCTGGCCAAGCTGGAGGATTTGGCGGATTTGGAAGAGGTGGTACATTCCGCACTTCAGGCGGCTCGGGATTTTCGCAAGCAGATGCATTCAATATTTTTTCGCAAATGGGCGGATTTGGCATGGGAGACGATGGGTTCACATTCAGTCTGAGTAGTGGTGGTGCAGGTGGATCTCCATTTGGCGGGGCAGGTGCATCTCCGTTTGGTGGTGGTGGTTTTAGAACGGCAGGTGGTGGTGGTATGCCAGGTGGTTTTGGTGGTGGTGCACAGCGTCAAAGACAAGAACCGGCAACCGTGTCGATACCCTTGCCTGTGTCATTAGAGGACTTGTATAGTGGTGCCACAAAGAAAATGAAAATCACAAGGAAAGACGCCAACGGAACAAGGGAACAGAAAGTATTGGAAGTTAATATAAAACCAGGTTGGAAATCAGGCACTAAAGTTAACTTTGCAAATGAAGGAGACTACCAGCCCGAACTTGGGGCAAGACAAACCATACAGTTTGTTATTGAGGAAAAACCAAATCCCACATTTAAAAGAGATGGCAATAACATCAAAATGAATGTTCATTTATCGTTTAAGGAATCACTTTGCGGATTTGAAAAAGATGTAACGACAATAGATGGTAGGAGAATTCCATTGAGTAGATCGAATCCCGTACAACCCAACACTACTACAACATACCCTGGTTTGGGAATGCCAATAAGTAAGAACCCAGGGCAAAGAGGCGATTTGGAAATAACTTATAAAGTTGATTATCCAACTTCTTTAACACCGGCTCAGAAACAAGTAATACAACAGAACTTTTAGGGATGGTGATATTTCACATTATCATATTGTATATATGGATATGTATATATATAGAGAGAGAGAAAGAAAAAAAGAGAATGCATCGAGATTATCGAGCAGACCCACACGGGTTTGATAGAGAGCTAGGTAGAGAGCTAGATAGAGAGCTAGATAGAGAGCTTGACAGAGAGCTTGACAGAGAGCTTGATAGAGAGCTAGGTAGAGAGCTTTACTCTACTCTCCCCTCTTCTCGCTACTCTACTCTCTACTCTACTTTCTTTCGACTCTGCTCTACTCTACTTTCTTTCGACTCTGCTCTACTCTACTTTCTTTCGTCTCTGCTCTACTCTACTTTCTTTCGACTCTGCTCTACTCTACTTTCTTTCGACTCTGCTCTACTCTACTTTCTTTCGACTAGACTGGTTTCACTCGTCTAGTCTTCTGGTCTTCTAGTCTTCTAGTCTTCTAGCTTGAAATATTTGTAGCGCGCGCGTATATTTCATGATGAGTTAAATTGAAAATTAGAAATCAACCAACCATGTATAACTTTGCAATTAACTTCTTCTTACTAGCAAGTTAGCAGCGACCTACACTAGGCTCTCGACTCCCTTTTTCGATATCCATATATGTCTGTCATTTTAGCCTCTGCGGGCTACGATCATACTATTAGGTTCTGGGATGCGTTAACAGGAGTATGTTCTCGTACAATACAGCATACGGATTCACAAGTCAATAGATTAGAAATAACTTCCGACAAGAGATATTTAGCAGCTGCAGGGAATTTATATGTTCGATTATATGATATAAGACAGAATGGTGCCACAGGAAATAGTACGGTGACCAGTGGTGGAGCAACAGCGGGGTCTTGTGCCAATAATAATCACAATAGCAATAATCTCAACAACCCCAACTCCAACTCCAACTCCAACTCCAACAACTCCAACAATAATCCAGTAATGACATTTGAAGGACACACCACTAATGTGACCTCGCTTGCATTCCAAGCCGAGAACAAATGGATGGTCACATCAAGCGAAGATGGTACCGTTAAAGTATGGGATGTGCGATCGCCATCAGTTCAAAGGAATTATAAGCACAATTGTCCAGTCAATGAAGTGGTCATACATCCCAACCAAGGAGAACTAATCAGTTGTGATCAAGAGGGAAATATACGTGTTTGGGACTTGGGAGAGAACCAATGCACACATCATTTGATTCCCGAAGATGATGTGCCGATTAATTCATTAAGTGTAGCTAGCGATGGATCAATGTTGGTTGCGGGGAACAACAAGGGCAACTGCTATGTTTGGAAAATGCAAAACCAAAAGGACTTGACTTCCTTGACTCCAGTTACAAAGTTTAGATCACACCTGAAGTATATTACTAGAGTTTTATTAAGTACAGATATGAAACACTTGGCTACTTGTTCAGCAGATCATACTGCTAGGATATGGTCGATTGAACAGAAATTTGCATTAGAGACAACTCTACAAGGTCATCAGAGATGGGTTTGGGATTGTGCATTCAGTGCAGATAGTGCTTATTTAGTTACTGCTTGTTCTGATCATTATGTAAGATTGTGGGATTTATCAAACAGCGAGACAGTGAGGCAATACAATGGGCATCATAAGGGAGCAGTATGTGTTGCATTGAATGATGTTTAGAGAAGAAAGAAACAAAGAAGAGAGAAAGAAAGAAACTGGAGAAGAATGGGAAACGGGAACCGGGAAATGGGAACCGGGAAATGGGAATTGGGAACCGGGAAATGGGAACCGGAGGGTGGATTTGGATATCACAAGTAATCTTCGGAGTCAAATGTGTGGAATAAAGTCACTTGTTCATGTCTAGCGTTGAAGATCAAGAACCTGGTCTTGGTGATGTATATGTTGGCATTTGCATGTGTAAAGAATTTCTCCAAGCAGGTATGTATTGAATACTCCGAAGTAATAGGCAGGAATTCATTTCGGATACTAATGAGCTTTTCTTCAACATACGATTCTTCAAATTTGGATTTAACATGTTTGTAAAAGAAATAAGCACATCTTGATAATAGCTCAAGAGAATCATGATATGAGCCAAAATATGTATCAATCTTTTGTATTCTGAGATGTTCAATCACTTCCATGATATAATCAGCCAAATCCAAATACAAACACTCATTGAAAAACAATTGATTTGATAAATCCGTTGGGAAATTCACTGCAAATAATTCTCGAGCATAATACTTCAAAAACTCCATTCCTGACGCAAAGTCTTCAATCTCGCATGTAGTTAATAATGTACGAACAACGACATTGAATGGAAATGTACAAAGTTGAAATACCCTTTTTTGCATTACTTCATCGATCAAACTTTTCACAAAATCAATTCTTTCTCTTGGTACAAAAAAATCATCAATTGCTTGATTAAGTATTTTTACCAACACTGACTTGCCATATTTTTCAGTAAGACCTAAAAATTCTTTTTGCAAAAGACTAAAGAATCCTTCATTGTTTGAATTATAACTTGAATTTGGGTTCAAAATCAAAGCAATTAAAAAATTTCTAATCTGTACTTGTCTTGCATACAATTCGTTATCCAATTGATGAAAGCACTTGGAACATGATATTTCTTTAATTATTGTATTGGGTGTAGTCAACACACCATGTAAGCTTGGAGATTTTATTGGTTTGAAACAAGAGTCACACTGCATGGTAAAAAATATGTCATACTTCATAGTGCACAATTGACATTTGCATCTAAAGTAGTACCTGGAGTATAATTGATGCTGACGAAGCTCAATTGGCATACCGCTCAGTATATAAGTCACTGTTATTTCTTCGTTTTGTTTAATTGGTAAAGTATTGATCAATTGAAAGCTTTCGTACCCAGTTTCGACTTGGAAACAATTAGGCATACAGCTATGGTTAATGATGGAGAATTGTGGGTCTAATACTATTCCAACAGCTTGATATCGATAATTCATTAAAGTAGAATAGTTGATGAAGACCAAATTGATTAGATTTTCGAAAAACTTCCAATTGCTCTTGGTGACTTTGATATCTCCCTTTTTGAATAAAGCCATTGCTGGAGGAAAATTTGTGAAAAATGATATCATGATTTCAACCATTTTGCCTTTAACTTTATCTCTACTCTGACACATTTCATGATCCGATCGAATTTGACGCTGATGGGTACACAAATTATTCACCTTACAAGCAAACTCGCTGTCTTCTAGATAATTGAACAATGTGATCAAAGTCAAGTGCAATATATCCTGTTCAATCTTGTGCATATCCTCAATATGTACAAAATTTTGTAATATCTCATGATAGTAGGTCAAATATCTCAACAGTTTTCCTTGCAAATGAGGCTCATCAAAATACCCTGACACAGCAGAAACGTCCATTATTACAGCACCAATATCAAAGTCAGAAACTGCTTGAACGCCACGGTTTCCAGGAGCCAATTCTTTCCCAAAAACTTGAATCTTGTCATTGGTAATAGTATCGTAAAACTCTTTTTTGGAATTCTCATCTACAGGGAAGATGTATACATCTTGGGTCAACTTATTGCAAAGTCTTTGCTTCCAATACTCCCTATGAGTTGATGGTCCTTTCGGCGAGTCTAACGTATGTGGCATGCTGTTGTATCCTACAGTGGTCATGGTCAATGAGCCTCTTGTTATTTAATGGATATTTATTTCTTTTTTTTTTGCAACTAAAGTGGTTTATATTTTAAGTTGTTTTGAAATTCCACTTTGTTTTTTTTGATATTGAAAAAAAGCCGCTTAATATCAGACAATGTTGCACCCAATTTCCTGCCAAATCCAGATTTGGGATGGCAAACTGTTCCTGATGTATTGAAAAAAGGCATCAACTAGAGGCAAAATCTCTGCATTTTGAGAAAAATCAACTTATTGATTGTGGTGCAGAGACAGAAGCAGAGGTGACCACATAAATAATTCTACCAACTATACAGAGTATGACATGTCATGCGAAATAGCAGAGGCATAACTTGTAGTTTACCTTACTTTAAACTCAACATTTGTTTTACAATCTTTCTGCGATATGCTCTTTGTTAATAGTGTACATTCAAAACCGCTTTGAAACGTGTTGAGAAAATATAGTATTGAGTATCATCTACTGAATGCAATGCAAATCCTGGCGTTGGGGAGGAAGAAGAAGGAAATACAATTTAAGAAAAAAATTGCAAATCTTATGCATTAGTCGTATACACTGATCGTAGGGACTAAGAGTCGCCCGTTTGGCTATATACTGCGGTAGTCTAGCCATGTACCACCAGCATATACAAGATATCTATTAAGGCTTCTAACAAAAAAAAAAAAAAATAAATAAATAAACAAATCAAAATTATTAAACCTTGGATGGTGTTCTTGTCAATAAATCAAAATTATGCAAACTTGGATGGTGTTCTTGTCAATAAATATTTGTATTAAAATGCAATAATGCTTCTTCATTTTGATCCTTTTGCTTGATACCAGATAGCTCATTTCTTCCCGATTGGTTGTGGAGGCGTCCTCTATCATAATCAAATGATGTTTCTAGTAAATCAATCACCCCAAATAATGGTTCCATACTCATGGGGGGAACTCCATAACTTGGCTGTGATAATGGTGGTGGTGGTGGTGGTAATTGGTGCTGAGTTTGACTGTACAGACTTGAATATTGTCTCTCGTTTTGTTGACAAGTCATTAAATCGTCTTGGAAAAATCCCCCCAACTCCATATTGAGCGCAAGATACTCATCGACCCAGCACCTCACTATCCACCACGCACCAAACCCTTCACCTCCAGATAAGCTTATTTCTCTTAAACATGTAGTTAGAAAGTTTGAAGTGAGTAACAAGAATAATCGCGCATTTATTTCAGGAAACCTCGCAGGTAATCCAGCAACGAAATCAGCAATTACATTCATTGGTGTCGCAGCGGTAGCAGTAGCAGCAGTAGTGGCAGCAGTAGCAGTAGCAGTAGCAGTAGCAGTAGCATGGGGCTCATTTGTGTCCTTTGTTGATGGTTTAATTAATTTACAAACTTCTTCAGTCATAATATGGATTAATGAATTTACACTTGTTTCGTTGCATGGAATCTCTCTTGATATCAATCCAACTAAATCTAACTTACACCAATCTTGAACCATTGCTGAAGTTTCATTCTCATCGTTTAAGATTCGCGACGCAGGGTGCCCCGTTTCTAAATTTCTAATTAGCCGGCTCAACAAATTGATAAAGTGTTTAGCTAATCTCAATTTCATTAATATGAACTTCTTAGGGATCTTGCTATTGGTGATAATACTGTTTGTAAGGTTTTTCATATATGTTTGTGAAATTTGCTTTAATTGATCAATGGTTTCTTGTGGAATCATAAACTGCAACTGTAACTTGCTCAACATTCTAATCATCTTCTTGTACATAAGGAGATCACATTGTTTGACCCACTCCAATACAAACTCGGCTGTATATAATTTAAACACGGGTACTGTCAAAATGCTATTGAAATTGTTAAAACACACATATAATGTCTTTAATTGCATATATCTCAAAGACTCAAAAATGGAATTGACATGCACCTTATAGAGAGAATGCAACGTATCTGCTAAATCGCGATCCACGTCATTAGGTAAATAGGGGTAAATCGACGGTAAAATAATCGGGGAATACGGATAGGATTCAGTGGCTATCAGTTCATCACTTAATAACTTGAAAAGATTAGGAATATATTTCATATGACCCACCAGCGGTAATTGATCAGATATGGACGAAGTTGTCGTTATTATAGGTGAGTTTATTGGAGTATATGATGGTGTGTACATATGCAGTGCTGACTTGGGAGAGTCGTCATATGATCCCGAAGATGAATTTGCTGATGACAGTGGTGAATCCATGACACCTCCGGGTCCAGTTACTAATTGATTAGACAGCAATTTCAGTTGCTGGTGCGGGTGCTGTTGCTGTTGCTGTTGCTGTTGTTGTTGTTGTTGTTGTTGCTGTTGCTGTTGCAACATCTCTAATTGCATATTTTGGTCACCCTTCAATTGCACGCCACAATAATGATATTTAGATTGTCCTCTCATACCCAATCTTCTTGTAGTTATATTCGGATAAAGGATCTTCACCAATTTACCAAAACTCGCAGGTGATAATGGTGACAAGTTATTATCAGCACATACTTGTACGTATCTTGCATAAATTCTATTTCTTGGTATAACTGATGTTGGAGAAATTTCACAAGAATTTAAGAGCCAAACCATACCAAAAATTTGACGTTGTGTTTCCCTGTTATTACTTGGGTCCAAAAGTGTTGGTGTATCTTGATTTCCACGAGCAGAATGTTGTTGTTGTTGTTGTTGTTGTTGCTGCTGCTGCTGGTAATGCTGTTGTTGATCGTTTTCTAGCATCTTAATTTTCTGAGCTAATTCAGATAAAGGGATATTCAATTTCGTCATGGCAAATTGTTTTAACTCATTTTCTCCGGGAACTGTTGAGCTGGAGCTAGCAGTCGAACTTGACTTACTTCTTTTATGTTTCTTAGTTGTCGCCGTGGTTGGTGTTTTCCCAGTTTGTTCTTCTTTCAAAGTTGTTTCTGGCAAAGTTTGTAATGCATATAAGGGCGCGGGAGAAGACACTGGCTGATAATTAGGTTGAGGTATAAAGCTCAGTTGTATCAGTGGGAAAAACCGCGAGTCATTTTGTTGTCTCGATAATGTAGATGCAAATGGTAGTATAGGTTCAGTATTAAGACTTTGCGGCACCACTGTTTGGTAATTGAAGGGAATTGTTTGTGCTCGCTGTTGCGGCATATGCAAATGCAGTTGGTATATACTTTGGTTTGGAAATTGCTTAAAAATGCTAGCTTGTTGTCGAAATGACAGAGGTCCTGCCTCCCCCAGTTCTGGGAGCTGTACAGGCGGTATAATGTTGAGATCTAATGCTAAATTTTCTGGTCTTGGGTGAGTCAACAGTAGATTACTTGTCAGTAGCTGTTGATGCTGAATCCCTCCAGTGGGTTGTTGATGCTGAATCCCTCCAGTGGGTTGTTGATGCTGAATCCCTCCAGTAGGTTGATGCTGAATCTCTCCAGTAGGTTGATGCTGAATCTCTCCAGTAGGTTGATGCTGAATCCCTCCAGTAGGTTGATGCTGAATCTCTCCAGTAGGTTGATGCTGAATCTCTCCAGTAGGTTGTTGATGCAGAAAAACGTTTTGAACTGGCGATGCTTGATTTCTACGCTCTGACAAAGGATAAATATGCTTCAATCTCTGATCCTGAGCAAACTGGTCTTCTGGATTCATAAAATCATGAAACTAATCAGCAAAAAAAGGTTGGCACTCAAGGCAAAATGCAAAAATAATGAATATTAAACAAGTAGAATGAATGAAAAATCAAAGTGAAAAATCAGAAAGAAGCCCTCTCAAAAAAAAAAAAAAACCAAAAAAAAACCAACCAACTTGCCAATGAAACAGATTAAAACCAGGGAGGATAAAAAGTAAATGGTAAAATGCAATTGAAAAAATGAAGGTAGGTAAGTAAAGGTATAATGGCAACTAGCAAGAAGGGCTTCTGCTAACCAAATTATAAAGGTCACTTTCTTTCTTCTCTAATTTCACATATATGGCTATATATTATTTATTTATTTATTTATTTATTTATTTATTTATTTTTCTTCTCAGATGAGTCGGTAATTTATGAGTGGCTAGTGAAATGAAGAGATTACCGTTTTCAGAATATTAATTGAAAAAAATACAAAACTGTTAACAAGAAGCAAAACTCAGTTAATTTTTGGCGATTTATCTATGTGTATAGTGGCCTATGTGTTTAATGTGGAATATAGTGAATATAGTGCCAGATCTGTTACCTCTCCCCGCCTTTTTTTTTTTTACCCCCTTTTGTTTCCCCTTATAAGGTACCAATATATATACAATGTCGATACATGCGGAAAAGGGCTTTGCTTGTAGTTGTGTGTTGACGCTACCATATGTAACGAATAAATTACATGAATTTGCATATGGGAAAAGATTATTATTAGGGCACTTTAAATTTCACTGTTCATAGTAGGTACTTTAAATTTCACTGTTAATAGTAGGTACTTTGAATTTCACTGGACGATTTCGAGTTATAATAGGTACTTTGAATTTCACTGGGTCATTTCGAGTCAAAAATGGGAAAATGAGAGTCATTGAAAGTCGAAAGATGATTTCAAATCCATAATCTAGTTTTAGAGACAAGCGTTTTTTTTTTTTTTCTTCGTTTAGTAAACCAAATGTAGATATTAATTACAAGTAGGAGGAGGAGTTAATAGATAAGGAACGCATATAAGATTAACAAAAGGGAAAAAAAAGGCTTATTAATCAACCTTACCAAACCAATTGCTCATACATTGGTTTCTTTTCCTGGTTGTCAAGTCGATATTTAAGATATGAGCATGTGACGATACAAACTGGTAACATAATTCCACATCCACAATATTGTGTATGTGTGTGTGTGTGAATGTGTATGTGTATGTGTGTGTGTGTGAATGTGTATGTGTATGTGTGTGAATGTGAATGTGTTTGTGTTTGTGTATGTGGTGAATGTGTATGTGTGCGTGTGTCAATATTCAAGTCTGCTAAAACTAAAGCCGACAATTATCCAAAGTTCTAATATTGTTGTATCATTCGCCACAATCTTAGTAAAAGAGTTGCGGGTATCAGGAAAACCAGCCAATTTATGCTACATCCGTGCGTAACCACTCGTAACTGTACCAAGGGGAGTGTATTTGAATCACCTCAAACTACTAATTTCCATGATGAAATTTGGGAGAATATCCGTCTCCAACACTATGACACTATCGTCACTATCGAGCGAAGCGAGATAGTGGAGGCACTGACTGTCAATGGCACTGGCTGTCAATGGCACTGACATCTTACTCCGACACTATCTCGCTTTGCTCGATAGTGGAGGCACTGACATTTTACTCTAACACTATCTCGCTTTGCTCGATAGTGGAGGCACTGACATTTTACTCCGACACTATCTCGCTTTGCTCGATAGTGGAGGCACTGACATTTTACTCCGACACTATCTCGCTTTGCTCGATAGTGGAGGCACTGACATTTTACTCCGACACTATCTCGCTTTGCTCGATAGTGGAGGCACTGACATTTTACTCCGACACTATCTCGCTTCGCTCGATAGTGGAGGTACTGACATTTTACTACTTGTCAAACCCGTGTGTTTACTTATCAGTGCCTTACTAAGGTCTTTTCTCTTAAATTTAGTCCTCAGAAGGAGGCTGTTCTAGCAATCCTCTATCATCCCTTACGCCTTTACCTAAAAACTTTTTGGAAATATTCATTTGTCGACTAAACAAATCTGGTTTTGGAGCTATTGCATAACTTCAACCAACTATGCATACTGAGAAATGAACTCAATTATAACTCAAGTGGCATATTTTCTCCTTTCTGATTTAAAGTAGATTATAATTTGGGCCTATGGAAAAGGATCAAGAGTAAACGAATATCTGTTCAATGAATTTGGATGTTTTAATAAATAATAGAAAAGCAAGAGGGAAAAGAAAAAAAAAAAAAAAAAAAAAAAAAAAAAAAGAAAGAGGAAAAAAAAAAAAAAAAAAAAAAAAAAAATGATACAATAATTCGGGATAACAAAGCGAAAACACTCGGGTAAACTGATTATACTCTAAAAAAGGAAACAAACTATCAAAGTCGGGATTATCACGGTTGTACTTGCCAAAGTATGGTAATTTTTGTTCCTCTAGTCTTGCGCCATATTTTAGTTGCATTTAGAGGATACAACTTTAATCTCTAAAGATGGAAAGATAAAAAACATAGATACGGAAAAACCATAGTGAAAAAAAGTATCGTGTCGTCCGGTGTCGTCCAGTGTCGTCCAGTGTCGTAGTACTTTATGTCGTATCGTGTCGCGTCAAGAGCCCTGCGTGGAATTACCAAAATCTCCATCTTAAGAAAAAAAAAATTATCAAATTGAGAGATGAGATGAGATGAACTGAGATGAGCTATAGAGAGAAAAGCACGTATATTGTATATTACCTCTAATAATGGCTATCCTTAACTCAAACCCAGAGATACTCTTACGTAAACGGAAAAATGCCGATCGTAAAAGATTAGAGAAACAAGAACAAATACGTGAGAAAATAGCAGCTAGCAAGAGGTTGAAGTTGATACAAAAAAAGAACAAGTTTATACGTGCTGAAACATTACTCAGTAACCACAAATCAAACGAGATTGAACGTAAAAGATTGAAAAATGTTTCCAAGAAATTGAATAAGTTGAATAATGAAAAGAACAACCAGTTAGGTTCGAAAAGTGAAGGTCAAGAAGAATATAGATTATTACTTTTAATCAGGATACCTAATCATACAAAGGGACTCAAAATCCCAAAAAAAGCATACCAAATCTTACAAGTTTTGAAGTTGACTGAGTCTAATACTGGTGTGTTTGTTAAAGCTAGTGAGTCAACTATACGGTTATTAGGATTAATTGCGCCCTTTGTCATTATTGGACAACCATCAATTGCATCGATACGTAAATTATTTCAAAAAAGAGCACGTATAAAAGTGCTGGAAGTAAACGAAGAAACCAATGAAACTGTGGAGAAAATTGTAAAATTGGATAACAACCAATTGGTTGAGGATAAATTTGAAGACGATGGGATGATATGTATTGAAGATTTAATACATGAGATTATATCGATGGGTGATAATTTTATCAAGATTACAAGTTGGTTGGAACCATTTAAATTAAGTCAACCTATAAACGGATGGGGTCCACAGGCCAAATTGGCTAGACTAGTTTACAATAATGATCATAAAGTCTCGATTTCGTTAGCTCAGGACTATAAACTACAAGAAGTTGAAGATATCGATAAAGTCATCGATCTGCAGAATTAGTAGTTATCTGAAGAGGCCAAGGCTTAAAAGCCGGAGTAATTAATTAGATTATGTATGTTGCCAAGTCTAATAAACTTTTGTTGTATTGTAAAAATACATTGTGTTTTCATGATAATGTAAACATTATCATGAAACCACAGATAAAACGTAATGAACGCACCTGATAGAAGAGAGCTTTATCACTAGAATGCCTGATAGTAGAGAGCTTTTATCACTGGAATGCCTGATAGTAGAGAGCTTTATCACTGGAATGCCTGATAGTAGAGAGCTTTATCACTGGAATGCCTGATAGTAGAGAGCTTTATCACTGGAATGCCTGATAGTAGAGAGCTTTATCACTGGAATGCCTGATAGTAGAGAGCTTTTATCACTATTCTTTGCTTTGTAATTCAGAAACTAACTCCTATTGTTCAACTTAATTTGTCAGTGTAGTCAGTGTGCTCCACTATCTCGCTCTGCTCGATAGTGTTAAGTCACATTTTGAACACACTCGGTAAGTGGCAACTCAATATTAGTTGGTGATCTCAAGAAAACAGGCTATAAACATGAGCACCTTCTCTTTTCCTCCTCCCCCCCCCTCCCACCTTCAGAGCGCTTAATATTCCTTTTTCCTTAATTCCGCCGTTTGTGTCAATCTAACAAACTTTCCTGACTTGGCACAAAACTTCCATATTCTGAACTACCCTTCCTTCTTTGTTCAAATTAGGTAGTGTCCCACATCCACATCCACTCACGCACAATACCACTCAACGGACCAAGTAAAAATATAAAACATACATAAAAAAAGTAAAAGAAAGATTTCTATTGTATAACTAAACGGTATTCCATTTCTTCTTAGCAATCTAAAAAGCATTGTCTTTATTCTCTTTCTTTTCAAGCTTTATTCTTTTTCCTTATCGATTTATAGGTAGCAACTATATCCGTTGTGTTAAAATAAGCAGAAGAGTTTTTTTTGTACACACCACCTCTGATTTTTTATTACCCTCTTCTCCTTATAAAAAGATATCTATCTATATATATATATATATATCATCTTGTATGATATATAGACCCTACTTGGTCATCTGTCCTAATAGTATACACATGTTTGGGCAAAACCCAAATTTGAAATTTTGAAATTTTTTATTGAAAGTTGCTTTCTCAAAACTTGCTGTACTTGAAATCTTGTCAAGGCAAAATTTCAGCAAATTTTTAGAGCTGTTCACTAAGGGTGACGGTTTTACAGCCACAACAAGGGGAGAAGGGTAGGAGGGGAGAGGGGGGGGAGGGAGAGGCGGATGTAAATTTGTAGATTGTGCTGCATGTACCTTGTCCTAATGGATTGTCTGAAACTAAACAAGTCAAGTCGTTATACATTGCATATAACCATCCAATACTTTTTATTGCGAGTAATAATTTTTTTTGGACTAAATCGGTTTGCCCCAAAAACGTGTATGTTCTTAGCCGAAAAGAATATACCCATACATTGTTCTCTCTTTCCTTGAAGATATTGGCTCAATAATATAAGAAAAACTTGAATGATTGCATCAAGTGTGGAGCTTTGCAAGACCCAATTTTGGCTTGTTGTTCTCTTTATGTAAATAACGGCTGAATATATTGGTATCATCCAATAATCAGCCACGATTTAAAAATTAGTCAACGCATTTACGTTAAGGATTGAAGAAATCAAAAAAAAGAGTGCGCAATTGGATAGGAGAAAACTACTATCGAAAATCAAGCAAATAAGGATTGTTTCTTCTTAAGAAGAATAAGAAATTTTGCTTTGTAAAAGTGGTCTCTATTTGTTTCATACAAGACGTCTAAGATAGCAAAAAAGAAACGATTGCGCTTAGATTGAACTACACCCCACTTGTCTCTCCCTCTCTTCCCCCTCCTTATCTCTCCCTCTCTTCCCCCCCTTATCTCTCCCTCTCTTCCCCCCCCTTATCTCTCCCTCTCTTCCCCATCCTTATCCTACGAAATGTCTAATTGTTACTAACATAAGATTATATCACTTGTTCGTAGTTATTGCAATTGTGAATCTAAATCAATGTATAACCATAAAAGAGAACATTATTTTGTAAATAGACACTACTAAATTGCATTTTTAGTTTTCTAAATGCTACTTTGTTTTGTTTCATCCATTCTACATTATGTCGAACAATGCTAATAAAGTTGGACACACGGGTTTGATTTTTTTTTTTATCTATTTGCACTCTTTCAATGAACCTTTCATTAAACCCTCTTAATATCCATGACAGCCAAACTTTATCTTAACTTTAATTTTATTGCTGTTAAAATGAGACATGTTTGAAGAATAATATTTCAATAAGGTGTTTGTGTAACTTTTGGTTTGTTTGTTTTTCTTTTTTTTTCTGGACTTTACTTTTTCCGTACGGAAAACTGCAAATATTTTTGTAACCGGACTTTTCAACACAACAAACACTATCGAGCAAAGCGACACTATCGAGCAAAGCGACACTATCGAGCAAAGCGAGATAGTGGAGCACACTACTTGCCACTGACTGTTGTATTTTTCTGTTTAGCACTTTTTAGAAAAATGCAACTGTCAGTGGCAGGTAGTGTCGATAATGTTAGTGGCAGGTAGTGTCAATAGTGTCAGTGACAGGTAGTGTCAATAGTGTCAGTGACAGGTAGTGTCAATAGTGTCAGTTACAGGCAGTGTCAATAGTGTCAGTGACAGGTAGTGTCAATAGTGTCAGTTACAGGTAGTGTGCTCCACTATCTCGCTTTGCTCGATAGTTTCGCTAGTGTCGATAGTGTCGATAGTGTCGATGGTGTATGTCGCACAATGTGTAGTGTATGTCGTACATAGTTTTGTGTATGTCGCATGCACTAATAAAAAAGACCCCTGAAACCCGGATAGTCGGATAGTTGTTACATTAATTATACAAAATGAAATAACCTTACTTGAAACTAAACCAAGTCAGCCCAACCCAAACCAAATTTCTTTTATGTATCATTCAATTCTGTACCAAATCCTTTAATTTTTTTGGCTTTCTTACCTTAACCTCACCTCAAATGCAAAAAAAAAAACCAAATTAGATTTTTAGGTAAGAATGTCTTACCATCTATTATCAAACAAGTCCTTTCAGCCAAAGCAAGTAATTATAATAAAAGCCATAATGCATTGAAAAGTTACAAAAAATAGTCTGACATCAACAAAGGTTTAACCTGTACAATAATCACTTTCCATCTTATTGAGCAAAAACAGTTTTTTGCTGATCTCGCTATATTGAATGATTTGTAGATTTTGTGTATTGGAATTAGTTTTCTTTTCTGGATTAACAAACAAAAACACGCATATTCTGTCCTTGAATAGCAACACGCACATTATGTTCTTGGATAGCAACACGCATTATTATATGTCCTTTGGATAATAGATACCTTGTGCTGCTATTTGATAAATTCAAATGTTTTGACGAACAACTTACTTGCATCCCCCGAATGCTTGGATCTTGGTAGGTCTTGTCTCTCTCTTTTGATAACCTGCATGCTTTTTAGTTCCAAATGTCCCAGTCCCCTTCTCTTCTTTACTCCACCTCTTCCTTCTCTTCTTCCCTCCACCTCTTCCTCCACTTCTTCGGATCTATAAAATAACAGTTGCTTAAACTAATTTCATCTAGGTACATTGACCTCGCAAAAATTAGCACAACAAACGCAAAAAACTAAATTAAAAAAAAAAAGAAGGGGAGGAGGGGGGGAGAGTTGGTGAATAGTGGTAGTGATGGTGATGGTAAATCCTTTAACGCATCCGACTTACCTCTCACAATATTTTTTTCAGCATTTCTTGCATTGTACATTCTCTCATGGAATTTGGACTTTTAAAAAATGCTTCGTCTTATTTTTCTTTTTTGGTTTCTCTGCCTTATATACATTTGTAAATCCATTCTTGCATAAGTTTTTGGTTTCCCCCATTTATGGAAAGGTGCAGTTTAGTGCTATACACCAAATGGATGGAATCCATTGATGTCCCTTTTTATATTGGAAAATTTTTTTATTATAAATAACCAGGTTGATTCTTTGCTATTGAGCCATTTTGAACTTGTAGTTATAGACAATTTTGCCTTTATCCTTTATTCCCCTTGTCCCCTATCACCTTGATAGCATTATTGAGCTTGTCCCTATTACCTTATAGCATTATTGAGCTTGTCCCTATCACCTTGATAGCATTATTGAGCTTGTCCCTATCACCTTGATAGCATTATTGAGCTTGTCCCTATCACCTTGATAGCATTATTGAGCTTGTCCCTATCACCTTGATAGCATTATTGAGCTTGTCCCTATTACCTTATAGCATTATTGAGCTTGTCCCTATCACCTTGATAGCATTATTGAGCTTGTTTTCTCTGTCTTTTCGATATTCGGTTGAATCACTCTGGAAAAGAAAGCAAAGTATGGGAGGGCTATTGGATTTGCTAAACGCAGACGAATATATCAATAGTCGTCAACGACACCTAAATCCTCAGTTACAACCAACTTATACTCCTCCTAGTCTGTCATTAAATAGTAGTTCTCCCAATTCTGATTGCTTGCATCCAACCACAGGAAACATCGAAGACTCAAATTATACAAGCAATTACTCTTCAAATGACCTGTCTTCTGATAACCAAACCTCATACTCCCAAGCAAACTCACCAATAGGCTTTCCGTCCCCCACTGTGGTATCGGCATCGGCACTTTCTGCACCACTGGCTCCAGCCTTTTCAAGCTCTTCTTATACCAGTGGAAAGCCACCTATTGCTGAAAAAACAGAAATCACCACGGCTAATGTACAGAGTCGGACCATCGTTGCAACTGCAAACACCTCTGGGGCATCGTCATCATCATCATCATCATCATCTCGCCAACCAATATCGCATTTGAGAGACCAAATACCCAAACCGAAAATCAACAAGAACATTTTGAAATCTAAGAATTTCGTCAAGTTGGCAATCAGAAGGAAGTACTCAATCAAAAGGAAATACAACGATACAAAACAATCAAAATTGCATATAAAATCATTGAAAGCCGGCATTAAGATTAAGATGACATTGTCGAACAATTTGTTCTCCTTGTACCATTGTCTCATTCCATTCACTGATGACCGCAAGGTTTATTCCTTGTTTGATGATGAATCGAGTCTATCACAGTTGCAAAATTTGATCGAGAATTGCTCAGGCGCGGAAGCTGCAAATGATAACAGCAACAGAAACTTGGTCTCCAAAGGATTGCAACTTATCGATAACAATGTTGTTGATTTGAGTGAATACCTGAACAAAATCATCAAGTCTTTCACAAAGGAAACGAATGAAGCAACACCGACATTTAATTCACTCGATACTGCAGTGAGTACACTTTTCCACACAAGGGATTTTACACTTGTGAGGATAACAAGGTCAACTACCGACGATGTTCATGGAAGCTCGATTTTGAAATTAGAAACAGCTTCGCCTGGTGATTTCAATTTAATTGATGATGAAGAAAACTCTGATGAAATGTTACATTCTTTAGGTAAACCTCACGAAGTTCCAAATAACTTGTTTTTCAAAAAGATCATAGCTAGACCAAGATATAAAAGTAATATGAAGATATATTTTCTACCTCAAACTGTGAAATATTCTTTGTATACTGATCATAGATCATTTGAAAGAGATTTATACAATGGTGTCATACAATTGGAATTTGATAACGAAAAGCTTGACGACTTGAAATTGAAAAGATCATTGAATTATGATCGAAACGTATATTGTACTTTTTGTGTTGATGAGGTTTTGAAAAGTTTCAAAAAATCAATGCTTGAAAGCGCTGAGCAGGTGGTATCGACCGATAACAATGCTGATGTCGATAACAACCCAATAGCAAAGCAACTGACGCTGTCGCTGTCGCACAAAAAGAGGATTGATAATGATAGAGTTGAGACTGATCAAGGACCCAGTTCCATCTCGCGTGATCAGATATCTTATGAGCAGCGGCAACTGAAACTCAGTAACCCGTTGCAGTCTAGATCACGCTCTTTTGATGATAGATTGGCGTTGCCAAATGCCCAGATGGACCTTATTCCCATACCTCGACCATCGGTAATTTTTAACCAAATTTCACAACCACCACAAGCTCCATTGTACCAGCCGCCAGCACCACCACCAGCACCACCTTCGACTCATTATGTATCTCCTCAAGTTCCAGCGTCTATTGCTACATCACCGCATTTCGTCCATCTACCTCCCTTGGCACTGTTGCCACAAACTCCTCGTTCATCGACAGAGAGAGAAGTTGTTTTTGGGCTTGCAAGTGGAATACATCGCCCTACTCAACTCCCACCTATTTTAAGGAATAGTCTGCAATTCGAACAACAACAACAACAGCAGCAGCAGCAGCAGCAACAACAACAGCAGCAGCAGCAACAGCAGCAACAGCCGCAGCACTTTCAGCTTCAGCATGGCATCAACCATCAATTACATCCTGGAAACCGACAGTTTCCTTCTTATCAGCAGTACTTTCAGCACCACATCCAACACATCCAACATCTCCAACACCAACACCATAATGATTATAATCATAGTTCTTACTTTGCCTAAACTAATAAACACACACACACACACACGCACAGAAAGAGAGAGAGAGAGAGATCTCGAAGTTGAGAAAACATTTGACTCTTACTTTTTGATTTTACGATTCACTTATTTATTTCTCTTTTTTTTTTAGCATTTGTATTAGTATAACTATCCTAACACATCTCATTTATTTTTTATTGTCAATCTCTTTTCACACCTTTAATGCTACATTCTCTTTCGTTATGTATTTTTGGAAAGGTTTCAATGCGTTAGCGACATCGTTTTTAACAAACTTTTCCGTTTGTTGAGGTGCTCTACCGATAAAAGTCTTTGGGTCCAAAAGCTCATCCAATTGTCCCCATATTGGTTTGAAGTAGTCATTCTTCTTAACTCTCTCGATCAAATCATTATCACCACCTTCTTGTTTGACAACAGCTGAGGCTTGATGAGATAAAACTCTGATTTCTTCATGGCATTCTTGCCTAGATCCACCTTTTTCAACCATGGCCATAATAATATTCTCGGTAGCCATGAATGGTAATTCTGCATTAATCCTACGTCCAATAACTTTTGGATAAACGACTAATCCCGAAGTAATGTTCAACATTGTTGATAACAAGATATCGCATGTTAAGAAAGCCGAAGGCAAACTTATTCTTCTGATTGCGGAATCATCTAAAGTTCTCTCGAACCATTGAACAGAAGCAGTTTGAACGGCATCGCTAAACAACCCGCCCAAATGTCTAGCAAGAGAGCAGACACGCTCGCATCTCATTGGATTACGTTTGTATGCCATTGCGCTTGATCCAATTTGTGATTTCTCAAATGGTTCTTCAATTTCTTTCAAATTGGCCAATAATCTGATATCGGTAGCAAATTTATGAGCCGTGGCGCCAAATGAGGCAAGTGGAGCCAATACATCAATATCGATTTTACGAGAATATGTTTGACCAGTACAAGGGTAAACGATATCGAACCCCAAGAGTTCAGCGACCCTCTTGTCCAATTGCTCTACTTTGTCGTGGTCACCATGGAACAATGATAAGAAAGAAGCTTGTGTACCAGTAGTTCCTTTGACACCTCTCAAACCAATATCGTTCCTTGCTCTAACCATGTTTCTCAAGTCCCACAACAACTCCTGCAACCACAAAGTAGCTCTTTTACCTACAGTAGTCAATTGTGCTGGTTGAAAGTGAGTCCATCCAAGTACCGGTAAATCCTTGTACTCCATTGCAAACTGACTCAATCTGTCGATAACATTGACTAACTTTGGTATCAAGATATCGTAAGCATCTCTTAAAAAGATCAAATCAGCATTATCGGTAACAAAACACGAAGTGGCTCCCAAATGAATAATACCAGCGGCTTTGGGACATGTCTCGCCAAATGTATGAACATGAGCCATCACATCATGACGCACTTTGCTCTCTTCAATTGCAGCGTCTTGGATCTCCTTATCGGTGATTTCCAAGTGTTTCGACATCTCATCAATCGCCTCATCACTAATAACACCAAGTCCTGCCTCTTGTTCAGCTTTAGCCAAGGTAAGCCATAATCTTCTCCATGTAGAAAACCTATTTCTTATCGAAAAAATCAGCGACATCTCCTCGGATGCATACCTCGATGACAATGGTGTTGCATATTTATCGTATTCCGACATCTCTGAAACGTAAAAAAACTAATGGGTACCTCCTTAAAGTCCTGTAAAAGCCCTTGAAAACAAACAAACTAACAAAATAAGAAAAAAGATATTCATCCATTTAGCTTTTGGAAATTTTTCACTCCCTTGTAACTCCATTGGTTTTTTTTGTTGTTGTTTTTTAGTGAGCCCATTTTACAACTAAAAGATGACGCTACGACATTACGACACTGCGACACTATCGAGAGAAGCGAGATAGTGGAGCATACTGACTAGCGACGCTACGACACTACGACACTATCGAGCGAAGCGAGATAGTGGAGCATACTGACTAGCGACGCTACGACACTACGACACTATCGAGCATACTGACTAGCGATGCTACGACACTACGACACTATCGAGCATACTGACTAGCGACGCTAACTAGTGAAAAGTAATGTCGGATGAGTAGAGTCTACAAAATCAGCCTAATATAAGAATATAACTAGTTGGAAAAAGTAGAATTACATTTCCGTGTGTAGTAGATATATATTTATCAACGCATACTATCAAGCGAAGCGAGATAGTATGCGTTGATTCTGAGCTGCGCCAACTCCGAGCATGTGCCAACTCCGAGTATGTGTTTAATCGGAGCTGTGCTAACTCCGAGTACGTGTTTACTCCAAGCTGTGTTGGTTTGGTGCTGACTCCAATCTGTGTTGATTCTGAGCTGTGCTAACTCCGAGTACGTGTTGACTCCGAGCTGTGTTGATTTTGAGTCGTGTTGATTCTGAGTCGTGTTGATTCTGAACTGTGCCAACTCGGAGTATGTGTTGGTTTGGTGCTGACTCCGAGTATGTGTTTACTCCAAGCTGTGTTGGTTTGGTGCTGACTCCAAATTGTGTTGATTCTGAATTGTTGATTCTGAGCTGTGCTGACTCTGATCTGTGTTTACTCCCAACTGTGTTTACTCCCAACTGTGTTTACTCCCAACTGTGTTTACTCCCAACTGTGTTTACTCCCAACTGTGTTTACTCCCAACTGTGTTTACTCCCAACTGTGTTTACTCCAATCTCTGTTGATTCTGAGCTGTGCTAACTCCGAGTATGTGTTGACTCCAAGTCGTGTTGGTTTGGTGTTGACTTCGAGTATGTGTTTACTCCCAACTGTGTTTACTCCCAACTGTGTTTGCTCCGAGCAGTGTTAATTCTGAGTCGTGTTGGCTTGGTGCTGACTCTGATCTGTGTTGATTTTGAGTCGTGTTGATTTTGAGTCGTGTTGATTCTGAGCTGTGCCAACTCCGAGTATGTGTTTACTCCATGCTGTGGTTACTCCGAGCTGTGCTGACTCTGATCTGTGCTGACTCTGATCCGTGTTCACTCCGAGTATGTGTTGGTCTGGTGCTGACTCTGATCTGTGCTGACTCTAATCTGTGCTGACTCTGATCTGTGCTGACTCTGATCTGTGTTGACTCTGAGCCGTGTTTACTCCGAGTATGTGTTGGTTTGGTGCTGACTCTGATCTGTGTCGATCCTGAGTCGTGTTGATTCTGAGTCATGTTTATTTTGATCTGTGTTGATCCTGAGTCGTGTTGATTCTGAGTCATGTTGATCCTGAGTCGCGTTAACTCCGAGATGTCGATTCTGAGCTGTGCCAATTCGGAGTATGTGTTGGTTTGGTGCTGACTGTGATCTGTGTTGACTCCGAGCTGTATGGACTTTTGTGAGTATATTGATTACAATGACATGGGGGTATATAAACTGTACCTCAATATGTCTAGACAGGTCTTTCTCAGCGGGTCTCCCTCGAGTTCCCTTGTCAATGGGTCTCTTTCCTTTCTTCCACCACCAGGGCATCACCTATATGAATTCCCCTACATCTAGAGGATCCACCACAGTCCAAAGATTAACCTAGCTCCTCATTTGGGGGAGGGGGGGGGTCCATATCAACCAAGTCGGATTTAAATCGTATGGACCTATATGTTTTTCCGAGGTCGTGTGAAACGCGCAAAACTTTGTTGGAACCAGTTCTTCGGCGGATACTCCTTTACTTGACACATAATCTCAAACTTAATTTATATTGAAAGATGCTGATGCTGAGCCTGAGGCTGATGCCAAAGCTGAGGCTGAGGCTGAGGCTGAGGCTGGTCACCGAAAACGGAGATTCGCCAGACTTGAAACAACCAAGAGATGTACTGTCTAATCTTCACGAGGAAACTAGCTCATCTTTAGACCAACCACCTACAAAAAGGAAAAGACAAGCCAAGAGTAGTAAATCAAACGATAATGTCAGTGTAACAAGGCGATTAGCACAAGCATCTCGTACTCTCAGGGCCTGTGATCTTTGTCGAAAACAAAAAACAAGATGCTTTCGATCTCCAGAAAATCCAAATGCGTGTCTACGCTGCCAATTTGTCCACAAGACCTGTTCCTTTGAAGTTGAAGCTGAAGTTGACGCTGAGAATGGGGAAATTGGCACTAATGTGAATAGTAGCACCAGCTCTCAGAAAAACAGGGAACATAAATTGGACTTGATATTGAGTGGAGTTTATAAACTCATTAGAATTGCCGAGAAAACCAACTTGGAAACCGTTGATACAGATGTGCACAATAGTGATACGCAGCTATTATTAGACGTTGCTAGTTCCATGCAGAGTGAAGGAGGCAGTGGTGGTGGTGAAGAGGAGGAGACAATTGTCAGCATTGATGACATAGATTCAAGTGCACCTAATTTCCAATCTGGTTCAACGACATCAATAACTTCACCATTTTCAATTCTTAAATACGCAACTTTGACTAAACCTGCTAGTTATCAACCTACTCCAATTATGAAATTATTCACGTTGTCGTCTCAACAACAATCTCAAGATAATCTAGTAGACTTGGGTATTTTAACAGAGCATGAAGCTATTGCATTAATGGATGATTTTAGGAGAAACTATGGTCGTTGGGTATCGTTCCCCATTAACTTGTCCACGCAAATACTCGTTTTGGATCTAAAGCAAAGGTCACCGCTATTGCTTGCTACTTGCTGCTGCCTCACTTTAAGGTACATTTCCCTTAACGATGAAGCAGCAGTTTGGAAATTTCACCAACTAAGTAAAATTTTGATCCGCCATTTGAATCAATCCTTATCAATGATTACTTGCTTTCTGAGTAGTGAATATGGCTTTGTTGAATTCTTACAAAGTTTAGTTGTGCTTAGTATTTATTCGACTTCCCTATCTGCCTTAGTGGCAAGCATCGCCAAAATCAAACATGATTCTGAACTCATGGAATTTAATTTAGATCCTTGGCAAATATCTAGTGTTGGTATTACTGCGTTTCTAACCAAGTCAACATTTCAGTTATTCCGTACAAGTGACGGAGCGAATGAGCAAACCAGGCAAAATAATGGTTCGTATGGCACCTTGACATTACTTCGAATCTACAATCATTTATGTCTAGTACACATTATCAATTCTGTATTTTCTGGGCGAATGGCAGTGGTAGATGATTCAAGGGTTAAGTATTGTAGCTCTGTATTGAGTTTATTTGATGCTACAAATTTCGATGGTAGAATGGTGGCAGAGATTTATATCTTATATTCAACTTATAGATACACCCAACTAGGCAATAATAATAGTGCATCAAGACCTTCTTCCCTTATAGAATCCGATTTTAACGATGTTTTAAAAGAGTTTCACCAGTGGCACCAAAATTGGGCGTACTTACTCCAGCAGCCAGCTTTGCAGTTTGTTGAGCTTACTTATAATTTTTGCTTAGTGTTGGTAAACTACGTACGTTTGTTTCAAAAAGTAATGATACCACATGAAGCACAAAAACAACTTGATCTTGATCCACAGTTAATGACCAATACCTTAATCCAAAGTAGTGCTCAAGAACTAACCAAAATGTGTGAATGTGCCGAAAATGTGGCTAATCACATGAATGCAATCATCAATGATCTGTACCTTGCTTACTTGTCTGATCAAGTACATTTTTGTTGCTATTTTAGTGGTATTTTTTTGATCAATATAGTCAAAGTCATGGATAAGAAGGAGGCTTTAGAAATGAAAAGAAGAAAACACAAGGCAGTAAACACCGTTAAGAATCTCATACGGCAGTTTAATAAAATAAGCATAAACAATGGAGAGGACATATTTTCAAAATACGCAGCGGGTCTACGTGAGTGTCTCATGGAAATATAGGTTTTACAACAAGTTATTCCAATTTATTTCACTTATTTGTTATCTATTTATTTATTTATTTATTTGAGATGCCCTTTGTAGTTTCCTTCCATATAGTCAATATGTACAAAAGCTCTTTCGACCATTGGCAAACTTTCAATGCTATACTGCAATGCCTCAGCGATATCATGACAATCTTTAAAACTAAGATTGAACTTATCATTAGCAAAAACTACATCGATTTCCACATTCAAGTTGTCCCCCACATGATACACTTTTAAAGCAGTTATTTGTTTGATTGGTTCGGCGAATCTAAGTGCCATATAAAGTATGATCTTGTAATCCAAAGGGTTGGCTACTGCGCCAGTCAAGTTGTTTATATGTTCAAAAGCGGTCTTTCCCCAGTTGACTACAATGTATGCTGATAATAGCAACCCGCCCAAGGGATCAAACCACCATATATTGCAAACGTGACCAAGCCACGGCATTGACAATGAGACTGTATTAAAAACAACGTCAGACATTGCATCCTGTGCCAATGCTTGCACGGAGGACGATTGACTTTTGGAACACCAAACCCAACATGCAAATTTAGAAACTATTGTAACGACCATGATTGCAATTGCATCGAGTCCGATTGTTGCTGGAACTTTTTGCTCCAAAGTACTGAAAACTAATCTCTTGAACGATTCTTGGCCAACTTGAAAAAAAGAAATGATTATGATTATTGAAAATATGAGAACGCCAAGTGGCTCTAGCCTTGATCTTCCAATTGGATATGAATGTTCTACCCTCCAGTCATTTTGACCAGCAAGCCTATGGACGATATAAATGATGAATGTTGACAAAAAGTCCAAGATAGAGTCAACCAACGATGCAGCAACCGATAAAGAACTGGTCAATAATGCTACTATAATTTTTCCAATCAACAAAATAATGTTGACGAGAAAATTCACCAAGATTGCTTTCAAAACTTGCAAACTATCCTCCTCCTGGTTAAAGCCTAAGAATTTTCCTCCGTCATTGTCTACGTTCCCAGGTACATCATAAAATCTTGAAAACTTTGATGCGGGTATATCACCGCCGATAGTCCGTTCCAAGTCCTGAGAAGTAGTAGAACGGTGCTCTGATTGCAACGTCTTGTTATTTGGACTTTCTTCATTTTGAAAATTTTTATAACCAGTTTTGGATTCAGTGCTGGTACGTTCACCTTCAGCACTATTTGGCTTGATGGTTTCGTCAATCTCCTCAATATTGTCCAAGGCGATTCTGCCGTTAGAGCTGTCATTGCCATAGTTACTTAGCATGTTATAATGAATCTTGCCAGCGTCTAGAAAATTATCAATCTCTTGAAATTTCGTAATCAAATAATTTTGCTCCTTATAGTATTTGCGAACCTTTCGGTTCTTGATTTTCTTAACATTGTCCTTGTAAAAAGCATACCAGTTGCAAAGAGGTTTGATACTTCCAATCAACTTTGACGGTCTGAGGTTATTAACGATATCAATAATACTCAATCGCCTAGGTTCGGCGGCAGAGCCGAATTCATTACCAAGAGAAGCCGAGCTTCCATCTTGTATGTGGAAAAGCGGCAGGCTTAATTGTGGTGAGCTTTTGTTGGCTGCTACATAAGCATCAAAAGGTGAATTTGGATTAGTTACCGAATGATGGCTGGATAACAACCTTTGAAAGAATGGCATCTCTGGGTTCATTTTCGAATAATCATTGACAGAAAAGGAGTATCGGCGTATGGGACACCCGAGTTCTTCAAAGTCTGTGAAGTCGGAGTAGCCTAAATTGCTCAAAGCGTTTCCCAGGGGACGTCGGCGTGCAATAAATGAGCTTGAAGGTCGAAATGGGGCAATACCAGCTCCAGCTCCAGCTGCAGAGTTTGTCGATGCAAGTGATGAAGACGAGTATTCAGAATGACGTAGTGGACTTGGTGAGCAATGCTTATTCTTTGAAGGTGGTGCATATTTCTTCCTTTCCAGCGATGATGATGATGATGATGATGACTCGTCGTGATTGGCAAGGAACAGCAGTGTCTCATCCTCTTTTTTAATTGTTGTAACCATCCTCTCACTCTGAACCTTAACAACAAGTGCAATTGTCCTTATCTATAAGCTTTTGTGTGGTATGCTATATGGTGCAATTGCTAAATAGTGTTTTAGTTATGTAGAATGAAATTTCCAATTAAAAAGAAAAAGTAAAAGCTCCAAGGTTAAATCTTGAGATCTTTTCTTTGAAATGAACAGGTATCGGATAATGTGTCACTAGTAGGTATGGACTTTCACCCCGATTGTGTCTCATTGTCAGCCTTTCTTGATGAACAGTCAATCTATTGTACAATTTTTATCATTTAAACTCATCTTAGCGCATATTCAATTTAGTTTTCTTTGTAATTCAATGCATTGTTAAGCAAGTCTAAAAAAGGGACTTGTGGCTAACACTATCGACACTATCGAGTAGAGCGAGATAGTGGAGCACACTAGTTACCACTGACAATCGACACTATAGAGCAGAGCGAGATAGTGGAGCACACTATGGGTGTTAATGAGTAGTGAAACACCTCAAGTGTGTCAATGACAGTCAGTGCTCGAGTAAGTCAATGACAGTCAGTGCTCGAGTAAGTCAATGACAGTCAGTGCTCGAGTAAGTCAATGATAGTCAGTGCTCGAGTAAGTCAATGATAGTCAGTGCTCGAGTAAGTCAATGACAGTCAGTGCTCGTCAGTGCTCGAGTAAGTCGATGACAGTCAGTGCTCCACCATCTCGCTTTCCTCCATAGTGTCAAGTAATGGCAATTGAGACAATTACATGTAAACAATTTGACATCATTGTCAAAATGGTAGAACGGTATCTACATTTGATCAAATCGTGGTGGAACAAGACCCAGAGATGTAACTGTAGGAGTTGCGCCGCAATCAGATATAGGTTGTACTTTCCTAAAACGTAGGTTGCACTTGCCTCTAACGAAGGAGTTGCACCAACCTCGAACGTAGAGATTACTATTTATTCTACTTACAAACTGGTTTTAGCTTTCTTTCTGAAAGATGCCATTGATCGACACTATCGAGCGGAGCGAGATAGTTGAGCACACTGAATACACCGACACTATTGACACTACACTATCGAGTGAAGCGAGTAAATATTGGCTCTCGTAGTTGTAACAAGGTGCAAAGTGGAGCACTATCAAGCGACACTATAGACACTATCGAGCAAAGCGAGATAGTGGAGCACACTGCTTGATAGTGGCACCTCCAAAAGTGAAACACCTCCTGAATTAAAAACTTACCCGGCTATTGGAAATGGAAATTTTTTTCAAACTTTTCTTCTCATTGAAAAAAAAAAAAACTTTCACATTTATACCCATTACTTCTCTTTCTTTCTAGTTACAGTACTATACTATGGCTTAATTGATCAAGTCACAATGATATAAAGTCAAATTATATTTTGACTTTATCATTTTGATTTAATTGGTATGTTAATTCATTTCCGAGCACGTATGCTTTGACCCTTCCTGCTTCCCTGCTTCATCAAAAAAGCACTCTTCCGTCTCACCAACATGATTAAATTCAATGATATAACTTTTTTTGAACTGAGGATGTACATGCAGGACATATCGTTAAGGAATTCTTCGTTTATGATTGTGTTTCAGAAGAAGAGGTGGTTTTTATTGATGAGGTGGTTGCCCAAGTAATATACTAACGATTTTGCCAGTATGTAATACACGTTGGAGAAGTTGCATTTGCTTCTATCGTTTTCTTTTCTCTCTTGCAAAATGATGAATATGTTCCTACATTTTTCTGTCCGGTGAATATTCGTGATCCAATGGATATCAATACATGCATCACCATCTGATTTTTGTTGCATTTAGAGAGGAACACAATTTCTATATTGACAGGCTGGTTTACTAACGGTTTAGAAAGGTATGTTCAAAACCAATATCCCTTAATTTCATTATGATGAAAAAAAATATATTATCAGTTCTGCTTCTGAACCAAAAACAAGCTGAAGATACTCAATTTACCAAGCTCATTAACTTTCCTGATATAATGAAAATAAGGACAATAGAGGAAAATGTCTCTTTTTTTAAAAAAAAAAACAACTGAATAACTAACTAACATTATTTAAAGGATTTATCTTTTTAGTTTAGCATAAGTAAATTTTTGTTTAATAAATTTTATACATTGAATATAACTACTTTTCCATCTATTCCAGATGTAGATACTTGGCCATTGGCAAAGTTCTTGATACTGACGATTGTATTTTGATGAATGGTGCTCAATGCCTTTGCAGCTTTGCCAGTAGAACTTCCCATGCTTGGCTTGTTGACTCTACCTTTCAAATCCATTTGCTTGAACATGTTCAAAGCTTGGTGAGAAGTAATTTCCTGGTCATCGTCATCATTATCATCATTGTTGTTGTTATTACGATTTCTTGGTGTCTCTTTAGTTAAATCTTTCTGCTCTTCGATTTGGTATGCTTCTTGCCAGTTTGACTCATCACCCTTGAACACAACTAGATTACAGTTGAACCCTCCAACCACAATCGAGTTATCCGAGGCCCAAACAACCGATTCAAAGGGCAAATAGTTGGTTCTAACGTTCAAAATGGATCTGGGAGCTAAACCTTCGCCTTGAGGGTATACAACGCCGATTGAAGAGTCATGTGCTACCCATGCTAACGCATCGCCATTGGGACTAAATTTGACACCATGAATCCAAGCTAATGTTTCGTTAGTGAAATCACCACATAATGTTTGGAAAGGCAACTTTGTGCCCCATACACTTGGCTCGGGCTTATTGTCGATTCCCTTAATGTATCCACTGAACACTCTCACGTGTCCGTCAGTAGATCCACTAGCCAATAAAACCCCATTAGGGTGCCAGTCCAAAGTGGTGATTGTTGACTTGATGGGCTTTTTCAAATGTTTAGAAATCCACCAATCATTCTCAGCCTCGTAGTAACAAACGGCAATGATTCTGTCACTAGACCCAACTGCAAACTTTTGCCCATCGGGCGACCATCTACACACGGTGGCTGCTCTATTGATACGCAAAAGAACCAATGTCGGTTTAAATTCTCCATCACGAAATTCCCAAACAAGCGCATTTCTGTCCTGAGAACAAGTCAATACTCTCGACCCATCAGGAGAGATATCAACTGACGTCACCGTTTTGTCGTGATCTCTTAAATTCGCAACCAATTTGGGCTTGTCGCTAAGCCTAGCTGGATTAATCTTATAAATCTCAACCTCATTCTCTTTGGTCACCGCCAAGATCGTTCTATCCGGTGAGAAAACATGATCTTTGATGGGCAAATGACCCAATTGATAAATCGCTGATGCTTTAGTCATATATTACGAGCTTAGCAAGAAGTATTGGTAGTCAGGAGTTATCTCTCTACTGAACTTATGGTTCCTTGTAAAAGCCTATTAAACAAATTTTCAACTTTTCTGGTAAATATATTTTGTCGCGGCGGCAAGAATCGGATAAAGAGAAAAGAGAGAGAGGGAGAGGGAGAAGGAGAAGGAGAAGAAGATAGAGAGAAGGAGAAGGAGATAGAGAGAAGGAGAAGGAGATAGAGAGAAGGAGAAGGAGAGGGAGAAGGAGAAGGGGAAGGGGAGAGAGAGAGAGAGAGAGAGAGAGAGAGAGAGAGAGAGAGAGAGAGAGAGAGAGACTGAAAAAGTACCAAATTTCAATAACATTCAAACTAACTTGATACAACACTAAGTGTTTCTCCACTATTCTCGCTCTGCTCAATAGTGTCGATAGTGTCGCGATGGATATAACTTTTTTAAATAAGGAAAAACCGTTGCTGAGGTATGAGTGAGCAAATAAATATATTAGTCTTCGTGTAGTCTCTTGTGTAATATTACCCCAGTTTGTCCATTTCGTGCTCTTCATTCTGTTTTGCTTTCACAAATTCTCTTGTTTTAATCCAGTAATGTTGTATTTTTGGATTCTTTATCTTCATAACTTCGCCGTCCAATCTATCAACAATTGTTGCGAACAAATTACCCGTTTCTGGATTATACAAGATTCTCAACCAGTAAAAAATCAAAAATAAGGACAATTGGTACCCACTTGCATTTCGGAAAAACAATGTTCTCAATATCAAGTATGCTATCAAAACCAATTCATCGTATGCAATTATCGATGATAAGAGTGAAGCTTTTTTTTCAATTATTTCAATCTTTTTAAGCTTACCAATTTGCAACAAGCTTATTGCAAAGTATGGGATAACCTTGAAAACCGATTTGAATGTAAAACACCAAACAACAGCTAAAATGATGTACTGGAAGTTTTGATGGCTTAGCAAAGTTGCAATTGGGGGCAAAAAGTGTAAACCAAACTTGTGGCTAAAAGTAGCAGTCAATGCTATAATTGAGCCAATTAACGTCAATCGATATGCTATGGAGTTGATGTAGAAAACATTAGGCAACCAAAACACCTGAAATATAAATGTTATGGTACCAAAAACCAAGTTCAATGTATGACCAAGCAACCAAGCTCTATACTTGATAGCATGTCTATTAGGTGGTGCTCGAATCAATTTTTTTTTCATCCTATGTATACCTTCATTAGGTGTTTTATTCGTTGGCTTCGTCTTTGACAGAGATCCAGAGCTCTGGACCAACCCCGAACCCGGACCTGCCATTTCCTTGGAATCAACTTTTCCATCTTGCTGTGTTTCTACCATCGTAGACATTGCCAATTTCCAATTTCCAAATATCCAACTTGAACAAAATTACTTTATACCATATAGCAATTGTAAAGCGGAATTAAAATCAAAGATGGAATTTCGGTGATAAAAGGTTTTGTTTTTTATATGCAGTACTTCATCGGAATTTTTCAAAACTCGTTTAAGGAAAAATGCTTTAGGGTCAATTGATGTGGTGTTGGTGTGTAGTGTCTAGTGTCTAGTGTCTAGTGTCTAGTGTATAGTGTAGTGTATAGTGTGTGGTGTGTGTATAGTATACATTCATGAGCCATGTCAACAGACTCTAATTTGGAGAATTCTTTATTGGTAGACTACACGCGAGTGCCACAACTTACAGATTTGGAGTCTTCTGTGCTAACCGAGTATCAAAATATCAACACAAATCTTGTCAAGGTAAACCAGCTACTAAAATCATTCACCAACAAAAATGACGCAAATAATCATAGCATACGACTAATAAGGAACCTAAGGGAGTTGGAAACCAAGATACCGCTTATTTATACCTTTTTCAAAGGTGCTGTGTACAGTTTGTATGCCGAGGAGGATGAAGGTATTGTTGATGACGAATTGAAATCAGGTGGTGATGATGGTGATAATGAAGAAGGGAATGAACGGGAAAATGAAAATGACTCTGATGATATTGATGAGAAAGGTACGCACGAACTACTGAGTATTTCAGATGCAGAAGGGTTGGAACCAGAATAGGTGTATGGTAGAGGAGGAGTAGTGGAACCAGAATAGTATGGTAGAGGAGGAGTAGTGGAACCAGAATAGTATGGTCGAGGAGGAGTAGTGGAACCAGAATAGGTGTATGGTAGAGGAGGATTTTTGCTACACAATTCTATATACAGTGTCTCCATAATAAAGATCGATTTTCAAGACCTTAACCCCGCGGTTAATCAATAGATGATCAAAATCTATTGTGCCAACGTACTTTATCGTAGCCGTCTTTTCTCCTGACTTGTCACTTACCTTAGCTTCCCCCAGGAAATTCACTAAATAATCTCGGTTTTTGTTTATTTCAAAATCATTCGTGCCTCTTTTAACTTTGTGCACCTTGCCACTGGATTTTTCGTGTGTTTTTACGTTTGCGTTTGAGCTCTCAAGTTCATTCAAACCTATTCTTAGCGATGTAATTGAGTTTGCCGCTATTGAACTTATATTCAAGCACTTGACAGCCCATTTGAAGTTGACACTATTCTGGGGCTTGTTTGATCCTTGTTTTACATTTTGAGTGAATTCAAACTGCATGCCAGAAACACTGGGGTGTTTCACTTCCACCCATGTTTTGAAACAGTTGTCGCTGCCATTGTCGTTACTGTTTGCACTATCGACATTCAATGGGAGTCCAAATATTTCACGAACTTTCTTAACTGACGAAACTCTTTCTAAGAGGGCATAATTGACATGGTTTTCTCTGAAATCTCGCAAAAAGTCTTCAATATCGCCCTTCTTCAAATCCATGGGATCCTTACGACACAATTGGCCCATTTCGGTTAATAAATACTCATAGTATTGAGGATCAAGAAACTTTATTCCCTCGGGGAAACTGTACGACTTCCTGTACCATATATTTAAGTTAAACCAGAGCGGTACAAATATAGAACGTTCACGCTCACGTTGGTTTACCCCGGTTGACCCCATTTCATTCTCATCTCTCTGGAATTTAACGTATTGCACTATAATATATACTAGCATGCTCAAGGAAGACGAAGTTGCAATTAAAACCAAAATAGTCCGTAACGGTAGTCTTCTTGATTCCTTTATATAAGGACTATTTGTATTGACAGAGGAGAAGGTTTTGGCTTTGTCCAGTTGAATGGCATTTATTATTAATTGGTCATACTTGTTCTTTTCAATTTCCTTGTTGGAATCTCTCGAGGGGTGGTTGTTTGTGTAGTGTAGTCGATTTGTTCCTAGCACCGTTGGCAAAGTGGGAACACGGCACACTTTTCTACAAGGTCCTATCCTGTAAAGTCGACTCATGTTTGCAAAGTAACCGCCTCATTCAATATATGCCTTTACTTTTTATAGAAAATACAAAGATAAAACTATTTTCGCTATAAAATTATACAAAAAATGATGCGAATCTATCAATGGGGGGAGGCTCAATCAATGGGGAAAAAGAGTCTATCAATGGGCGGGAGAGAGTCTATCAATGGGGGGAGAGAGTCTATCAATGGGGGGAGAGAGCCTATCAATGGGAGAGGGTCGATCAATGAGAGGGCCTATCAATGAGAGGGCCTATCAATGGGAGAGGGCCTATCAATGGGAGAGAGTCTATCAATGAGTTTTATTTAGACCTTGGAAACTTTCATTCTTACTCTTCAAAGCTCGCCCAGTCTATCTTTTTTTTATCTAAACGTTCTAACATCTCTAGTAATTCTCTCTTTTTCCGTTCTTCTTCATCATGTGTTTTGTTGGCTATATTAATTGTTTTTTCAGTCTTTTCAGTTTTTTCAGTCTTTCGATTTTGTTTCCTTTTTTGTTTTGTAGCAAGTTGAATTCTGTCAGCTAAGGCTTTAGCGGCTTGAGTTGGTGGTCCTCGCTCATCTGCCTGTGGCTCATCTGCCTGCGACTCATCTGCTCGCCGCTTATCTACTCCTTCCTCTGCTGCCCCCTCTCCTCTCTTGTCCTTTACATTTTTCTTTTTACCTTTTCCATTTTTCAACCTCGTGTATTTTGAATCTGGAGACAAATGCAAATTAGAATGAAATCCATTTTTTTGACAATTAACCCCATTATGTCGATATTCAGACTCTTTTGCATTTGCTGAGGAGCTTGAATCGCTAATGTCTTTCCATTTGCTCTCCAAATGACCTTGTCTATCCTTATCCATTGCACCGACACCTTTCTCTCCTTTGAATTTGCTTAAACGTTCATTTCCACCTTTCTCTCCCTTGTATTTGCTAAACACTTCATTTCCACCTCCATTCTTGTCTATCCTATTGGCATTTCCACCTCCATTCTTGTCTATTCTATTGGCATTTCCACCTCCATTCTTGTCTATCCTATTGGCATCTTCCCCCCTCAGCTCATCGGCATCGGCCCATTTCGAAACCAACCCCATCAAATGCTACTTAGAGAAGAATAGAAAAGCAAAATCCAGAGCAAAATCCAGAGCAAGATCCAGAGCAAAATCTAGAGCAAATCCAGTAAAAAAAAAAATTAAATCATCTCTTCTCTCTTGAAAAACGAGATACGGGGGTTACACTTTGGGGGGTTAGAATCTGGGGAGAAACGGGTGATGGACTCCCACTTCCAGAACTTCTCTGACGGAGGGGAAAAAAGAAAGAAAAAAAAAAACCCCCCCAACTAGTTACTCATTTGCAAAGCAACAAAAGCCACTGATTAGTTCCTCCCTTATCGCATTGACATATAAGCCCAATGCTTCAAGAGAAGCTAAACATGAAATTGAAGCATTTCCCTATTTTTAAATTCTACATTTTACATTTTACATCGTAACAAAAGGACTAACAATTTCCGGGGATTCCTTTAAAGAAGAAAAAAGAATTCAAGCTTAATAATTTTTTCACTAAATTTGCTTTCCTTATAATAATTTTCTTGTATAGTAATGATAGTTAGTTATAGTTAGGCAATATATATATATATAGAGAGAGAAGGAATTTTTCAGTTATCGATTTAATTAATATACATTGAATTTTATACCAACACATAGGTTTTTGGGTTATTAAGAAGCAATTGGACTCTATAAAATGGCACCTACCACTTCGTTTAAATTGGCTACGGAATTACCAGCTTGGAAAGACTTGGAATCTCTCTATAATAAGGAAGGTAAGAATTTTAACCTTGTACAAGCATTCCAAAATGACCCAAAAAGATTTGATGAATTTTCAAAAATATTCACCAACTTTGACGGGTCAAAGATTCTTTATGATTTCTCCAAGAACTTGGTCAATAAGGATATCTTTGACAAGTTAATTGACTTGGCTAAACAAGCAAATGTTGAAAAATTGAGAGACGAAATGTTTGCCGGTGACCATATCAATACTACGGAAGATAGAGCTGTTTACCACGTGGCATTGAGAAACCGTGCTTTGAGAAAAATGCCTGTGGATGGAAAAGACACTTGTAAGGAAGTTGACGATGTCTTGCAACACATGAAGGAATTCTCTAATCAGGTGAGAGACGGTTCATGGAAAGGTTTTTCTGGCAAGGCAATCACCGATGTGGTTAATATCGGTATCGGCGGCTCCGATTTGGGTCCAGTAATGGTCACAGAGGCATTGAAAGCATACCACAAACCAGGTTTGAATGTACACTTTGTTTCAAACATTGACGGAACACACATTGCCGAAGTCTTGAGAGCGCTTAATGTAGAAACAACATTGTTCTTGATTGCTTCCAAAACCTTCACAACTGCAGAGACTATCACAAATGCCAACACGGCTAAAAATTGGTTTTTAAAACACTCAAATAACAATACCGATGCCATTGCCAAACATTTCGTTGCTTTGTCAACCAATGAGAAAGAAGTTGTTAATTTCGGTATCGATGCAAAGAATATGTTTGGATTTGAGAGTTGGGTTGGAGGACGTTACTCGGTTTGGTCTGCAATCGGTTTGTCAGTTGCAATCTACATTGGATTTGACAATTTTGAGAAATTTTTAAAAGGTGCAGAAGCTGTTGACCAACATTTCTTAACTACTCCATTGGAGAACAATATCCCGGTTATTGGTGGTTTGCTCTCTGTTTGGTACAACAATTTCTTTGACGCACAAACCCACTTGATTGCCCCATTTGATCAATATTTGCATAGATTCCCAGCATACTTGCAACAATTGTTTATGGAATCTAATGGTAAATCAGTCACAAGAGCCAATGTTTTCACAAATTACCAAACCGGTGCTGTTATCTTTGGTGAGCCAGCTACAAATGCTCAACACTCCTTCTTCCAATTACTTCACCAGGGAACAAAAGTCATTCCAGCTGATTTCATTTTAGCTGCTCAATCGCAAAATCCAATTGAGAACAACAAACACCAAAAAATGTTGGCTTCCAACTTTTTTGCTCAATCCGAAGCATTAATGGTTGGTAAAAACGAAGAGAAAGTTAAGGCTGAAGGTGCCACTGGAGGATTGGTTCCTCACAAGATCTTCAGCGGTAACAGACCAACAACATCAATCTTGGCACAGAAGATTACTCCTGCTACTTTGGGTGCTTTGATTGCATACTATGAGCATGTCACTTTCACCGAAGGAGCTGTTTGGAACATCAACTCATTCGACCAGTGGGGTGTTGAGTTGGGTAAAGTTTTAGCCAAGGCTATTGGTAAACAATTGGACGACAAAAAACCAGTTGAAGACCACGATCCTTCTACTAATAGTTTAATCAATACATTTAAGGAATGGGAAGAGTGACTAACCATGAAACTATAAAAAATAAAAAAGACCAAAAAACAGAAAAAGAATTATGAGTAGTAGGTCTCGCGCACTGGTTAATGGAAGGATCTTACAAGAAGGAGCAAGAAGAGCAAAAAAACACCGCTTTTTATTGATCTTTCTTCAATGAGCTGTTTGTAGAAACTACTGATGTAGAATTATAGCGTATGTAACCGAAAAACAGATTTTATGAAGAAAAGAAGAAGAAGAAGAAGAAGAAGAAGAAGATTCTTGTTGGTTTGATGGAACTTTTTCGGACCTTTTATTTTTTTCTTTATTTTTTTTTTTTTTTTGGCAAAGCGTAGAGATGCTATTGCCTTTTGAAGACAATACAACACTTGTGAGTTCACATTTGTCTTATTGACACTATTTGGAGTACTGCTCTGCTCTTCCTTACTTATCTCGACATCGCCTAATGTCAGTCTCAGAGCAGATTCCGCACGAGGATCTTGAAAACCCGCTACGTATAGTTCTTGTATTGGACATTCCCAATTCGAAAGAGTCAGAAATGGAAGAGCGTTTACTTGATGATCTTCAAACTTTTGACTCTGTTAATGAGTTTTTTGATGCTTTTGATGAGAAAGTGGCTATTCCCAATGAAGGACATATAAAGTATGAAGTGGGTAGTGATGGACTAGTCGTTATTATCGTTGACGGAAATGAGTTGAAAGACCGTGTCTTGGAGTTTATCGATGAATATGAGCAAGAGATGGGGAACAGTAACCATGATAAGGAGGAGGAGGAGGAGGAGGAGGAGAAGGAGGAGGATAGCTCTGGAAAGAAGAAACAAAAAAAATAAATGACATGAATGCATCTTGAAAAATACAGCGAGAAGTGCATGCCTTTCCAGTATAGTTTTGCAAGCGACACTATCGAGCAGAGCGAGATAGTGGAGCACACTAGCTGCCACCGACAATCAACTTTCCCGTGTGTTGTTGCTCCATTAACGAGCAGAGCGAGATAGTGGAGCATTACTTACCAGCAACACTGACTAGCGCATTAAGCTAGTCGACACTATTGAGCAGAGCGAGATAGTGGAGCAGTACCTACCAGCAACACTGACTAGCGCATTAAGCTAGTCGACACTATTAAGCAGAGCGAGATAGTGGAGCAGTACCTACCAGCAACACTGACTAGCGCATTAAGCTAGTCGACACTATTAAGCAGAGCGAGATAGTGGAGCAGTACCTACCAGCAACACTGACTAGCGCATTAAGCTAGTCGACACTATTAAGCAGAGCGAGATAGTGGAGCAGTACCTACCAGCAACACTGACTAGCGCATTAAGCTAGTCGACACTATTAAGCAGAGCGAGATAGTGGAGCAGTACCTACCAGCAACACTGACTAGCGCATTAAGCTAGTCGACACTATTAAGCAGAGCGAGATAGTGGAGATTTGTTTTTGGCGCTATATATTATATACCTCCTAAAGCTAGTGTGCTCCATTATCGAACAGGGCCATAAGCTACTCTAGTAGCTTATGGCTCTGCTAGTGGATAAAAAGAGAGGTGGAATCCAAACTGGGTAGTTAATACGGTTATATAGTCATTAAAACAATCTAGTATTTAATAAGCAATAGAACAATCTAGTATTTAATAAGCAATAGAAACCTTTTACTAATGATTGAGACATTAATATCAAATCTGGTCCCACACACGGGTTTGCTTGCTCCACTATCTCGCTCTGCTCGATAGTGTCGGTGGCAGATAGTGTAGCTTGAACAGTGTATGCCTTTTCAGTGTAGTTTTGCAAAATGAAGCCAAACTTTTATAGACCAGACTACATTATATGCACCTAAACTACAGTAATCCCTCTTATTACATCGTTACTGGTTATACAATTGCCTCTTGTAAAGCTATACAGAAAAGGCTTCATCTGTAAAGACCTACTTGATCTTGATAGATAGATATGTGTCACGTGATCGTAAGTCTCTAGTTATTTTTTATTTTTCCGGCACTGGTGGACCTTGAACGACGTAGAAGAGACAAGACAAGTAGACGGATATACAAGTATACGGCACACGATAGACGGAACAATGGCGTCGAGAGATTGGAGGTCCATAGATATAGATGCGTTAGAAACAGATGCACACCTTACAGAAGAAGATCTTAAGCCCGACTTACCTGTAACTCTGCAATCGGACATTTCAGCAGTAGCGCAAAAAGTTCGTACACAATTATCATCGGGGGAATTTCAACAAGCGCTTGAATTGGCCTTGGACAATGCTCCATATGTCTCCGATACACCACAGACCAAAGAAATACATTTGAAAACCGTTTTTGAAATTTTGTGCTCGATAAGGAATAATAACAATTTGTCTGATTTACCCAAATTTGTCAAGAATTTGAACCAGGAACAACAAGATACTTTGGTCAAGTATTTGTACAAGAACATGTCTACTGCTTATGGTCAGAAACAAGGTGGTTTACTATTGAATTGGTTTGAAAAGACAATTGAAGTTACCGGTGTTGGGTCAATTGCTAGATTTTTGACAGATAGGAGAACTGTATAGCTAACTGAGCCGAAAGGCAATTCTCAAGTAGTACTATATATAAGGCAGAGCGTTTGTAGGAAAAGAGCCATCTTATTAAAATTATATATATTGTATAGTTTATAGTCAATTGTTGCACCTTGCTATTAATTTCTAAGCTGACCTCAAGGGTGTTGACTTATTCGATTCAAAAGCATTCTTCTTCAATGGTGATGAGTTCTTACGCAGACCTCCATGAGATTTCTTCCCAATCTTCTTAGCCAGCAGAGTCGTCTTATTTGAAGGCTGTAAGATACCATTTTTTTTAGGGGTGTTGTACTTACTTGAGTTTTGAGAGGACACTTTTATTTTGCCATTAACGCTATTCTTTGTTCTCTGTTGCAGCGTGTTCTGGGTGGTAAATTTCGATGGAGTTGATAATGGAGTATTGACTTTGACCCCAACTCCTGAATTGAGATTTAGATTGTATGGTGAATTAGAACAGTTCGTCAAGAGTAGTGACTTAGTATTGTCTCCAGCGTGGAAGTGACGAGTCGTATGTTCCACTGCTGAGTCGTTATATATATCGTCTGTATTGAATCCGATTCCGGGTGATGTTAAATTACCAAAGGGGGATGATGTGTTGATATTTTCTTCGTTAGCTGCTGCTTCACTGGAAAAAGTTTGAAGTTTTTTGATCTCTGCATCTTTAGCTGCTATAGCTGAATCGTGTTCCTTTATCGTCTTTGTCAATTCGGTTTCGTGCCTTACATTTTGGTTCTGTATCTCTTGCTTCAATTGCTCTACAAGGGAGGACTTCTCATTAAGCGTTGTTTCCAACTTTGTCAAAGTTTGTTTTACCTTATCCAATTCTTTATCTGTTGATTCAAATCTTTGGTTCGCATTGGCAAGTGTTTCTTTAGTTGATGAAAGCTCCAGAGATAAAGCCAAATTCTGTTCAACATGCTTGGTCACTTCGTTTTCGTTTTCGGTTAACAGTGCCTGTAACTCGTCAATAGAGCTTGATAAATTTGAAAGCTCATTTTGTTGAAATTTGAGCTGAGTATCTCTTTCTTTAAGAGTTGTTTCAAGTTGATGATTGCGCTCATTTGAGCTCTTGAGTTTGAGTAAGATATCTGCATTTTCCAAAGTAATTTTATCTGATTTAGCGGAAAGGGTCTCCCAATTCTTCTGCAATTCGGTCAATTGTTTGAACGTCTCCTTCTCTTTTTCAACGAGTTGTTGATATTGTTTTTCTTTTTCCGCAAGTGCTACTTGGTGTGACTTTACGTCATTTGACATGGATTGCAACTTTACAATTTCTTCATTTCTTTGCTTTAAAAGTGAGTTTAAATTGTCTATTTCGTTATTTGCAATCTGGAGATTTGCAAAATCTTTCTCGTGCTTGGTCATTGTTTCTTGGTTAATTTGTTCAAGAGCCTCAATCTTTTTAACAAGAGTAGAATTTCCACTTTTCAAGTCTTCAATCTCTGTATTTTTTTCAAATAATTCATTTTGTTGAGTTTTGAGTTCATCTGCATACTTGTTAATGAAAGTTTCATTATTGGCGATTATCTGCTTATAGTTATTTGCCGTTTGCGTTAGATTTTCAATCTCAAGAATCAATTCTTTTTGCTCGAGCTTGCCTAATTCCACTTCTTTCTCAAAATGGGTCTTCAACTTATTGACTTGGCTCAATTTTTCATTGCTTTTCACCAATTCAGTATTAGAATAGTCCCTCTCTTTTTCAAGCTCATTAATGATTTCCTCGAATTCCTTAAGTTTACTTTCAAGGGTTTCGATGGCCTCTTTCAACTCTGAGTTTTCTTGGTCGACTTGCTCACACATTATAGCCTTTTCCTTAGAATCGTTTTCCAAAACCCGTAATTTATTATTCAAGTCTACAAAAGATTCAACCAAGTCACGAGTCTCATTTTTGAAAATGCCAATATCTGATTTTATGTTTTTAATTGATTCGAGATATTTTTCGTTTATTGGCGCCTTTTTTTTATTCAATTGTTCGACGAATTTGGTTGAGCTTAATCGAGCAGTTTTGGAAACAGGCTGCTTATTGATTCTAAACTTATGACCAATTCCACGGTTTAGAGGTAATGGTGAGGGTAAAGTTTTTCTAATGACTTTCTTAACGGGACTGTGACGACTTGAAGAAACAGTTGGTAACGAATAACTTGGTACTCTTTTAGGTCTTTTAGACAAGGTATTTGTATTTTGATGATCATTATTATCCATAAGGGTCTGGTGAGATAATTTGAAATTCTTTAAGGCGTCGGCCACATTTGTTAGGCTTGATTTGACTAAAGAAACGTCGCCGTAAGGGTCCAAATTTAAGACCAACTTTAAATCTTTATTTTTGAATATAAAGTTGGTAATCAGGTTATGAGATCTAACATCTCTTTGGTTATTGACCATAAGTTGAGTTATTGATGAGAAATTTGTATTTGCAAAAAAGTTTGAAGCTGCAGAGTCAGTTGCAGATGATTTTGGCATTTTTTCATTACCCATCAAATCAACAAGGGTAATTCTATGGTTTGGATAGTAAAAAGTGATAACAAGACAACTTCTAGAAGAGTTTTCATTGAACTGAGTGCACATTGACAATCTTTGTTTCAACAACAGCTTTATGATTTCCGGGTTGGCCCTGGTTCTTTTCAATTTAGTGTCGAAGCTTCTGGATACAGGTATTGCAATTCTTTTTGTTGACTCTGATTCAGATGAATCCAACAAATCAACGATATATTTGTTATTAGCCATCTCGAAGCAAGATATAAACCCGGTTTCCGAGTGTTGTTTCAATTGCGCTGCAACCAATTGTTTGAGCATTGTCGTTTTGCCGCTACCTGTAGGACCCATCAATACAATACAGCTATTTCTCGACTCTTTGAACAATTGCGAGTAATCAGTATCCAATTCCTGAAAAATATGGTGGAAATCAAACGTAGATTCCATAAACTCGATAGTTTGGGGAGATGTCACGGTAAAGCATCTACCGCCATTGCCATTACCATTACCATTACTATCACTACCATTACCGCCACTACCGCCGCCACTAACCTTCAAATACAACGGGATTGACATGACTCTTTACTGCTTCTACTCTACAAAAACACTAGAGTTTGATTCAATGTCAGATTTATCAAATGGTTCAAAATTCGAAACTGTAAACAAACAGCAGAAAAAAGTTTTTTTTTGTAAACAAAGGAAATGAATCCTTACATCAACTCTAACTACTGCGGTACTATCTCACTATCTCACTATCTCATTATCTCACTATCGAGCATAGCGAGATAGTGGAGCACACTAGCTGCCAGCACACTATGACTCTAGTCATTAGCTCTAACTACTGCGACACTATCGAGCAATACTGGCTGCCAGCACACTATGACTCTAGTCATTAGCTCTAACTACTGCGATACTAGCTACTGCGATACTAGCTACTGCGATACTATCGAGCATAGCGAGATAGTGGAGCACACTAGCTGCCAGCACACTATGACTCTAGTCATTAGCTCTAACTACTGCGACACTATCGAGCAATACTGGCTGCCAGCACACTATGACTCTAGTCATTAGCTCTAACTACTGCGATACTAGCTACTGCGATACTAGCTACTGCGATACTATCGAGCATAGCGAGATAGTGGAGCACACTAGCTGCCAGCACACTATGACTCTAGTCATTAGCTCTAACTACTGCGACACTATCGAGCAATACTGGCTGCCAGCACACTATGACTCTAGTCATTAGCTCTAACTACTGCGATACTAGCTACTGCGATACTAGCTACTGCGATACTATCGAGCACAGCGAGATAGTGGAGCAACACTGGCTATCAGCACACTATGACTCTAGTCATTAGCTCCAACTACTGCTATACTAACTACTGCGACACTATCTCACTATCTCGCTATGGTCGATAGTTGAGCACACTAGCTGCCAGCACACTATGACTCTAGTCATTAGCTCTATTGACATTAACTCTAACTACCACTACACAGTATTCATCCTTGTAAACACATTTATTCTTCTTCATATTGATGTGCTTATTCTTATTATAGTAATAAATATACAATCAGATTGCAATTTTTTTTTCTCCAATGATAAAAGTAAAGAAAGCCTCTCGAGGCCCGACAATATAGCTCTTTGGTAAGTATGTCATAGCCTTCCTTTTTATTTACTGGTCGCGTGCATCGCACGTGCCGTTACAATAATCACGTGTCATGTATAATCATGTAGTTTTATAAGATTATAGTAATAACACTCAAATTTATGTGCTTTTGACAAAAAAAAATTAATGAGCTTATCAATGAGCTTATGAATTATTAGGTCAGTAATGCCCTGTACGAGTTTATCCCCCACTCCTTCAACCAGTATACCATTTCAACTAATCAAAGACAATTAACTTGACTGTTTTCTTTTTTTTCTTTTCCAACAAGAAAAAAAGAAAAAAAAAAAGAACAAAACATCATTCAAATACCAATACACACACCATTACATACACCACATTACATACACCACATTACACATACCACATTAGGCACAACATACTAATATTCACAAAAACCCTATTCCTCTAGCAACTAATGCTTACTCGTATCATCCCATCCCATTTTCCTCATCCTCCTAATTCCTCATCCTCCTAATTCATTTCTCATCCTAATTCCTCATCCTCCTAATTCATTTCTCATCCTAATTCCTCATCCTCCTAATTCATTTCTCATCCTAATTCCTCATCCTCCTAATTCATTTCTCATCCTAATTCCTCATCCTCCTAATTCATTTCTCATCCTAATTCCTCATCCTCCTAATTCATTTCTAATCCTAATTCATTTTTAATCCTAATTCATTTCTAATCCTAATTCATTTTTAATCCTAATTCATTTCTAATCCTAATTCATTTTTAATCCTAATTCATTTCTAATCCTAATTCATTTTTAATCCTAATTCATTTCTAATCCTAATTCATTTTTAATCCTAATTCATTTCTAATCCTCCTTAAATTCAATCTCGGTCGTAAAACTATGAAACAAAAAATATTTATTATTCTCGTAAAGGAAAAAACTTGGTCTCAAAAATTACTACGATATAAAGTAACTCCCAATTAGGAAGTACTTTGTTACCTCTACCTTTTTGAAACTAGGCTCTACAACCTCTACCTCTTTAAGCAAGCTCTCCTTTAACCACTATAAGCTCTTCCCTACAACCACTACCTCCTTAAAACTAAGCTCTTCCCTACAACCTCTCGCTCCTTTTAAGTTACTACACACATAAGAATGGCCTAGATTTAGTCGATTGCTCAAAGAAGACTTCATTTGCTGTTTAGTAATAAAGTCGTGTACATTAATACTCTAACTCACAAGTCTCTCTATTTATTTTTTTATTTTTTTTTTTGTTACTTTTTTTTTTATTACTTTTTTCACTTTGTCTCCTATTTGGCCAACAACGGATTTGAAAATGGCGCACGCCTCCATCTCACCCATCAACTACAAACGCACATCGTTTCTCAAGTCGTGCGCCCCTCCGCCCCCTGTTGACAAAGTGAAAAAAAAAAATTGCATGCGTTTAGGCGATGAGTTAATAAGGCGATTGATCCGAACCACTCGCTGTAGAATTTGGACATGACGCTGACCTGTCACCTACGAAACGAAAAACGAAAAAGAAAAAGAAAAAAAAAATTTTGTCTTTTTCACTTTTGTAGAAAATTTTCAAAGACCATTGAAAAAGTTTTTATTAAATGTTTGTAGGTTCTTCTTTTTAAGTGTTCAACAATTTGTTCATTCAACAAACAACCCTTTTTTTTCTTTCCAGTTTTCACATCTTTGGAAAGAAATCTACTAGTGTTAAATAGAATAAGAGATTTCCCTCCCTCGTCTCCCCCACTCAAGAAGGAAAAGGAAAGATCGTAATCTATTTAGTCCACACTAGAAGAGAACAAGGAAGACCTAGGAAAAAACCTTATACAAGGAAAAAGACCTAGGAAAAATCCTTATACAAGGAGGAAGACCTAGTACCAAGCTAAAAGAGATATAGGAACAAAGGTGACATTCACTTACAAGTATTCTCTAAATAGTTGTTTCTTCTTTGAACAACTAGGGTATTCAGGTATACAACCTATCCCCCCCCCACACACACACAAAAATAAAAGGTTTGAGAACTTTTCATTAAGATTCTTAACTAAAGGTCTCCTTTTTGATACATGTAAGTAACCATGAACACGGCTTCATATTATCAAAACATGGGTCCCCTGGGTCATAGAGCTACTTCTTCGTTTCATTATGCACTCCCTAATTATCCAAATTATCACCCTTTACCACACCCACAGTTTCACCATCATAGATCATCACAATCATATTACCAACCAAGCACGCAGATGAGTCAAAAACAGCAGTTGCAACCACTTGCCCTCCCAGTAAATCAAATTAATATTTTGCAACCCCCACCAGTTGCACCTGCGCCAGTTGCAGCTCCTCAAGACCAGGTTGCTATTGACGGAGGCATCAACTCTGTCTTGGAGTATGACTTGAAACAAATGTCTTCATTTTTAGGTTGGTGTGCCTTTGGCATGTTAAAACAGGCTAGAAACCCATCAAAGGATTTTGAAAACTTGGTTTCTTCGGTATTGTTTGCTACAAGACTACCAAAATCAACAATCATTATTGCTTTAGAATACATGAATCAGAGATTCTCATCAAAGGATCTTGCGTCATCCTTAACTGAGCATGAGATTTTCAATTTTCTAGTTGTTGGATTAGTATTGGCTAATAAGTTCAATGATGACAACACCTTTACGAATAAGTCTTGGTGTGGTGCTACTGGTATACAGTTGGTCATTTTGAATACAACAGAGAAGGAGTGGTTGGAAGATGTTAGGTGGAGTTTATCAGTAGTCAATTTTGAATCAAATATTCTTACTTTGGAAGAGTGTTGGAAAACCTGGATTGAAAAATACGGATCTACTACATCAGCCGACTCCACTGTAAACGTAAGGGACATGACTCCAACAGTTGCTCCAACAAGCACGTTTTATTCAAATCCATGTCCAGCTACACAATACTCGTACCAACCTTCATACATATCAATGTCCTCCTCGCCTGTTTATCAACAAAATACAAATTACACAAACACGTTCCCACTGTCATCCCCAGTTAATTACGAATCTGATTGTCACTACAAACCATATGTTGCTCCAGTATCATCATACTCAAACTGGAACTATTCCTCATCATCATCATCATCATCATCATCATCATCATCCACATCTGCCTCATCCACCTCCCTCTCCACCTCCAGTTTCAATGGTGATCCGGTTATTCAATATGTAGGTGCAGCGATGAGTCAAAACCAGTCACGTCCAAGCACGTACCATCGCCACCAACACCACCCTCCCCAGTATCTCCATGCACCAGGAACATTGTCGTTTGGAGGACATCCAAGTAAATTTGTTGGTTATGCTAACCCCTACTATATGGCAACATGCTGATTGATTGCTACAAAGAGAAAAGTCTTAATTCGAAAAAAACATAATAGAAAACATATAGAATAATAGGATTACAATAGCCGTTATTAGTTTAAGAGTATGCTTTGTTTTTTTTTTTTGATTTTGTTTTTTGGTTTGCTTGCTGTTTGAGTTATTTATTTTTTTTTTTTTTTTTTTTTTTTTTTTTTTTTTTTTTTTTTTTTTTTTTTTTTTTTTTTTTTTTTTTTNTTTTTTTTTTTTTGATTTTTTTTTTTTGTTTTTTTTTTTTTTTTTTTTTTTTTTTTTTTTTTTTTTTTTTTTTTTTAATTATCAAGTTGTTTCTATGTTTGAGATAATAATTAATGTGTCTATGTTATTCTGGGGGGGGAGGTGGTGGTCTTGTATGAATTGTAGGATATTTATGAAGGGATCAGGTGCAGAGATATACAAAAAGAAGAAAAGAAATGTTTTATACTGTCTAAATACCTCTCAAAGATGCAACAATGCTAGTACACAACTCTAATACATCACTACTTTTCCAAGCTTGCGTTTTCTGTTCTTTTAATTAAATCAATGATTTGCTGTTTATTAGGCCAAAAACCCCAACCTAGTTGTAAGTTTTGATGTAATCTAACGCCCAACTGATCAGCAAATGTCCATACCAAGCCCGGGTTTCTGAGAAAGCCTCTTCCAATGAGAGCAACATCAAACTCGCCCTTTTCAATATATTCATTGACCAAAAAAGGATCTTTTTCCAATCCTCCAACACAAGCAACTAACAATTTATCGCCTACATGTTTCTTGATCTCGCGAGCAAAAGGAACGTGAATTGGCTCTTTTTTCTCTTGACTTAAACCCGATCTTGCTGCTTGTCTGTAATCGTTTCCTCCCGAAGAGACATCAAGCAATTTAATACCCTTTGCGATTAATAAATCAGCTAATCTCTTTGAATCATTAATTGACCATGCTTCTGGATCAGGACTGTTTTCAACAGCTGAGATTCTCACAAATAACGGAATTTTAGTAGCATCAATTTTGGAACTGATTTCGTCAATCACTTGTAAAAGAAACCGTACTCTGTTTTCGAAACTTCCTCCATATTCATCAGTCCTTTTGTTTGAAATAGGACTGTAAAACTCATTGATCAAGTAGCCATGGGCACCATGGATCTCCAACGCATCAAATCCACTTATTTCAACGGCTCTTTTCGCAGCATCTCCAAATTGTCGAATTATGCGTTTGATATCGTCCAATTCCAATTCATGAGGTTTGACTAAATTGCCATGGGGTCTAAATTGTAAGGCACTTGGTGCAACTACTTTATCAGGAAACCCGCCAACTGTTTCGTCGCATAATTGCTCTAAATGCAAAAAAGGGGGCTGACCCGATGCCTTTCTGCCTCCATGATTCAATTGTATAGCAATCTTTTGTTTTTGAGAGTGGGCATAATCAACAACCTGTTTTAATTTTTGCGCTTGTTCATCTGTCCATATTCCTAAATCGTGTGGTGATAATGGACCTTCCGGTGATACTGCTGTACTTTCGACAATAGTTATACCTGGTCCATGATTAAGCATTGCACCATAATGGATCAAATGATACGGAGTTGCTTCATATTGATAATCCGCTGAGTATTGACACATTGGCGATACCCCGATCCTGTTTTGAATCGTCATGTTTCCTATTTTCAATGGACTGAATATCGCTGGTGCCGGAGCATCGAGGTTCTTTTCGTTTTCGAAAAAGGTACCAGCAGCTACTGGCTGTGCTGGAGTATAGTATGAAACTTCTGATGCACCTTTAATTTCATCTGAGGGAGAAATTTCCTTGGGAACTGTCATTGCAAGTTAATGGCTGTTGATTCTCTTACCGTTTTTCAAGCATCTTTGATAATAGTGGTGGTGGTGGTAGGGATATCAAGAAGCTTTATATATATTCCGTATGTCCGTCCCTCTTACCACCCCCCAAGTGCTTACTAATCTTATAGCAAATAAATTTTGCGTATTTCCTCTTTTGTCTATTTTTGTATTTTTCCGAACGTTGCAAGGTTTTTCCGTCATAACTGTTTTATTTTATTTTTTGTGTGTTTCTTTTACATCCACAAATCTCAAATAAATATTGTGTGAGGGCTAAGGGAGGGGGGGGGGGTAGGAGGAGCAGAGAGAGACCTTTTGAGAGCAAAGAAATAAGTAGCAAAAGATCATTCTTTTGTCCTTTTGTCCTTTTTGTAATGGCAGTTCTTGTTCTTAATTTAGCTAGGTTTGATGGTGATAATTAGTCTAGAAGGAAGATTTTCTAAATTTGTTTGCTTTGTTTTAATACCAAAATCTGGGGAAAACTGAATAAAAGCAATATGGTACTCATTTTGCATTGTAGATATTGTAATAAGAGAGGAATCAATAACAACTTAACATTGATTTCTATTACACAACTTAAGAAAAAAGAATTATGTATCCAAAACCTATGTTGTACAATACTCTCCAACTTTGGCATCATAGAGTGATGAATCTAAGGAAACACCAAAAGTTGAACGGTTCAAATACAATCTACCGGATCAAGAACCATTTTTTTCGTGGAAAGTGGCAACTTGTCCGAGTGGTTAAGGAGAAAGATTAGAAATCTTTTGGGCTTTGCCCGCGCAGGTTCGAGTCCTGCAGTTGTCGTCATTTTTTTTTCTAACTTTTTTATTTTTATTTTTATTTTTATTTTGCAATATCTTTACCTTCTTTTACTCAAAGTACCAAGCCTGTAGTTGAAAAGTCAAAAAAGATAAATGTACCCAGGTTAATGACCAATTTAATCACCATTTTCTATATGTTATTTGTTCTTTTATTGGTCTATTAATAGTTCTATAAATACTCAAACGTATCACCATTATGAATTAATTTTTTACCCTCCAAATACTCCATGTATTCCCTCCACAATTTATCTCCTCTTTTCAAACATTTGACATCACCAACCATGATTAAACCATATCTGGCTCTGGTCAAGGCTACATTTAATCTTCTTTCATCTCTAAGAAACCCAATCACTCCTTGAGGATTCGATCTCACACAAGACATAATCATAAAGTCTTTTTCTCTGCCTTGAAAGGCATCAATTGATGCAATCAATATACCTGAAACGATGTGAATATTGACTGGCTTAGAGTCGTTTCTAATATCATCGATATCAATTTCCATTCGTAGTTCCTCTTTATTCGGATTGATAATCTCATCATCAATCAAAACTGAAGAGATTAGATCTCGTTGTCCCGAGTATGGAGTAATAACACCTATATCCTCTCTTTTTATCCCCTTTTCAAGAATGAGTATTCTCAAAATTTGCTGTATATACGTAATCTCATCTCTGTTAGAATAAGTATATCCTCTATCTTCACGAAGATAATTTCGAACCGATTGTTCTCTTGCTTTACCCTTTGTGTCCCAGAAATAAACAGGATTGGATGGAATTCCTTTCATTTCTCGATCCTTCTCATTGATACCATCTTTCAATTTACTATTGTAAAATCTGTTTCGGGGAAATTCACTAATGGCGGGATGCATACGATATTGAGTGTTCAACATATACGGCGCCTTGTATGCGCCATTCAATAGTACCCTTTCAAATAAAGAAGTTGACAAGGATGGAATCAAAGAAAAACAACTCAATTGTTTTTGATCACCAACAAACACAAATTTCTCGACTCCAGGAACAGCCAAGGGGATCAAGGTACTTGGCTCTGATGATTGTGTAGCCTCATCCATTATCACAACTGGACATTTGACCAAGGATTTCAATTGAAAGCCACCAGTAGCAACAGTTGTTGTTAAAATGACTTTGGCTTGAGCAACTTGCTGCTTTGTGATTTGGTATTTCTCTTGCAAATACTTCTTATAGCCATTTGCACTAATAGCACCAGTTCCCCTTCTCAAATCATCTTGCATTTGTTGAAACCTCAAAGGCATGGCATCATACACTTTTTGATGAAGGCAAATATCAAAGAGAGGATGTGCTTTATTGTACTCTTTTTCCTTCTCAGAAGCAGTAATTCTCAAAATCAGCTTTTTGTGCTTGGGTAGCAACTTCTCTGCAATATTGTCAATGGCAATATTCGATGCAGCTACTACTAATATTGGATACGTATTAAGTGATTCTAAAAGTTGAATTATAGTTTCGTAAATAGCAGAAGTCTTACCAGTACCAGGCGGTCCAAGCACAACGCTTATCTTGTTGTTTAAAACAGATTGTATAGCGGCTTTTTGTGAATCATTCAAATTGGTTGAAAAATTAACTCTATTATTGAAGTAGATTTGTTTTATTGGCTCCTTGCCCAACAACATTTTAATAAAACTGAGGTTAGAAAGGCTCTCCATGGCATTGAGAATTCTACTCACGGGAACAGATGCCGGTAAGAGTTTCAAGTGTTGAGCATGAACTGTCTTGGGCAAAGGCTGATTATTCCACCGATACAAAGTGATTACAAGAGAAACGTAATCAGCTCCAGCTTTTCTTTTCAGCTTGTTTTTCCCGCTTTTCATTTCATCCACTGTAGCAACTCTCCCGTACCACGGTATCTCATCATTTAAGATTAAAAACATCGCCTGGTCTTTCATGAATGGATCCTTTTTTACTTTTTTCATACGATCTGAAATAAATCGATTAATCACTTCGGGTGTCATGGGTATACTAACTTTATATTGGTTATTCTTTTTATCTTGATCTTCATACCATTCAATCACCAAATCTTGTGGCTCAATTATATTCAGCACATTAGTAAGTTGATCTTCCAAGAAGACGTTAAAACTCATTTCGCGAAAGTATTCCTCTATATTAGCATAGCTTAGCTTTAAAGTCGGGGAAGGATGATATTTTGTAATATAAGGTGGAAGGATTAGGTCATTATCCTGTGTTTGCAGAACCGCGTTCTGTTGCCCTTCTTTTAAAGTAAATTTTGAAGTAGATTTGGGAGTAGAATCTGAAGCAGATTTGGGAGTAGACTTTGACGTAGATTTGGGAGTAGACTTTGAAGCAGATTTGAAAGCAGAATCTGAAGCAGACTTAGAATTAGACTTTGACGTAGATTTGGAAGTAGACTTTGAAGTAATGCGTTTTTTCTCGACACCGACTCCTCTTGAACTTGTAAGATTCTGGGACTTACTGGACTCTTTGGAATCTAACGCTGAGTTTCTACCATTACTAGATTGACCGTTCTTTACAAGAATATGTTTAATATTATTTTTTGCATCTTCCTGTTCTTTCAGTCCTTTACTCTGCGACTTTGTCAGTCCATTGTCTTTTTTCACAGTTATATTCGGTTCGCTTTTATGAGTCAGAATTTTTTCAACAATTGCTCCCTTTTTGAAAGTGCTCTTTTTACTGTCTTTCCCAGTCTTGCTCGAGAATGTCTTACTAGTAACAGCTTTGGTAGTCCTTTCTTTCCCTTTGCTTGAGGTTTCCTCATTAAGCTTTCTAATAGTCGTAGACCCGATTGCCTTAACTGTCGACCCTGCCTTTATTTCGCTGGCACTCTGCTTCGACATCTGGTAATGTAATCGACGAGCCTCGGCATCTGGATCCTCCTTTTTCGGTCTTCTAACTGGTCTTCTACTAGAAGCTTTTCTTCCCCTTCCACCTCCTCTTCTTCCACCTCCTCTTTGTGAAGTCGCTTTGGCCACAAAATCTTTGATGCCCAATAATTCAGACAAGAATTCATCATCATTTTCACTCACAAACTTGATATTCTGGGACTCGTAATTAGCCAAACAGTTTTTGCACAATATAATTTGACCAGCAGAAGAGGTATTTCCCACATACAAATCAGCGTCGCTTCCACACCGGGCACATTCGATATCTCGGAATTTGAGATATTGATCCAATTTGAGAAATAATGCACCATTGGATAAGCTATAATTTACCGAGGGTCGTTCGTCACTTTCAGCATTAGATTTTTCTAAACACAAATTACATAATAAAGACATGTCATTCAACCCGTACCTTACAATAGCCAATTGATGTACATTGCAATCTGAGCATTCCTCACATTCCAATACTTCGTCAAGGTCGCAAATCCTCACAGACTTATGTCTTGTGGTTGACAAGTGTTTTTGTATTTCAGACTTGCTCTCAAACTTCCCAGAGCATGTCAAACAAACATAAGTACTGGTCGAAGGCTGAGTCGTCATAGAAGACTGGATCGTTCTGGTATTATGCAATCGAAGCAGAGGAAATGGATTTACTATGCTGATTTTTTTTTTTCAACTCATCTCGTATCACGTGATAGAGATAACAAATTTAAAAAGAGACTTGATACCAGACATTTACAAAAACACTATTGAGCGAAGCGAGATAGTGGAGCATCACTGACTAATGACACTATCGAGCAGAGCGAGACAGTGTTGTAACAAGCTACCGAGTGTCACTCCACTATCTCGCTCTGCTCGATAGTGGAGCACTTTGACTAATGACACTATCTCGCTCTGCTCGATAGTGGAGCACTTTGACCAATGACACTATTTCGCTCTGCTCGATAGTGTTCTAACAAGCTACAAAATAATTTAGTCGAATTTGATTGGCAACTGTAAAGTTTAGTGTATATCGACACTGCCTAGTACAATCCACTCGTAAACTTCTCCCTCACAAAGCACCAACTTTAGCACTCCTCCATCCCAGCCATAACCCATATCTTGCATTCCTTCAGCATCGACATCTTCTACCCCGAGATAGTCTGTGATTCGCGTCTTTATCGTTCTCCATAGAGCGTTATCTATAGGCCAAAGATTGCTGTAGACCAACGATAGATGTGGGTGGTATTCCAGTTCCGCCCACTCGGCGGCTTTGTAAGATGCTCTTCTACGAATCTCCTCCGTGTCAAACTGCTTAGTTTGTTGATTTTCTACTTGGCCGCCATTCCAACTACTAGTAACCTTTTTTTTCAGTGGTTTCCTCTTTACAGTGTTGCCATGACTATCGGTTGTATATAGGTGCGGATTACATTTTCTATTTTCGGCTTCAATATCCTCGGGAGTTATCACAAAAATCTCCCTCATTATTCTGGCAAACGAAATCAAATTTGGATCCAGTTCCACTTCAAAATATAGTTTTTGAAAAAACTTTCTCTGGCTATTGATCTTGCCCAATTTTACTAGATTTGAATGATTTTTAGGTAAAGATCGCAAAGCTATCGCACTTGCAGATAAAATTCTATCTACATCGTCTTTTGCCTTTGAGGGATCATCCAAATCCACTTGGATATTGGTTGTTATGGTGATGTGTGGTTCAAATTTAGGCGGCAGGCCTGGGAACAAAGTGCTAACAGAACTCAGTAACGTACTCAATTTATCATAGAGTGCGGAATTGGGTTTTGGACATAACCATAATGCAACACCTAGCCCTTGTTGTTCGGTCAGTATTACTTGTTTTTTCGTTTTCATTTTCTCTATTCTTTTATTGTGGTAACTTACCCATATTGGTCTCAATAGTATTGAGTAAACCTCGGCTGGGGGTAAAAGAATTAAACTTGTATGTAAAATTGTTTTTATTTAAAATCCGTATGGCTTTTTATGTCAAGAAAAAAAAACTACCATGCAAGATAAAGCGCTAGCTGGGAAATAGGTCATCTTCTATTTCCAATGTAGTTTGAATTAATAGAGATAACGAAACTATCAAGCGAAGCGAGATAACGACACTATCAAGCGAAGCGAGAAAGTGGAGCAGCACTGACTATAGCGATACTATCAAGCGAAGCGAGATAGTGGAGCAGCACTGACTATAGCGATACTATCAAGCGAAGCGAGATAGTGGAGCAGCACTGACTATAGCGATACTATCAAGCGAAGCGAGATAGTGGAGCAGCACTGACTACACCGACACTAGCGACACTATCTCGTTTCGCTTGATAGTGCGATGCCAAAAACATTGTCCATTAAAACGACATGTCCTATGTGTACTGACCAACCTTTTGAGCAGAGCGAGATAGTGTCGATAGTGTCGATAGTGTCACTAGTCAGTGCTGCTCCACTATCTTGCTTTGCTCGATAGTGGAGATCATCGTAATATAGCCTCATGCGGTAAATAGTATTCAAGAGACATCTTTTTCAACATTGACGATTTTCTAACTTCTATAACTAAACCCAATCTATAATCTAATATTTACTTGTCAATACATCTACGCCATCAACGGCTGAAGTATCCACAAACCAGTAAATAGAAACGCCGGTATTAATATCGCTTACTAATTTCGCTGGTAATTTCGTTGAAGGGTCTGTAAATATTTCCTTTAAAATGAGTTTTTTTCCAGAACCCTCTGCAACAAAAGCAATTGAAGTTGCATTTTCCAATTGAGGAAAAGTAAAAGTGATTCTTCTTGGAGGAGGTTTAGGGGAATCGTTTATATATGATACTCTTTCAGTTCTCTCTTTAAGTAGGTGGTGGTTGGGAAATAAAGAACAAGTGTGGCCATCAGGTCCACAACCCAACAATATAACATCAATCTTACTGGGTAAACTAGCAGCGTATTTTCTAGCAATCTCCTTATCCTTCTCTACATCAGCATCTTCAACTTTCCCATCCTTCCCTGTTAACAAAGATTCATCAATAACGTGTACATTGGGCTTGGAAGAGCTTGATTTCAAGTTTTTCAAAACCATTTCATTGAAAAGACCATAATTAGAGTCTTCATGGTCAAGCGGAACTAACCTCTCATCACTAAAGTATACATCCCACTTGTCCCATTGTATACGCTGGCCAATCTCTTTATTATCAATCAACGCTTTTTTCAACACTTTTCCTAAAGAGCCACCAGATATAGCTATATGAAAGGAACCGTGCGCTTTAATGGCATTGTCTTGATTGTTGACGATATATTCGCCCACGGCATTGGCAACATCTACAGAATCGGGATAAGCAAATACTTTGGCAGTCATTTGCAATATATATATATATATATATATAAGTGCCTAAGAGCAACAAGAGCAATACATAATGAACTTTAATTGGAAAATGACAGAGAGAGATGCGGAAATCTTGGAGCTTGCGGAGCCGTTTAGGTTACCAGAAAAGGAGATTTAAAAGAGATGAGATGACGCCATAGGCAAAAAAAAAAAAAAAGAGAACAAAATTTCGGAAAAGTTGAAAAATAGCAGTTGAGCAACACTCAGTAGCTTGTTACAACACGCTCTGCTCGATAGTGTTTATTGGCTCAAAAGCTGAAACATAGATACTCTCACACTATATCAGGTTACGCAAGAAGAAAAAAAAAAAAAAAAAAAAAACTAATAGATTACAATATAGCGTTATTTGATCGATATACAGGGTCTTGGTTCCACTTTTCTACTCTAGAAAATGAGAATACTCTGCACTATCTTTAATCTTGTTATTCATAAACTTTTCCAACTTGTTTGCGTTTTTATAATACGTTGTAGTCTCGCCATTGTAAGATCTACAATTTTTGAAGATGAGTCTTGCGTCATACAAGAATTGGTCAAATGACTCGTACTTGTCATTTTCTAGCTTCAGTTCCATTGTTGATAGGTCCATTGGTTCCTTAATAACCTCATAGTAATCGGGAACCTCGTCTTTGTTAACAGGCACGGCAAATGGCCAAGCCGATGGATGATTCTGCATTTCCGAGAATAAGGTGACCATGAAATTATAATGAGGGCCTCGTTTAGGTTTCTGGGCCAACTTATCCATTTCTTCCAGCCATCCAGCTTCTATTAATCCTGGAATATCCTTATAATCGAGAGTTATGTTTTTGTTTGTTTTAAAAATTTGTAAGCCAGCTCGAACAACATTTGATTTTGATCGCAGCTTAATTTTACGCTCAATTGCTGCCTTTTGTAGAAGTAAAATTTTGCCCAGATCCAAGTATCTGAGAATTGGCGGAAGCATCGAGCATTGCATTAGCGTACCACCTTCGTAATCTTTTATATACCCCATCCATATCGATTTATCAAGAGTAACTTCCTTGGTAAAACCCTGTTTTTTGAAATACCCAATCGCATAGTTATCTGCGTACGTCAAGAAATACTTAATTGGCGAAGTCGCTCGTACATAGTCCTTTAGATGATTCATCAAATGTGCACCATAGCCACGTACTTGCTCCGTTGACGATATCGCACAAAAAACAATCTCGGCAAATTCGCGATTATTAAAAGGTCGATATGTAATACCGCCAACAACTGTGAGCGGTTTACGAACCACTGCCATTGAAAGGTGCGATCGGTCGTACACCAACCGAGAAATATACTCTCGAGGCATTTTGGGCAATTGCTTTTGAAAAATGTTCTTGAGCCCCGTTAGAACTATCAAGCTTTCCTTTGCGTTGTCGTTGTTAACAACTCTAAATTCTATTTTGCCCTCTTTCTCCTCTATTACCGATGGTCTCTCCTTGAATGTGTAGACTTCCCCATCAAAATTAATCTGTGTTATCCTTTTTCTCTCTTCTTCAGCCTCCTCATCATCATCATCATCATCATCATCTTCTTCTTCATCCTCGTCATCCTCGTCTTCATCTTCTCCCTCTCCTTCTGCTCCTGCTTCTCCCTCTCCCTCTCCTTCTCCATCTTCTCCTCCTCTTTCACCTTTACCTCTGACATGCCCATTTTTCTCATTCTTGTTTTCTCCGTTGCTTCCTTGTTCTTCTTTCAATTTCCCATTAGAACGGACGTGCTCATTTTCGTCCTTGACTACTGTAGACCTAACCTCCTTTGGCTCTAGTTTAACCTTTTTGTTTGGTGAAACATCATCTTCATCGTCCTCTTCATCTGGGTCAATTGACAAAACTCTTTTCCGGTCAACCATTATTACTCATAAACCTCTTTCTCTCTCTACCCCTTCTCTCTTACTCTTTATCTCTCTCTCTCTCTCTCTCTCTCGACAAAACTTGGAAAAAACAAAACGTCTTACTTGAGAGGCACGTGACTGAAAAAAAAAATGAAAAAAAAAAAATAAATTGATTTTGCGATGAGATATAAAAAGAGAGAAAGAGAGAGAGAAAGAAAGAGAAAGGAGAGATGAGCCCTCTAGAACTTTTAGTGGTGAATTGGTGAATTGGTGAATAAACATTTATACCATTAAGCATGTCTAATTATACTCCTCTAGATCCCAGACGGAATGAGAATGTTGGTGCTGTTGCAACCGTGTTGTGTTGTAACTGTGGTGTTCCCATGGACGGCTCACAGGGACTTGTAATGTGCTATGACTGTATCAAGTTAAATGTCGATATTACCGAAGGAATACCGAGGGAGGCGAATGTTTCATTTTGCAGAAATTGCGAGAGGTTTTTACAGCCCCCCGGTCAGTGGATAAGAGCGCAGTTGGAATCAAGAGAGCTTTTGGCGTTGTGTCTTAGGAGACTCAAGGGGTTAAACAAGGTGAGATTGGTTGACGCTTCATTTATCTGGACAGAGCCTCACTCGCGGAGAATTCGAGTCAAGCTAACGGTACAAGGAGAAGCCATGACCAATACTATTGTCCAGCAAACTTTTGAAGTCGAGTACGTTGTTATTGCAATGCAATGTCCAGATTGTGCAAAATCCTACACCACAAACACTTGGAGAGCAACAGTTCAGATTAGACAGAAAGTGCATCACAAGAGAACATTTTTGTATTTGGAGCAATTGATATTGAAACACAATGCACATATGGATACTGTATCAATACAGGAGACTAAAGATGGGTTGGATTTTTTTTATGCCCAGAAAAATCATGCAGCAAAAATGGTTGATTTCTTGACATCGGTGGCCCCCGTCAAGGTGAAGAAATCAGAAGAATTAGTCAGCACTGATATACACTCGGGATCTTCAAGTTATAAGTTTTCCTATTCCGTTGAAATTGCTCCAATTTGTCGTGATGATTTAGTGGTTTTGCCCAAAAAGTTGGCCCATTCTATGGGAAACATTTCACGACTTGTTTTATGTAACAAAGTGAATAATGCTATTCAATTTATCGATCAGAATACTTTACAAACGGCAGATTTATCATCACAGGTATATTGGAGGTCTCCATTTCCATCGTTATTGGACGCAACACAGTTGATCGAGTTTGTAGTATTGGACGTGGAACCAACCGGTGATGTTAAGGGTAAATATGTACTTGCAGACATTGAGGTGAGCCGAGCCAGTGATATGGGCAGTAACGATCAAACGTTTTACGTTAGAAGTCATTTGGGAGCTATTTTACATCCTGGTGATTCGTGTCTCGGGTACTTTTTAGGCAACACAAATTTCAACTCAGAGCTCTGGGATACATTGGATACAGACAATACTTGCGAGGTAGTGCTAGTCAAGAAACATTATGCTAGAAAGTCCAAGAAGGCCAAAAATAGAAAATGGAGATTGAAGAGAATGGCAAAGGAACATAATGATATTGTTGCCAATGATGATTCAAGGCAAGCAAGACAAGAACAAGAGAGAGTAGAAAGAGACTATGAACTATTTTTGCAGGAGTTGGAAGAGGATGAAGAGTTGAGACAAACAATTAATATGTATAAAGCAAAAGACCAAATCGGTATAAACGACGGCGACATCGACAATGACGAAGCCGCCGCCGACGACGATGAGGACGACGCTCCGACTATAGAAATTGATGAGTTGCTTGATGAATTAGATGAAATGACTTTGAAAGATACACATATGGATGGTTAGATTAAGCACATATAGTGAATAATACAATATAGACACACAACTCATATATTACATATTTATGTTTATTTTTTCTTTGTTCTTTTTTCTGAGAAATGTACAAGTATAGTTTGTTCTTTTTAGTTGGAATGGCTTATACAAATTATACACAAGTCCCTTCTTTTATGTATTGTATTTAGTCTTTGGGGTAAAACTTTGGTGTTGAAAAGAGTTCTGAGTTGGAAGATGTCCACATTATCAAAACCTATGAGGTATACTTTACCTCAGTCATTTGTAGACTCTTCATTTTTCAGCAAGCTTGCCCAATTGAAATTGGAAAAATACAAGCTAGATTCCACTACGCGAGATATCTTTGGTTACCAGTCTTTACCAAGCAAGCTCAACAAGTTCGATGATGTTCCTACCGTCAGTTTAGACGAAGAAAGCTTTAACCAAGATGCAAGCGACCTGACTAAACGTATATTGCAGGGCGAGCTAATCAATGTCAATACTATTGAAGAGTTTAAGAATATCAACAAACAAAATCTTTTAAGTAGCTGGGGCCGAGCTCTTCAAGAGGTTATATGGAAGTCCCGAGATTTTGATTGTAAACTATTCTTCAAATTTGCCATTTTGAGTTTTTCGGATTTGAAAAAGTACAAGTTTTATTACTGGTTGGCTTTTCCCACTTTGCAAAGCAATTGGACTAAGCTCGAAGAAAAAAATGTTGATAAGGAAACGCTTGAACTTATTGAACCGTACTTGAGTAACTCAGAGGGACAACAACAACAACAACAACAACAACAACAACAATTTTATCAGTTTTCCGAAAAGAAGCTTTTCAGCACGTTTGACATTGCAAAAGACCACACGTTTGTGTTTTTTGACTCTTGCTTAAGTCACGATAAGCGACCAGCGGCCCAGCTCAAAAACTACTTGTATTATTTGGCATATAAAGGGTTGAAGACCATAAATTTAATTGTATATCGGAACAACGGCTTGTCCTTTCAAAACATACTAGAACTTGAGCTGGCGGTGCTGCCGGATGAATTGAAGGTAGTTGGTTGGGAGAGAACAAGCCAGGGTAAACTAGGTCCCAAAATGGCCGATCTAAGCGCTTTGAGCGACCCTCATGAATTGGCAGCGCAAGCAGTAGACTTGAACCTCCGGTTGATGAAATGGAGAGTGGCACCCGAGCTAGATCTTGAAATACTCAAAGCTCAAACAGTTTTGCTTTTGGGTGCAGGCACATTAGGAAGCTATGTAGCGCGAGCTTTGCTTGGGTGGGGTTTTAGAGAGATCAACTTTATTGATAATGGACAGGTTTCATATTCCAATCCAGTGAGGCAACTGCTCTATAACTTTAAGGACTGCTTTAGTGATAACGGGCGGGGAGCCACAAAGGCCACAACAGCCGCTGAGAATTTAAAGAGCATTTTTCCTGGTGTTAGAACAAGTGGGTTCGACATTGGAGTTCCGATGATAGGACACCCAATTACAGACGAGGAAACACAGAAAGCGAACTACCAAACTTTAGAACAATTGTTTGACAAGAGCGATGTTGTTTTCCTATTGATGGACTCTAGAGAATCGCGATGGTTGCCTACAGTTATGGGAGCAGCCAAGGGAAAACTAGTGATAAATGCCGCTTTAGGATTTGATAGTTATTTGGTGATGAGACATGGCAATGCCAACCAGCACAAGGAGAACAAATTAGGTTGCTATTTTTGCAATGATATAGTAGCTCCCGAGGACAGTTTATCAGACCGAACACTAGACCAGATGTGTACGGTAACAAGACCCGGAGGCGCTTTAATGGCTTCATCTTTAGCGGTTGAACTATTGGTGTCTCTTTTGCAGCACCCCAAAGGACAAAACGCAAGCCACAATGATTCATCATCATCATCATCCAAGTTTGGTACAACGCCGCACCAAATCAGAGGCTTTTTGAGCAATTTCACTCAGTCATTGTTTTTTTCCCCCAGTTACCCAAACTGTTCGGCATGTTCACCTAGTGTGGTTACAGAGTACCGCCAAAATGGCTGGGAATTTGTTAAAAAATGTTTGAACGATCCAGAGTACTTGGAAAATTTGTGTGGATTGAAAAAGGTGCAAGAGGACGCTGAGTTGGCCATTAAGCAACTTCTTCCCCAGATGGACCTCGATGAGGACGACGAGGACAACGAATGGCTAAGCTAACACATATCAAACAACCCCATACAACACCGACAGCAGACAAACAGACAGGCAGACAGGCAGACTCCCCCACCCCTCCCACCACTCACTCACTCACACAAATACCAATAACAAATGGCTAATGGGGGTTATAACACTCTGTTCAATAGTGTCGATAGTGCTGTTTCCACTGTCGCCATCACGTGACCGACACACGTTATAGTTAAAGGGGGCCCATACAAATATATTTTTTCTGTTTGTCGTGCGAGTTGAACCAAAACACGGGATTTTGAGTAAACAATCACAACAATGATGGGATCAATAATTTTGATACTTAAAAGGATTAAGGAGATTTGAAGCAAAGTAGAAGGTAAATTTGATGTTTTCGCTGACGCACCGAATACGAAAAGAGACTGGGGGAGTGGAAGAATCAGGAGCTGCGGCAGGGGGAGAAACGCGGGGTGCGACAATGGGAGGCGGCTATGGACAAATGCACGGTGATATTTTCCATTCGAGTCCGTTACAACATTCATATTCATATAGCAGCAGTTTTGTCTCGCCTCTGCAGGATGCATCGCGTTTCCGGAATATACAATCTGTGCCACCAACTGTTCGAGACATTGTGCGATTAAAGACACTCGATGAGGAGAAGGAGGAGGATAATGATCAGAACATTATCAATTCTTGTATTATCGAGGAGCCCGTTGAGAAATTGCAGAAACCTTGTGGACCATTGTTGAGCGAGATTGATGATCTTGTTATTCAAGAAGCTCTAATTGTCAAGGATATCTTTTTTGTTTTATTAGGATACGAGGGTAATTATATACACTACAGCAGGAGCTATGATCCGTACTCTCTAGACTCCAGCATACAAGGTCCCGATTTCAAGTTTGCCAAAAATTTGGATATCAGCTTGAAAAACATTGCTAGAAAAGTGAGCCATGTGGGGAAACATTATAGCGGTTTACGCGCATTTATACACCTTTATGACAATGAGCTACATGGCAAGATTGTCCAAGCGTTTTGTCAAGCAGTAAGCGAATGTTTTGAACTGTATTATATTGTACTACTAGACTTGGAAAAAGGGTTTTTGTTTAGCAACAAGTTCAATACCAATATCTTGGATCAAGTGTTGGATGAACAAATAGCCAATAAGCTAGATCATCTATATCACATTGCATTATCGATTTGCACAATGGATCGGAAGCGAGCGACGACAATTTTGGCATCAGATGACCTGCCTGGATTCGAACTCGGACTCGAACTCGAACTCGAACCTGAACTCAACACCAGCACCGTTGGAGCCGCCGAATCAAATATTTATACCGAAAAGGCCAAGATATGCAAAGGAGGACTAGTACTTAAAATCATCCAGGATAGAATGGCAGTATACAAAGGAGATCTGAGCTCGTACAAGTTTTTAGCAGGTCTCTTTGATTCGGTGAGTATAGACTATGTGGCCATGCTCAATAGGTGGCTAGTAGAGGGGCTTATTGATGATCCATTTGACGAGTTTATGATACGTATTGCAAAGTTATCTAGTAAAGTGGAAGCGCAGTTTCGAACCAAAAGTGAGTTTTACTGGAGTGAGCTATTTTTGATCAAAAAGGACGGATTGTTGGATCAGTTTAAGAACTTCAAAATCCAGCAAAAGATATTGAATACAGGAAAGTATTTGAGCATCTTCAAAATGTGCACTGGGCTACAAAATTTCCAATCCTTAAACGAAACGTTTCAGCTTGTAGATAGCTTGAGTGCTTCAGACTTGGAACTCAAGATTGATAAGTTTTATGAGAGGGCCAACAAAATGCTAATCAAGCTCTTGTTTGAAGGTTACAAGCTTGGAAATTTAATTGCAGCTTATCAAACTTCTTTTTTACTCGACAACTCCTTTAATGTAGATTCATTTTTGGACACTGCATATCTGGAGTTAAAGCGGAACAAATACAAAACTGCAAAAACAGCTTTACAAAGACAATACAACGAAGTTTTCAAGGATTTCAAAGGAAAAATGGAGACGGAGACAAGTGTTGGTACACAAACCAATCTCTTTGGGGTAATTAAAAAAAATCAAAATTTCAGAATAGCCATTGAAAATTTATATAATGTGATTGATGAACTTATGGCGGAGAGGGACTTTACGATGATAAATAATAATGACCATTATAATTACAAAGAAGCTAGTAACAATGCGAGAGAAGTAATCGAGGCTATTACAAGCAACACAAAACTGCGAGGGCACAATGATAGTATAGATGAATCTGCTTTCTTGAGTGTTGACTTGAGCGTACCGTTACCGTTTCCATTGAATCTTGTTATGGTGCGACAGACTTCTTATCAATACGAAATCATGTTTAAATTTTTGTTTATGCTTAAATTTGTATCTAAACAAGGTGATATAAGCTGGCGAGAATTGAAAAGTTCAAAAGTCTGGATAAATAGGTCATTTTCACCAAAAGCGCAAAAATGGATTCTACGCTGCCGCAACTTGCATTCGCGAATCAGAGCATTTGTAAATGAGGTGCAAAGCTACATTGCATACGATGTAATTGATTTTAACTATGCAAAACTTCAAAGTTCATTAAACCAGTTTGAAGAGAGAAGTTTTTATGCATTACCAAATTATTCAAATGACCATGATACCTTTCAAGTATTTAAACTGAACTTACGAGGAGCTAACAATAGCAGTAATTCAATTTTTGACGCAAGAATTGATGAACGGAATTTGAACTTGAGTGCACAACACGAAGAAAATTCTTTTACGGTCACCGGGCTAACGCGAAGTCTACAGCGTTATACTACCACGCTCTTGAACGATTCGTTATTAACACGTCCTGAAACAATGAAGTGCGCAAAGGAGATGTTCAATTTCATAAGTCTATTTCACAATTACACTATGCAGATGAAAAGAACCCTTATTTTGATTAATCACGATTTGCAAAAGAAATTTGTTTTGAAAACCCCGGAGAAATTTGATAAACCAATGGACGACGCGCTGGTGAATAGGAGATTCGATTACATGGAGGAAAGCTTCTTTGTACGTTACCAGCAGTTTGGAGAGCTTCTAGGTAATTTTTTACAAACGATAAAAACAGTTGGCGAGAATGAAAATAGAAAACTTTTGGATCTTAGTGACCGGTTAGAGGCATGCTTCCCCGAATGATGAAAAAAAAAAAGAGGGCGGCCACTCATAATAACAACAACAACAATAATAACAAGAATAGGAATAGACAATAATAATAAGAAACCCTTATCTTTTTGATTCTTTTTGATTCGTCTTCTTTTTGATTCTTTTTCTTTATTTTCCTACAATCTTCTTCTACCAGTTGCTGTTCTGTTCAATGCTCATCTTCTAGCTTATCACAGTGTCTTCTTCGGTGGTTTGTTCATTTAAAACTTTTATAATTGCATCAGTTTTTTCATCATCGTATATCTGAAATCCACCAGATGTTGTGACACTTGCCAATTGGGCATTCTTGCAATCTAACTTCTCTTCCATCACTTGCTTTAATATCTTCAATGCCAATAATTCTGCTTCTTTCAAAGTCAAGCTTTTATGATACTCATTGTTTAATTCTGCTTGAGCACCCTCGCTTCCCGATCCAATAGCTTTAGCCTCGTATCTGTAAAACGTCCCCGATGGCTCAGCATGATACAATTGAGGACCTTTTTGCTTATCTACGCCTGCTATCAACAAAGCTACACCAAACGGTCTTGACATTAACCTTTTTTCACCATCGGCACCCTCTCCAAATCGCAATGCTAAATCGCACACATTTTGAGTTAAGCTTTCGACTCCAATATTCTCGTCGTAGTATAAATTATGCGTTAAACTTGATACGCGTGCATGGTCAATCATTGATCGTGCATCTGCCGTTAAACCACTCATGGCACAACCTATATGATGATCTATTTCAACAATTTTTTCAATCGACGACAGCTCAAGCAATGACGAAGTTACACGTTTCTCAACTCCTAGAATAACACCTTCACTAGTTTGTATACCAATTGCCGTAGACCCCAACTTAATTGCCTCAAGAGAATACTCCACTTGGAAAAGTCGACCCTCTGGCGAAAAAGTAGACACTCCTCGATCATATTCACTTCTAGTTAGAAACATTATTAAACCAGTTTATGTATTGTAATTGTGTGCGTGAGTATATCTATCTATGTGTACCTCTCTGTCTACTCAATTGGCTTACTCCCTACCTACAATAGACATCAACAGTTAAAGATGGCTTCGTTATTGGTGGCAATATTTTTTTTTTTTCACTTTGATTCTTTTGAGCGCTTAATTTTTTCATTGTTTCTTTTTCGTTTTCGCAATCAATTTATAATTGAGTTGAGGAAAGAGGGATGGGATAGGATAGGTATGGAATAGAGGAAAGAGGGATGGTTTAATTAGTTTTACTAGTACGAGTTGTAGTATGAGAGTCTAGCAGCGTATTTTTTATGAAAATGTAGATATATGAGTAAGGGTTATTATGTTTGCTTTGGAGCCAATGAAACAATTTTCTGTGCTGCAGGATCCAAATCTTCAAAGAAATACAATTTCAAACCGGATTCGTCAATCATTTTCTTTGCCTCAGCCATATTTGTACCCTGCAATCTCACAACAACGGGGATCTCCAATTTGAAGTTCTTGGTGGCGGCAATCAACCCCTTGGCGACATAGTCGCATCTGACAATACCACCAAAGATGTTAACAAAAATACCATTCACTTTTTTATCCGACAAAATCAACTCAAAAGCCTTTTCAATAGTTTCCGGGGTCGCGGTACCACCACAGTCCAAGAAGTTAGCAGGTTCACCACCGTATAATTTAATGATATCCATAGTGGCCATGGCTAAACCGGCACCATTAACGATGTTTGCGATATTACCGTCCAATTTGATAAAATTCAATCCGTATTTACTAGCTTCCATTTCTTCGGGATCTTCTTGAGTAGGATCTCTCCACGAGTACACTTCTTGCTGACGGAATGCTGCATTATCGTCGAAGCCCAATTTGGCATCCATTGCCAACACCTGATGGTCTGGAGTCTCAGATAATGGGTTTATCTCAACTTGTGTACAGTCACGCTCTATAAAGCACTTGAATAAACCTTGAATTGTTTCAGCAGCTTGAGGAATTGCCTCCTGAGAAAATCCCAAGGCAGATGCAACTTCTGTAGCTTTTTCAATGGGAAGATTTGCATCTAGTGAAACGGGGAAAGTCTTGATTGCATTGGGGTCCTTTTCAGCAACACCTTCAATGTCCATACCACCTTGAGCAGATGCAACAATCACCGGCGTTTGTGCGGTTCTGTCTAATAAAATGGCAAGATAAGCTTCCTTCTCAGCGTCTCTTCTCTCAACAATGTAAACAGCAGTAACTATTTTACCAGCAGCACCAGTTTGTTTAGTAATAATTTTGTGACCCAACATTTGTTTGGCCAAGTCTCTAGCTTCTTCGGGGGAAGAAATCAACTTGACACCGCCTTGTAAACCAGAGTCAAAGTGTCCCTTACCACGGCCTCCAGTCAATGCCTGTGCCTTGATGACCAACTCGTTTGTACCCAATTTCTTAGCAGCTTCGTACGCGCCCTCAGCAGTAGTAGCTGGGAACCCCTTGGGGATTGGCACACCGTACTTACTCAACAATGCAGCTGAGCGAAATTCATGTAAAGATAAACATCTCTTTTGCTGGAAAGCAGACTATATGAATTCAAAATGGTTAGTAAAAAAGAATCGGCGTTAAAGCTTTGAATTTCATTGCTATATATTATTTATATTCATCTTTGAAAAATAAAAAAAAAAAAAAATGGCAGGGAGGAAAAAGACGAAAATGGATAGTCATTGCATAGAAGATGCAATCGTCAAAGTGTGATAATGACGGGGGCTCTTAGTTTCGATTTCAAAAAACGGGTCCAAAGGGGACACCGTGGAAGGAGGAAACAGAACGCTGTGAATAGGAATACCAGCCTTTGTCTTTAGAATAACAAATTAGGTACCTCCGGGTTAGCCCATTATTTTTTTTTTTTTTTTTTTTTGGCTTATAACAAGGGACTCAAAGCTTGTAACTTTCCGCTATATTGTCAAATTTTTACATACTCTTGAGATTCGAGTAATTGATCTTGACAACATTGGTAAAATCCAAAAAGTATGGTTTTTCTAGAATAAAAAGAAGAAGATGAATATATAGAAAATCTAACTGGTAGTTTAAGAGAATAAAATAGTTCTGGTGAAAAAAAAAAAAAAAACGTTGGCTTTCTTTTTCTTTTTATTGTTTTTTTTTTTTTTTTTTTCCAAGATCCCGTCGGTTATCGGTAAGGTAGTTTCTTGGGGCAAGAGAAACACAATGGGGGGGGGGGAGGGGGGTCACTTGAATTCTTTGTAGTTTGTTGGGTTTAAGTTAGTCTTATGGTAGTAAGCAATGAATGTGTTTTCGACTTGTTTCAGTTAATTGAGACAATTATATTAATTCCTTAAGAATGGTAAAGTCCCAATACTAGGTTCATCTCACGGAAAATAAACCCGTTAATTACCCTTTTTTCTTCTTGACATATTTTTTTCAGGTACCCCCGGGAACAGGGAATTATGCATCGACACTATCGAGCGAAGCGAGATGGTGGAGCACACTGAATAATGGCACTATCGAGCACGCTGAATAATGGCACTATCGAGCACGCTGAATAATGGCACTATCGAGCACACTGAATAATGGCACTATCGAGCACAATGACTAATGACACTATCTAGCAGAGCGAGTTAGTGTTGTAACAAGCTACTGAGTGTTGCTTCACTATCTCGCTCTGCTCGATGGTGGAGCGCCCTTTTCATCTCCCTTCTCTCTCTTTGTATGCACCTTCTCCACAACTCGGCTAACAAACTTTAGTTTCCAATCATGAAGGAAAAAAAAGGCTATCCTGGGGAATGATTTTAGTTTGAATTGAGATTTGTATAAATTTTGTCTTTGTCTTTGTTGTTACACGTGGACTCTTTAAGATTGGCCATTGTTTCTTCCATATGGTGATGGTCTTTATTGCAGATTGGTTTTTTTGTCAAATGGGAAAATCGGCAATTAATTTTGCTGTTCCCCAATGGTATCATCACATAATTACTCTGCTCATCACATGGAAGATGCTGATAATGCATCATCTTTGTCATCATCATCATCTGCTTCCGACACTAGTGATTCTGAAAACGAAGAAGCAGATAAGGATGAAGACGCCATGGCTCTAGACTAGCAAGCAAGCTAGTCTTTATTGCAAGTCTGCTCTCATATAGACTAGCAAGCAAGCGAGCTAGCCTTTAGTCACAAGTATCTACTTACTACTTACTACTCACTAGTCTCTGCTCTCCACTCACTACCCTCTACTTATTAGTCTCTGCTCTCCACTCACTACCCTCTTCTTCCTACTCTCTACTTACCAGTCTCTATTCTCTACATATTGCTCCACTACTCTCTTCTCTACTGCTCCTTTCTTCTTTTTACTGCTCATTACTCATTACTCACTATTGATTCACTCCACACTGTTGATTATAATTCTCACAGCTAATTCCACACCCTGAATTGACCCAATTATACTCTTTTTGATATAGAGGGTTTACTAGCAACTGACAATGCTACTCACTACTCACTACTCCATTACCTACTAATCTCTACTCACTACTTACTACTCACAATATACTATCTCGCTTTGCTCGATAGTGGAGCAGCACTGACTATACCGACACTATCTCGCTCTGCTCGATAGTGTTATTTCAAAGAGACATCTCTTTACGAAGGGAATTTCTTTATATTCAATATGAGGTGTTGCTAGTCGGTGGCAGTCAGTGTTGGTAGTCGGCGGCAGTCAGTGTCGCTAGTCGGTGTTGCTCCACTATCTCGCTCTGCTCGATAGTGTCGCTAGCTCATCTCTCATCGCTTTGTGAGGAAAAAAAAAATTAGTGTTTGAGTTGATCCATCTTTTCATCAAGTTATGTTGAGAGACAAGAAAAGACCTGTATTTAAAGATGAAGATTCATCAGATGAGGATGTGAGGCATTACCGAGACCCGGCTACAAAAAGCAGGGGCGAATGGCAGGGTGAAGAGGAAAGTGAAGAGGAGAGTGAAGGTCAAGACGATATAATGTCGAAATTATCATTTGGCACCCTAAATAAGATGCAATCGAAGCTACAACGAGAGGATAGCCGGAAAGGCGAGAGAATAAACAGACGAAACGGAAGAGATGTAATAAATATAGGAGATCGGGGAGTTAGTGAAGACAGTCAAGACAGTGAAGACAGCGAAGAATCTGAATCTGACACTGCTCCCAAAGTTTCTACAAGTACAAAGAAAAAAACTAGTAAACATGCACCAGCGGTATCTTCCAGTAAGAAACCAGTATCGAAAATCCGCGAGATCCCAGGCTTACCATCAAGAAAGACACACACGCTATACAAGGACATAAGATTTGACGCAGCTTACGGCAAGGCCGACTTGAACCAGGCACGGAAAAACTATGCGTTTCTTGATGACTATAGAAGAGACGAAATTAGCAAAATGGAGGATATTCTAAAGGATAAAAAATCTAAGCTCAACCAACACGAAAGGGAAGAAATAGAGCGGCAACTACAGTCATTGAAGTCAAGGATGGACAGTTTAAAGAATCGCGATATAGAAAATCTGATATTACTGGAATACAAAAAGAAGCAGTATCAGAATGTGAAAAATGGAAGTGCAACACAACCTTATTTCTTAAAGCGCAGTGAGCAGAGGAAAATTTTGAAAAAGGCTAAATACGATAGCATGAAACCTAGACAAAGAGAAAAGGCAATGGAGAGAAAGAGAAAGAAGAGATTGGGTAAAGAATTTCGACAGTTGGAATTTAGAGTGAATAATCAGTAAACAAAAGGAAAATTAAAAAAAAAAAAGAATCAGAAACGGAAACAAAAAGGAAAACAAAAACCGGTACCGTACATTTGTGAAAGAAATATGCTTATTTGGGCAAAGTGTATTTGGTGTTTTGAATTACATCTATAAATTTGAATACAGAATATAAAAAGTCACTGAAACTTGAAAGTTTTTCTCATTTGTTCATGTAATGACAAGAAAAAGGTTCCACCCACCACCTCCCTACTTATGCAGTGATGTGACAACTATGCTTTGTCTTTCACACTGTTTTCGTGGGATAACCAGTCTTCGTAACTTCCCAAGTAATTACCTCTTTTTTTATAACCAAAAGTATTGGCTAATTCCTCAGCTGCAGTAGATCTCACGCCACCGAGACAATAGAAAACCAACTCTTTATCCTTATCTGGTTTATCAAACCCAAAGCTTTCTTGAAACTCTTCAGGGTTTAAATCTAAAGCACCGGGGCTGCTTTTGAATGGGATGTTAATCGCACCTGGAATGTGTCCGTCACTAAACTCAACAGGCTCCCTTACATCAATCAAGATTGAGTCTGGGTGGTTTTGAGGGTTGGATGCAATATCCTTAACCTTATTGTAATCATATATTTTAGCCTCTTGTGTTTCTGTTAACACACTATAGAATCTGGTGCTATTTTGAGTTTGTTTGTTAACATTAACAGCAGTAAAAGAGCTCGATTTGGAATTGAAAGGATAAACCAAACTTGGCTTAATAAAATGACGCAACTGTTGCTTGATTACAAGACAAGATGACTGTTTTAAAGCTGTTCTCAGAGCTATTGGCGCTCTCTGTGCAAGTTGCCTTAAAGAATACATTGGTTGAATATTAATTATTATTATTATCTCAAGCTGTTCCCTAGGTTAAGAAAATTCAAAAAAAAAAACAAAAACAAACAGGGTCGAAATAGTATCAAAGATATCACTACCAATAAAAGCGTCCAAAAAGTAGTTGGGCTCAGTAAATGCTCCTCTTCTTTGTTTCAGCTCAACACGGAGACTAGAAAGTAATAAATCCTTTAATTTAATCTACAAAGAGATTGCCGTTCCTCGATGATTAATTTTTTTTTTTTTCTCTTCCGTGTTTTTCTCGTTTGATCAACGATTTGATGATTTGTTTATATTCTCTTCCGTCAAGAATCTATAAGTTTCATATAAAGTAATGAATAATCGGGTAAATGTGATTACAATGTTACTTTGTGAAACATCGGGTTTAATAAATTTGATTACATTGTTACTTTCCAAGTAACGATACCTGGTGAAATTGCATTTAATAAGAATTATATTGTGTTGAGAGTATAAATAGCGACTTCCCCTTCCTCAAAAAAAAAAAAAGAAAGAAATCACTCTATAATGCAAAAAATATAAAACAACAAAGCAGAAAACCAGTAGGTAATCTATTTTCTTTTAATCATAACATTCCTTAAGATTGGATTGAACAAATTTTTTTAAAGTAATTGTTTTCTTTAACGTCAACTGTTCTCTTTTTTCTTTCTTTTCTTCGCTGGCTTAAAACAAACCGTCAATTTCGCCGTCTTCATTAACCTCAACATTCATAAATCCACAGTGGGTTGGTAAGCCGGGAATTGTTTGTATTTCAGCAGCTAAAGCGTACAAGTACCCAGCACCAATTGATGCTCTAACGTCTCTGATAGGGAATTTGAAACCTGTTGGAACACCCTTCAAATTAGCGTCATGCGATAAGGAGTATTGCGTTTTGGCAATACATATGGGCAATTTCCCAAACCCTTGCTTGGTATATAAATCAATCTTTTTTTGGGCTTCTGGCGAAAACTCAACCTCCAGCGCTCCATACATTTCCTTAGCAATTGTTGAAATTTTATCCTCAACTGAAGGTTCGAGACCATAAAGAAAGTTAAAGTGCTTGTCCTTTCTGTTTGCCGCTTCAATGACGCCCTTGGCCAAATCAACTGCACCTTTGCCTCCTTCTTCCCAGTGGTTTGAAACAATTGCATCAACAGCACCAGCTTTCAAGGCTTCTTCCTTGATAATTTCGTGCTCCAGATTGGTATCGGATGACATCTTGTTGATGGCTACTACAACGGGCAAACCATACAACTTAGCGTTCGCAATGTGTTTGGCCAAATTAGCACATCCCTTTCTCAATAACTCAACATTTTCTTGAGTGTATTCTGGAGCTAATGGTGCACCAGCCTTCACCTCGGGACCTCCACCATGGACTTTCAATGCACGCACAGTAGCCACAATAACAATAACATCTGGAACCAAGCCACTTGCTCTACATTTGATATTAATAAACCGTTCACCACCCATTGTAAAATCAAAACCGGCCTCAGTAACTACGTAACCTTCTTGCTCTTTTCTTTCTTCGAAATTCAAGTCTGCTGAGGTGCCCGCCAATTTTAATGCCATTTTATCTGCCAAGATTGATGACGCACCAATAGAAATGTTGGCAAAAGGACCAGCATGAACAAAAACTGGAGTGCCTTCCAAAGTTTGCATAATGTTTGGCTTGATGGCATCTTTCAACAATGCGGTTAAAGCACCAGCACATCCGATATCTTCACAAGTAATTGGAACTCCAGCTTTGGATGAACCAATAACCATTCTACCCAACCTTTCTCTCATATCTTTCAATGAGTTGGCTAAAGCCAAAATGGCCATACACTCGGAAGCAACAGTGATGTCAAACCCTGTTGCTCTGGTGTACCCTTTTTCGGTGGGAGCTTGACCCACTGTAATGCCTCTCAAAAATCTGTCGTTACAATCAACAACCCTTCTCCAGGTGATGGAATCGGGATCAATATCCAACCTAGCAAACGCAGTGATCTCTTCAGGAGATAATTCGTTTGGATCAGTTTTATTGATTCCCAATTTTTCCAATCTTTTCAACATGGATGTTGTAAAAGATCTTTTACCTTTTTTCTCAGGTACCAATCTTTTATATAATGGACCATCCTTTTGGGTTGCTTCGTGGAACATTCTGGTATCAATAGCTGCAGCCAACAAATTATTGGCCATAGTTATGGCATGAATGTCACCAGTAACATGCATGTTAAATTCATCCATTGGAATAACTTGCGAATAACCACCACCGGCAGCACCACCTTTTATTCCAAAAGTTGGACCCATAGATGGCTGTCTAACATTTGCAAAAACGTTTTTGTTCAAATGAGCACCCAAAGCTTGAGCCAATCCAACCGTCGTAGTTGATTTACCTTCACCCAATGGAGTGGGAGTGATACCAGTAACCAAAATGTATTTACCATTAATTTTGTTTTCCAAACGTTTCAAAATATCCAAGGATACTTTAGCTTTGTAAAAGCCAAAAGGTTCCAACTCAGAGTCCAAAATACCTGCTTCCTCAGCAACTTGAGTAATACGTTTAGGTTGTTGTGCACGAGAAATCTCAAAGTCTGAAGGTACAGGTTTTTGCAAGTTTAACTTTAAAGGATTGGTAAATCTTGGGGTTTCATTATTCTTTTGGTAATGCCTCTTTGCGGCAAGAAACGCATTCTCTAGCAAACAAGCTACAGTCATAGGTCCAACTCCACCAGGAACAGGGGTAATCAACTCTACTCTTTCTTTAGCAACATCAAATTCAACATCACCCACCATTCTTTGACCCGATTTCTTGGTAGAATCTGCAATAAAATTGGTTCCAACATCGATTACAACAGCACCAGGCTTCAACCATTCTCCTTTAACAAATTGGGGTTGCCCAATGGCGGCAACGACAATATCAGCATTCTTCAAGTAATTTTTCAATTGTTCAAGAGGTGTTCTAGAATGAACAATGGTGACGTTAGCATTGGCTTTGGTCAACAAATTAGCCATTGGCTTACCTACAATGTCTGATCTTCCTAAAACAACAGCGTTTTTACCCTCGACATCGACTTGAGAAACTTTCAATAAATGCATGATTCCCTTTGGAGTACAAGGCAAGAAGAATGGCTCACCGCCCTTCTTGGCCAACTCACCAACATTAAATGGTCCGAATCCATCGACATCCTTGTCGGGTAAAACAGCATTGGTAATTTTTACTTCATCGATATGTTTGGGTAATGGCAATTGAACTAGTATACCATCAACATCCAAGGAATTGTTCAATTTTGATATTTCACTCAACAATTCAAACTCAGTTGTCTCTATAGGTAAATGAATCAATTCGCAAGCAATTTCAGCCTCCTCAGCGGCTTTCAACTTCATCTTGACATAAGTCGAAGAGTCGGATCTACCACCAACTTGAATAATAGACAAATGTGGCTTGAAGTCGGGGTGCTTCACTTGAAATTGGACAATTTCATCATGTACTTTATTTCGAAGATCTAGTGCAATGGACTTGCCGTCCAAGATACCAGCAACCATCCTCGTAAAAAGTGTTATACTATTGTTGAAAAATGGAAGAAAAAGTGATGAATCAAAGAGAGACAATCAAACAAAGTTGATAATTTTTCATATCGCCATCACCAGCGCGAAAAGGTAACTCGAAAAAATTTGACTCCTACTAAAAAAAATGACTCCTGCGTGTTTAAATAGATTTTATTTTCTTGAAAACATTATATGAGTAGTGGGTTTAGCGAGGGCTCATGCTAAGACGCGTGAGACAATATTGGTGAATTTATTGCGTTTGTAGTAGTTTTCAAGGGCGGGCTTAACTATCTATGCTATGCTTTAAAAGAAGCCGATTTCAATGGGGATTTTAGTGAAGTGAGTTTGGGTTTGAGAAAGAGTCAAAAGAAAGAATGAAAGAATCAAAGCAAAAAAAAAAAAAAGACAATTATGGGGTAGTTGGAGCAATTGTTCCCTAGCGATGCTAGAAAATTTCTTGTGCCTAGGGCTACACCTGGGGCTGCTCTTGGCCATTCCTAGGGCTTTTCTGAGACTTTTTCAACTTTGTCAATCAAGATATTCTTGATGTTGTACTTTTTGTTGATATTATGAGTAATATCGCCTGGTCCCAAATTGTATACAACATCCAATTCTGCATCGAGTAAAAAATTCATAGACTTGATCCACTGCACTGGCAAATAATTTGCCTTTAGCGTCTTTTGCACGGTGGTCTTGGCATCGCTTGAGATTTCACCATCTAAATTAGTAACAATCGGTATATTTTGCTTATGCAATTTACCATCTAGAAAACTCGCTAGTTCTGGAACTATTTGTTTTAGTATTTCATTATGAAAAGGAATGGAGACTGGTAGTTTAACAGTTTTGAGCACCAGCCTGCTATGTTCTCTTTTCAACTTTTCTACAAACTCGTCTAACCTTGTCAATACTCCAGAAATTACAATTTGAGTTTTGGAGTTGATATTAGCCAAAACTTGATATTTCGTAGCCAATGCAATCACGTCATCAACAAAACTCGGTCGTACTAATAACGCAACCATGCCATACTTGTTTTTGTTGTTTTTGTTGCAGCCGTTGCAGCCGTTTTCCCTAAAAACAATATCTTCCATCAACTCGCCTCTTAATCGCACTAATTGAATAGCAGTTGGAAAGTCAATTACTCCACTTAGGGTTAAAGCAGTATATTCACCTAGCGAATGACCCAACAAGTATTTGGCACCAGCAAGCAAGGGGACATTGTTCACTTTTTCGTATGTTTTCAAGGTAATGTAAGTAGTGGCTAAAATTGCTGGTTGAGCATTTCGAGTATCAAGTAATGAAATGGAGTTGTTTGCTTCATTATCGCTGAATAGATATTTGGAAAAATTGAATCCCAATACCGAGTCGACTTCTTCCAACAAGTTGCTATAAAGGTTCAAATATTGTTTATTGGGGTTGATTAAACCAGGTCGCAAAATACCCTGTCCGGGACACGTGATAGCATACCTCTGTGCTAACTTTAGTTTGCTCATTTGAAAAGGTCACCTTTACTAAAAGCTATCAAACCATAGTAGAAAAAGATGAGAGATGAGGGAGTGGGGGGGGGGGGGGGGGGGGGGGGGGGGGAAAGGGACAACGCTACCAAATGTGTAATATAGAAACAACGGCATAACCCATCAATTAGTATATGACAGCCTTATCGATAAAACACAATGTAGCATTTAGCCAATTAGGATAGAATAGATAAATTGGCCGAGTTACTAGAATAGGCTGAGTTACTAGAATAGGAGTTACTAGAATAGGCTGAGTTACTAGAATTGGCCGAGTTACAAGGGTATTATTAGACACGAGTTTAGTTGATATCTCGTGTTATGTGGGAAACCATAACAAATACATCAGATTATACAATACAATACAATAGAAAAAAAATACGTGTTTTATGTACTTTGATACGATATAAAAATCCAACTACCTCGCCAATATTTCCAACTACTACGCCAATATTTATTGAGGTCTCTCCAGCACACTTCCACTACTTTCCGCTATTTTCGGCTCTAGTCAGTGTGCTCCACTATCTCGCTCTGCTCGATAGTGTTCCTCGATAGTGTTGCTCGATAGTGTTGCTCGATAGTGTTGCTCGATAGTGTCACTCGATAGTGTTGCTTGATAGTGTTGCTCGATAGTGTCACTCGATAGTGTTGCTCGATAGTGTTGGCCGATTGTCGCTGAGACGACTTTAGCGCTTAATTTGTTGATGCCTTAGCCGAGTGTTGACGCGAAAACTAGCGATTCTGCGCGTGTAAGTGCACTAAGCTACACGCGCACACTAGAAAGAATTTTCCAAGATTCTTTCACTAAAGAGACTTTTCTTTTTTTCTTTTTTTTTTGTTTTTTTCCCACAAGCTGCCGCCGCGCCCTTCCCTTAAGAATTCCTTTAATTGGCACGGAAATGGACTGCGCACGCCAAAAAATATGGGTCGCACCTCACCAAAAACTTTCTTTAAAATGTTGGCGATTCCCACTCGATTCAGAAAATTTTTTTCTCCTACATTGACTTCCCCCCCCTCTTTTTCTTTTTTCTCCTTCCATTCTGGTACCAGACTTCGACACAACATCACCACCACTTAGCACCATTACCGCCACCAAATACCATCCCACCGTCTTACCACTCGAAAGAATTTTTTTCTCACACATTCTCTCTATTTCTTTACAAACAAACAAACAAACAAACAAACACAATAAAAAAAATTGGTCAAGGACAAATACATATAAGAATGACATCAGAGTTGAGGACCACCAAAGATGTTTTAGTGTCTTCGCTATTTGAGTTATCGAAAGCAGCACAAGAAGCTGCAAATGCAGCTGTTGATTTCTATAGAGTAGCTACAGGCGGAGAAGAGGATGTTACTACTGAGCAATTACACCAAATTCAAGAAGCTATGAAAATTGCTGTTTCAGCTACTACTGGTATCAAGCGTGAATTGCCTCAAAGTAATGTTAATGGAAATGAAAAAGTTAAAAAGAAAAAAGTTGAAAGAGACCCAAATGCTCCAAAAAAGCCATTGACGATGTTTTTCGCTTTTAGCTTCCATTTGCGGAAATTGATTGCTGAAGAAAGGAAAAAAAAGGATTTGCCCAACCTTAGTGCTATCGATATGAACTCAATGATCAAGGATCGTTGGGACAATATCACCAGTGAAGAAAAAGCAAGATGGAAACAAAAATATGACGACGAAATGAAAACCTACAATTTGGAAAAGGCCAAATACGAACAAAGCTTGAAAGACGGATCTTATTATAAGGCTCCTCCTGCTCCTTATGCTAGTGGATACACCGGGCCCAATCCAGTTTTAATAACTCCAAGAGCTGAAGAAATTGTGGAAGAGGACGATGATGAAGAAGAAATCGATGAGCCCGTGCAAATCCCAATTTTGAGTCAAGAAGAAAAGGAAAGAAAGAAGAAGAAGAAGGCTGAAAAGAAGGAAAAGAAGAAGAAGCTTGCATTTGCTTCACAATCCCCTCACTGACTTGACCAAAAAAACAACCTTCATTAATATCAACCGCCCCATTTACTAGCAACTTCATTTTTACCAGTGTATTACTTTAAATTATATATGTTGTATTGTATTGTATTGTATTGTATTTGCTTACGGCTTCTCTTTGTGTTTGCTTCACATACCTTTCTTCTTCTGCTTATCAATATGAGCACGAAGAACTTTTTGTCTTTCACGCAATGATAGTTTCTGCTTCCCTTGAACTGCCTTTTTATGTATCATCATTACAAAATTCTTCTTCCTAGATTTCTCCTTATTAGTCGTTGAATGAGGAGCATCACGTTTACCCTTGCGTGATCCAAATTTACCCCTGTCTTCTTTGCCTTCTTTTGCATGCGCAATTCTTTCTTCTCGTAATTGCTTGTATTTTACTTTACCTACTAGTTTGCTTGAATCAATTGCATCTTCATTTCTTATACCCATTAGTTTGGAAACGCCTGCTTCTGTACGTAGTTCTTCTAATTTGGCAAAATCAGCAGGCGTAAGGATCCTGCTGGATAACATTTCGTTCATGGCTAACTCTGTGGAAATCGCCGATGAAGAAGAAGAAGAAGAAGAGTCGAGTTTGGTTTTCTTTCTCGGCCTTTCTTCTTCTCCCCCACCCTTCTCTTCCTTTTCCTCCTCATCAGAAGATAATTCCAAATCAGAAACATCCTCATCATTTTTCTTTTCATCTTCATCCTCGCCACTATCTGATATGTCAATTTCTTCATCCGACTCTACAGTTATCCACTCTCCCTCTATTTCAGTTCCATCCTCGTCATCCCCGTCATCAACTTCCCAATTTGCATCATCTTCTTCATCTTCCTCATCATTATTCCCATGTTCTTGTTTCCACTTGGCCAATAATTCCAAGCCGGGTATACCGTGAACTGCTTGTTCTACACCATACTGCGGTCCTCTAGGTTTCAGCTTGTCTCCCTTTTGCAACTCCATACTAGCAACCTTACCCCGGTCTTTTCTTAATAACATATCTGGTGCAATTTCACGATATAACGAAATCAAAGACCTTGCCGCTGTCATTACTGCTTTAGACTTGGATCCTTTATACTCAGTCAAATCTTGTAATAATGAAGCATCAATAGCTAAAGGAGCACGCGCCAAAATCTCCCGAATTGTGTTTATCCCTGCTGAGGCTACTTCAGCAGCAACACCATCACTAACAAACTCATCGGCTATTTTTCTCACTACAACTTCAATGTTTTCCGGCGGCACCAAGTCGTGTGACGCTTGAGCTGAAGCTGCCATTATTTGAGTAACGTTCCTTTGTTTCGGTGTGAGGTATTTCAAGAAAAAGGTATAAATACCCAATACAATCAACTTATGGGTACCAATCAACCTTGAAATCAAGTTCAAAAACAAAATCTTTTGATCTAAATCAAATTTATTGGAGTTTTTAGAACTTAGATGATTATCAAACAACTGTTCTGCAAAACCTTGAGGATCTCTTAATAAATGAATAGCCGAAAAATTTAAATACGTCGCCGAGTGTTTGGTGCTCAGTTTTTTCTTCATTTGTTTGATTGCATGCTCCAATTTCTTGCCTCTTTTCGATGATTTCTTATTAACTTCTAATTTGTGCTTCAATGCCCCCATATCAAATCCGTTCTCGTCACTTGAGTCATCTTCAAAGTTCTCTTCTCTTTCCTTATCTGCTCCTAAAAAGAATCTGGCTCCAGCAATGGCAACTTTTACATCTGGGTGCAATGCTGCTTGTGTCATTATTTCCACAGTACGTGAGTCATCCCATATACCTCTTCTCCATAGCTCTCTAGTTAATTTTGTAGCCCATAGCCCCTGGGTATCTTTTCGTTCCAAAAGATTAAACAATAAGGCTTGTGTCGATTTATTCAACTTTTGATTTTTGGCCCCTGTATTGACCGATTTCAATAATGAAACCAAGGTCGAGTATATCTGCCGTCTCATTTGTTTTACATGTTGGCCTGTAGGAGTAGTTCCCGTGGCATATGCAGTCAACAATGGGAAAATGGTTTGCATCAAACTTTCAGCTGTAATCACACCTTTATTCCTCAACATAGTTAAGCATTGAATAATCTTTTCACGTAAATCTGGAGTCAAATTACGATGGTTGGAAAGCAACAACGTTTTCAATTCTTGTGGAAAATTAGCAGTCTCCTTAGGATAACAGTTACATACAGCTGAAAGAAACCCAATCAACTCTATAAAATCTGTCGCTGAATTCGTATCTGCTGCTCCCGCGGGGTTCTCCAAATACAAGTCACGAAGTGACTCATAATGAGAATATTGCTGTACAAACTCTTCATAATAGGACTCTGGGTCTCTTTTTACTACATTTTGTAGCAATATGATATTAGTCGGCAAGATAGCCGCCCTTCTTTGTTTCCCCATCTCCTAATAGTAGTAGCTCTAATCTGTTAATAATACTATACAAGATGGAAAAAGAGAAAAATGAAAAAAAGAAATCGCGATGAGCATCGCAAAATTATGGTAGCATTAGAAATAAAACTATGAGACTAGTCACAACTACTCTTTCCACTATCGAGCGAAGCGAGATAGTGCTGCTATTAAATGCTGCTATCAAGTGCTGGTATCAAGTGCTGGTATCAAGTGCTGGTATCAAGTGCTTCTATCAAGTGCTGGTATCAAGTGCTGCTCCACTATCTCGCTTCGCTCGATAGTGTAGATAGGACACTAATTTTTATCTCCAAACAAGACTTGCAACGATTCATAATTGATCTTTTTAGATACCGAGGTTTTGGAGATAAACATTTTTGCACTATCAGCTGCACTTTTCGGTGTTCCATCTTCATCTAAAACAATATCACCAAGTTCCTTCTGTAATTCTATAGGTATTGAGTTTCTTTGCTTCTTACGACGAGGACCATCTATTGCCGCCGAAGTGTTCCCTGTTAACTCGTCGGCTTTTTGTTTTAGTCTCTTACGTTCCTGCTCCACCATGTAATCGTGATTTAACCCCGTCCAAATTCTCTCCTTCACTGCAACTTCCTCCGGCGTCATTCTGCTTTCCTCCACAATTTCATCATCGTCATCTGAGTTGAGTTCAACTTCTGAAGAAACCGATTTCAAAATCTCAGCGGTAGTGGGGAGATTTTTAACCAAATTTTTTGGCCAATTGATATTCCAAACCTTGTTGGCATCCAAATCATCAATGCCACCAGTTGCCTCAGACGGTGTCTTGTATAGCGAACCTTCCAATTTGTTCCTCTTTGCTACTAATATTCTTTCAATCTGTTCGTTTATCAATTTTTTATCAATCGTGATATCGCTTAATATCGTATTCATCAAGATCTGTTTCTGTTGTTCTTCATTACTCAATTTTCCCAAGTATTTGGATTTTTCCTCCTGCGTCATATTCTCCAAATCATGAAAAGTTTCTTGTTGTCTATTTTGTAATTTCTTTGCAATCTTCAATTCGTTCATTCTATTCTTGTCATATGAAGGCGGATTGGAACTCTCAACAGCTACTTCGTTCCGAAACCCTTCAACCGATAACTGGGCAGCTTTTGTCTTTTTGAATTCATTCAATCTACGCTGTAGTGTTTCTTCGCCAACGTGTGAAATTGCAACAATTTCGGCGTGGCTTCTGCGGAAATTGTTCATTCTTGCTGCCAACAAAACACATGCACCCGCAATCCCGGCTGGACGTCTACCTTCATGTATCCAGTCAGCTGACATTCTATGGGCCAATTTAACAGCATCCTTTGCCACTTTTGTAGCCTTATCCTTAAAGTCCAACTTTTCAACAAAATGCTGGATAAACAAAGATGGATCAGCAAGCGGAAGCGACGTGATATGTAGTGCCTTGACCATCTTCAAAAAAGTGGCGCCCAAGGAATACACCGATATTTGTAACCTTGAGCTGAAATCAATCAACATATGATGAGTTCGTTCTTTACGACACGCGACATAAAGACAAGTAGCCAACACATTATTTGACCTTCTACCTTGCACGAAATTCATAGTCAATGCTAATTTAAACCATTCGCCAGCTGCCTCTGCTATAAAATCAGCTATTTTCAAAGATGCAGCTATTCGTCTTATTTTCCTTTTCCCATTACTAATTGTTTGTTCTCTGCTTTCCATAGCATTTTGTCTTCCTCCTGCAAACGAGGCCCTAGCTTGATCCGCACCAACCATAGCACCTTGCACCATAGCAGCCCCACTTGACGACTCACCAAACTGTACTTCTGAAACAATAGGGTTTTCTTCAAGAACCGTGCCGCATCGAAGACACGAGATATCTCCCGCCGCTGTATATCGATTCACATCAAACTGCGTATGACCACAGTTGACACATTTCTGCTGCTTCTTTTGTCGATTACTCATATTTTCATCACTATGGGAAATCTTACTCTTATCAATAAAAGGGGTTACTTACTTAACCTTGGTGTTATACTAAAGTGAAAAATGAAAAAGAAAGAAAAGATTGTTGTTATCAAACAAATACTCAATTTGAAAAAAAAAAAAAATTAAAGGAGAATAAATCATACAAGGAAGGGGGAAAATTTGATGATGAATAGGGAGGTAAAAGAACAGGGTTATAAAGATGTGGAAATAAGGCCCTACGACGGAGAAGAAGGGTCTTCTTCAGGACTACTGATTTTCCAGTCCAAACTTTCTAAAGGACCAGAGATGGTCATCAATGCCAACAATGAGAATAATAGTAATGGTAATGATGATGTTAAGGTAATGAGCCACTTTCCTTATAATTTAGTAATAAAAGTAGCTACATCAGAACCAAGAGATGTGCTACAGTCGGAACGTACATGCTTGACTTTTGTTCGGTTTGCCGCGGCTTTGTTCTTCACCGCATTGGGTATAATTTTGAATTTCAAATTAGACACTTCGGGCAATAATTTGCTAGATAAGCCTGGTAAGCATCCTCGTGGTTTTAACCACTCAAAGTACTCGCAGGCCGCATCCTTTGTGATGTTGATACTCTCATTGCTTGTATTGGTGATCAGCACAATAAACTATTTTATTACGATTAATCGATATGCGCAACGCAAAATCGAAACGTATAACTTTAATAACTTAACTACAATGATTTGCATGACTGGGATAATAGTATCATTGGGCGTGATAAATATCACAATGATTATAGAAGGGTTTTTGGAGGAGTCTTGATTGTGCTTCACTATCGAGCAGAGCGAGATAGTGTTGATAGCGTCGGTGCAGCTAATGAGCTCCACTATCTCGCTCTGCTCGATAGTGTCGATAGTGTCGATAGTGTCGATAGTGTCGTTGGTTTCATGTGGTCTTTTGTTTCTTCTTTTTCTTTTTATCCCTCCTAGATTCTAAACTGTTTTCTTCACTATTGGCACGCTTGCTTTTGTTTACCTTTTTCTTTTCTCCAAATCCTTCCTTATCCATCTCCATCATAGCTTCTCTTTTCGCAGTTGTCATAATTTGTAAAGAATCCTTAATCACTTTGTCATCATCAACATCCTCTAATAATTCCATCTTCTTATTGATCCTCGCTTCGATACTCTGAATTCTTTCAATATCTCTTTCTCCAATTATACTAATAGCATCACCTTTCCTGCCTGCTCTAGCAGTTCTACCGACTCGGTGGATAAAATCATCTGGATCAGACGGTATATCGAAATTGATCACCAATTCAACTGTTGGTATATCCAATCCTCTAGACGCTACATCGGTAGCTATCAAGATTCTCGCTGCTCCTGCTTTAAATCTGTGTAATGAGTTTGTCCTCTCAGATTGAGGCATTTCTGAATGCAATGAAGCAACTCTAAAATCTAGTTTTCTCAATGCCCTCCTTAGAACTTCTGCTGTCATTGTACGATTAACAAACACAATAGCCGTTGCGTCTTTGTATTTGGGTAGTAGCAAAATCGAGTTCAAGTATGCATCTTTGACAAAGGATGGGACAAACACGTATAGCGTGGAAAGAGTCCTTGGAATAGCAACCTTGTCCACAGACTCCACTTGATGCATAAATACGGGTAATTTGTCAGCAGGTCGTGGCTTATCCTTTAACACCTTAACTGCATCAGTAATAGTGGCAGTAAACAATAAAGTTTGTCTCTTGTCACTTGAAGGAAGCACCGAAAAACACCTTTCCAAGTCACTTCCGAAACTATTGCTTAATAATCGGTCAGCTTCGTCTAAAACTAAATACTGCACCCTTCGCAATCCAGCAATAGTTGTTTCTCCACTGTTTAAAATATGATCCGCTAGTCTTCCTGGTGTAGCAATAACAAAATGCGGTTTCGTTTGCAACTCCAAAGCTTGTTTAACGAAATCTTCACCTCCAACAACTACACATACTTTTATATTCATCTGTGCACCTAAAGCAACAAACTGTTCTGCTATCTGTAGTGCCAATTCTCTTGTAGGGGTTAGAACAAGCCCAAATATCCCCAATGGGTCTTCTGACCATTTTGTCAACATGGGAGAAGCAAAAGCTATAGTCTTACCAGAACCAGTCTTGGCCCCTCCAATACAATCACGACCTTTTAGTATTTCCGGTATACACGCAGCTTGAATCGATGTTGGTTTATGGATTTGCATGGCTTCTAGCGACTCCGCAAGCCATTTTGCAACACCTAATTCTTGAAAAGATTGGGTACCCATCTAAGTTTTAAAGTCCAAATTCAAGTCCAAATTCAAGTCCAAGTTCAAGTCCAAGTTCGAGTTCGAGTTCAAGTTCAAATTCAAGTTCAAGTCCGTGATGATCATCGGAGAAAAGAACCAAAAAAAAAAAAAAAAAAATTAAAAAAGAAAAGTGAAAAATTTGAAAAATTTGAAAAAAAGGAACAACCCCCCTTGCCCCAGGTTTGCCAAAAAAAAGGGTTCAGATTAGAAGGATGAGTATCAACAGATGACCAAATTACTACAAACACTACAGAGACTGATACATTACTCCACTAGACTTCGAAACTCGGTTGTTGAGTCTCCTATCTCTACATCACCACGTCCAAATTATGCATTCTACGATTCTTTTCCTGAATATGAAGCAAACCAAAGTCGAGTTTTCCAGACTATCAAAAATACAAAGAACCAGGAACAAGTTATCAAGATTTCGCAAATAATAGAAAGTCCTTCACCAGAACTGGAAACCAATAATGCGGAATTGCGAGTTCACAAGAACCCAAAGTTTTCTAGGCCGCGGAACTTGATAAGCATAGCTGATTATTTTTCGGGAAATTCACATCATTTACATCATGTTTTTTATTCGAGCTTGATGGCGGCGAAGTCCAGGAGAGCTCAACGTATAGAGAACCGGAAATTTATTGACTTGAAAATAGTTAAAATGACCACAGGTGCAGGCGGTAATGGGTGTGTATCGTTTTTCAAAGATAATTGGAAATCACAGGGTCCTGCAGATGGGGGTGATGGCGGGTCAGGAGGTGATATATATATCAATGTTGTTGATCGTGGAACCAACTCGCTACACAACTTAAACAAGAAGTACGTAGCAACCCTGGGATCCCCAGGAAAAGGCGGGCAATTGGATGGTAAGAATGGTGAAGATATTGTTATCGATATTCCACTAGGGACAATAATTCGCTGGATACCTGATCCTCAAATTTTCAAGAAATATGTCAGTCAAAAAGAAGGGGACCCTTTGGATAATGTGTTTATAGAGTTGGAATTGCGACGACAACGACAACAACATCATTATCATCAAGATCTTTATGGGATGGAAGAGGAGGGAGATGACTATATGATCCAGTTGAATCGAGATAGTTATGAACCAGGGAGTGGTTGGAATTTCAAAAAGCATGAAATGGAATATTACTATGCAAAGAGTTTTTTCAAGTCGCTAAACAAGAGAGTAACTGAGTATGATGAGGCTATGAGATACGAAGAAAGACAACAAGACCAATTTCCTTTATTTGGATTAGATTGTGATAAAGTAACTACGAGACCAGAATTGTTCTTGAGAGGTGGTAAAGGTGGCTTAGGTAATATGCATTTTATTACCACGGATGTTCGTAATCCCAACTTTTGTAAAATTGGAAGGTCGGGGATCAGTGCACATTTCTTATTAGAATTGAAATTGATTGCTGACTTGGGATTAGTTGGATTGCCAAATGCCGGGAAATCGAGTTTATTACGAGCCATTTCAAAAGCTAAGCCAAGAGTTGGACATTGGGAATTCACTACATTGCAACCTACAATTGGTACGATTCAACATAGAATTGATTCAGATCCATTTACTGTAGCAGATATACCAGGGATCATTAAAGGTGCCTCGAATAACAAAGGAATGGGACTAGATTTTCTACGCCATATTGAAAGATCAGGCGGATTGGTATTTGTAGTGAGTTTAGAGTCAGAAGACCCCAGCAGAGATTTGCAGACATTGATTGATGAAGTTGGACATAAAAGGATGAAGGATAAAAAAGTACTTGTTGTTGCTACAAAGGCCGATTTGAGCAATCAAGGTGAGAATTTTCAAAGATTAAAGGATTTTTTGCAAGAAAAGCACCGTGAATGGAAGATTGTACCAGTTTGTGCACCAAGAGGTGAGAATATAGAATGTTGTGTAGAATTGATGAATGAGGTGGCCAAGAAGTAGACGAAAAGGTGTAAATAGTTATTTAATTTAGATATTACCAACAAGTTTTTATTTCCCACCAAGAGAGATGAGGAAACTCTTTAACTTTGTACATTTTTTTTCAAACAGCATCTGACATAAATGAACCATTTGTATCAGATGTGACGATTTCATTAAAATTGTCTACTAAAACTTTTAACGGGAGTTCAAAAAAAAATTAAAAAAAAAATACATATCTCCAACAGAGTTGTTGTAAAAATGAGTTTAGTGTAGACTCATGTAGTTTCGAAATCCTCCGCAAAAAACGAGGACGAGAAGAGAGAAAGTAGGGGCGGGGCCGTTACAGGCAGCATAAAAATAGTGGTAACGTTGTACCTAAATTTTGCATCAGATAAGATCACAAAAAAACTTGAAACAACTGTAAAGGCATGAAGTTGGAACCACAGTTGAAGATGATAGTAAGTTTATGAGATAGAGTTGGTGTAATGTATAGGTTAGAATTTTGAGCTTGAAGTGTGACGAGCTAGCCAAAAAATGTAATGGAAAGCCTTGTATCTTGTCCTCTTGTAAGTTTGTTTCGCTTCTTTGGAATTGACAGATGTGTTTCATATCATGTCATATCACAATATTCTTTGAATACAAGGGTTCTAGAGCTAGGGTCTCAAGTGAGTAGAATTTTAGAGTTAGATTCTCAAGTGAGTAGGATTATAAAGCTGGAGTCCAAGGTGAGTAAAGCTGGATTTCCGTGATGCAGGGGAGAGTCATTTATTGACGGACAAAAGTTTTCTTCGGAGTTTGTCAAAGTCTACTAATTTCAACAGTGTTCGCTTAATTGCATTTGCACGCTATGAAATCCAGGATTTTTCTTGTCAATTCCGCTTCCTCTATTCATCTAAAGTTTGTAGACTGTTTTTCTTAACCAATTAACTTTGGTCAAGAAATATCCATCTCAATTGCTCATTTTACAACTTATTTAGGAGAAAAGGGATGCAAGCAATTATAGAAATAATTGGCAAGCAAACTGCAAAAAGAAAAACAAAAAAAAAAAGACACTTAATTGAGTAGCCTTTAGCTCCTTGACACGAGGCGTAAAAAGACAAAGTTTCCATAAACATTGACACGGGAGGGGGAGATACTTGTAGAGCAACCCTATAAAAATTAGGCCATTCCGTCAAATCCATTGGAGTAAATGCATATGTCGGTAGCGCTATTGCAAGGAAAAGAAAGAAAAAGAAAAAAAAAAAATTCTCAAGAGACGGAATTAGAGTTTCCCTTTTAAGCTTTTTTCCTTCGAGGTGGGTTCTTATCTTCATTTGTTTCCCCTTATACTTTTGGCTTTTTGCAACTCTATCTGGAACTCAACTCGACATTTTTATATGTAACATGTAAAAAGTAAGAGCAAAAAGTGTCCGAGCCACATTTTTCTTTGGTGGAAAATCTGACTAGAGAGTGATTGTAGAAACTATATCTTATCAGTTAGCCATTAATCTCTCTCCCATGCAAGTGAACATTGTCTTACAAAAATGAGCCACATTCAACCATCTTTTATTTTCTTCTGTCTTTTATCGGCTTTTCCTCTTATGGGGGCAACCATAAAGGAGATTTAACCATCTAACCTTAAGTGTTTTCCAAATTTATTCTATACGTTAAGTAAAGATACATCAAACCTGATCATTTTAAGTAACAAACTTACGGCTAGACATGTGGTAGTGGGAGTAATTGCTTTTTCTTTTTCTTTTTCTTTTCCTTTTTCTTTTTCTTTTCCTTTTTTTTTTTTTTTTTTTTTTTTTTTTTTTTTTTTTTTTTTTTTTTTTTTTTT